ATTTACACGTGTCATCACCATGACAATCACCAACCATTTTTAAATGTTCATACCAACCAAAGTAATGCACCTGATGAGTATCTGACACTCATTTAATGCATGCTAAAAAAGCCATCTCCATTGTCAAACCATTTGATTTCTCATTTCAGTACTCAAATAAAGCAGTAAACACACAACAATTCTTGTAGGAATAAATAAATAAAATAGAGAAAAAAAAAAATTATGGATGTGCTGATGAAAAATGTAATTGTTTCTTCTTCCCCATTTCATCCCATATTCAAGAAATCCAATTTCTCTCATCAGGTTCAGAATTTTTCTTCCTTAACTCCAATCAAAAGACATTCAATTCTCACTAAATCATTTCTCCAAACTGATTCTTGCCGCCCTCCTCTTCATCTACCCATCTTTTCCCCCATGGAGGTAAAACTTTAAACCCGTGTGTGTGTGTGTGTGTGTGTGTGTGTGCGCGTGTGTGTTTAAACTACAGTCATATTCATATTCAAGATTGATTTTTATTTTCTCTTTAATTAATTTTCTGAATTTGTTTTAGTTGATGGAATGTTTGCTGAATAAAGAGGATTTGAGTGAAGAGGAAGCAGAGGGATCACTTGATTTCTTGCTTAGTGATTGCAGCCAATCTTTAATCAGTGCTTATCTTGTTCTCCTTAGAGCCAAAGGCGAAACCTTTGAAGAAGTAATTCCATGTGCATGGTCATGTTCAATAAAATAAATTTTGTATGTGTTTTTTGATGATTGTTAATTTTTTTATTTTTTTTCCGGTTTTTTGTGTGTGTGCATGGCAAAATTTAGATTGTGGGTTTGGCTAGAGGAATGATAAAATGCTGCAAAAAAGTCGAAGGTTTGGAAAATGCGGTGGATATAGTAGGCACCGGCGGTGACGGTGCAAACACGGTGAATATCTCCACAGGCGCTGCGATTCTCGCAGCCGCCTGCGGTGCTAGAGTTGCTAAAGTGAGTTGACAACTTTGATACAAAATTGAACATATTTGTAATTTTTTGGATATTAGTGTGGGAAAAAAGTTGATTTTGCCCCTTTGTTTGTTTCAGCAAGGGAATAGATCGAGTTCGTCCGCTTGTGGAAGCGCCGATGTTCTAGAAGCATTAGGTGTTGCCATTGATGTCGAGCCTCAGGTTAGTACGTTCTTGAATTCTCAATGCTTATTTTGAAAAATTACGCTTAATATTAGTTGATTTCGCCATTTAAAAATCACTTATTTTTTCGTATGTTGTTTCAAATTAGGGAGTTAAGACATGTGTTGAACAAGTGGGAATTGGATTTATGATGTCACCAAATTATCACCCGGCGATGAGAACATTTGCCCCTGTAAGAAGAAAGCTTCGAGTGAAGACTGTATTTAACATCCTCGGTCCAATGTTAAATCCCGCACGAGTTCCGTTTTCCGTGGTTGGTGTCTACAAAGAAGACATGGTAATTAAGTTGGCGACTAGTTCGTAAATATATTATTTTTTGGTCTTAATCCAATTATCCTATTAGAAATGTCGTTATTACATATGCTCTTGGTCGTAATTAAGTAGTGTTGTAAATTGGATAGGTGAGTAAGATGGCTAAAGCACTGCAAAGATATGGAATGAAACGAGCGTTGGTTGTTCACTCTGAGGGGTTGGATGAAATGAGTCCACTCGGTAATTAAGATTATATTCCTTCTCTCTAGTTTTAGTTCGGTTCTTCTTGTTTCTTATGAGATAAAAGATTTTGATATTTTATCAGGCCCTGGTGTGGTTCTCGATATTACCCCTGAAAAGATCGAGAAATTCTCTTTCGACCCATGTAAGTACTTCGTCTTTCTTTTAAGCGCGCACACACACACACACATTATGTTGATTGCTCGTGTAGAAACGGAAAATTGGTGGTGTGTTGCAGTAGATTTCGGTATTCCTCGATGCACGTTAGAAGATTTGAAAGGGGGAGGCCCGGAATATAACGCTGAGGTCTTAAGGCGTGTGCTCGCTGGCGAAAAGGGTGCTATTGCAGATGCACTTGTACGTTTAATTTTTAAATGTTACGTTTCTACTGAATTATGTGTGTAGTGGAAATTAGTTAATTACGAAAACGCCATCCATACGTTTTCAGGTGTTAAATGCAGGTGCAGCATTGTTTGTTAGTGGGCATGTTTCAAACTTAGCTGAAGGTATAGCAGTGGCACGTTCAACACATCGATCGGGAAAAGCCCTGGATACTCTCGACCGTTGGATTACTGTCTCGAACGTAAGTATTTTGGCGTTGCTAATTTTTTTTAGTTATTTTATTTCCTCTTATAATTTATTTAATTGCTACAGAATGTGAGTGCACCTACGGTCGTTCCTGCCTGCTCGTAGACAGTATTATACTATTATATGTGCAGCAACAAAGTTCAATCTTCACTTTTTTTTTTTTTGAGAAATTGTTAAGTTTGAAACGACGTGTAATAAATGTTTCTTTCATTTCGGATTGAATGGAGAACCGATATTTGATTTTGTCAAAATATATTAACGCGCACAGTACACAGCAGCAATATGTCTAGAGAAATCTTGCATGCAGCAAATGCAAACTAACTAACTAGTACAAGAAAGAAATTAAACCGACGAAAAAAAACGACAGCAAGGTAAACTAATTAGGGGATGGGGTGAACCATGTTGGTGTCGGATCAATTTTATTCATGTCTAGGGGATCACGCGGATAGTAGCACGTTGAGAAAGTCCTTTGTCGATAATTAAAGATGCCTAAATCGTGGCCACCGTATAATCCTAAATCTTGTTCATAAGGATCTGGAGTGAGTTCCTTTGGGTCGGTGAAATAGATGGAATCCGGCTCCACACCCTTCTGTTCATCTTCGACGACGACTCCGTGGCCTGTTGAACCAATGAAGAACGCCATTCCATCCAACTCACCGTTCATGTACCTAAGCTCTCCTTTTTTCGGGTCGTCAACGATTAATTCGTGAACGTCGAAACCGATAGTCAAGTACGGAGCATCTTCGTTCTTGAAATAATGAAGAGAGCCATCATTGTTTTCAAGAGTGCCGATTTCTTTCATTACGTTACGCCTCACAAGAAAAAGCCGATCGGACCGCTCCGCAAACACAAGGTATTTGAATGAGCTGCAAAAGTCTTTCTTCAACAAATACTCAAGGTCCGATCGGACGGTCCAAGGGTAGTTATCGTCATCGAAGTCCATGTCGTCGTCTGCCGTCTTCCAATTCATTTTAGGGTTAGCAATATCCGCAAGATCCCAGCTCTCGAAGTTGTCGAACTTTGTCGCGCAGAATAATTTCTTTCTCCTAGTGGAATACACAAAGTCCTCGTAGAACCTTGGAACCCTAGTGTTGTCACTACATCGTCCAAAGAATTCCTCGTTGATCCGGTCGTTCTCGTGAAAGAGATCGCCGATGGGAGTCCACTCGTTACCGAGTCCGGGGCAGCAAAAGGCAAGCCTATCATCCGGACCGAAAGACATAATTGCGCGACATTCGTTTTCGTCGTCGGGAGAGCATGAAAGGATGACCTTTTTGGGACGGTTCAATTCAAATATGGAAATAAAGTCGGTGCAAGTGGGAATAGACAAGGTTTCGATGGAAGGTAGATTTACGGAACGATGAGAGAGGGGATTGTGGAGTAACAAATCGTAGTTATCCTCGGATTTCGTACGCTGCTTATACAAAGCTAGCCAACCATGCGAAGATCCCACCACTAACCCCCCTTTTTTCGATATCTCATCTTTTGCTATTTTTTCGACAGTTTTATCAGCAACGTTGAAAAAGTTGTAGAACATGTTGACGTCATCTTCAACGCTGTCTTTAATCTTCAGCCATGGCGCAGTTACAGTTGCAGTTGCAGCTGATGATGATGATGATGATGATGATATTTGTCGGACGGCTGGCCGAGTACAATTCCAATTACGACGAATCCAACGGCTGAGTATCAAAGACACCATTTTTTTTTTCTGAAAAAATGTTTTATGGTTTTTGACAAAAAAAAAGAAAGCAAAGCGACAGCTTGCAATACCAGAATTCAGAAAGAAAGAACAAGTGAGAAATGAAATTAGGGTTTGAAAGCAAAGGGTGGGTAATTGTGGAGCTGGTAAAACGGGCCAATATTACTTGGGCCAATAAAGTGGGTTTTTACAGCAGTGACTTTTCTTTTTTCCGGCTATTTTCTTGGAGAGGATTTAGCTTTGATAACCTTGATCAATAATACCTTTTCTATTCATCCAAATCATATCATAAACAACACAAATGAAAAATGAGAGGGGAGTAAAACCCGAAATTACGTGTAATAAATGTTTTACTTCATTTCGGATTCAATGGAGATTATACATATATAAGTTTGAAAAGTATTTCGAACCGATTTTTTATTTTGTCAAAACATATAAAGGCGTACAGTACACAACAGCAAATGTAAAATGCAGTTCAGATAGTAATAATGCAGGAGGCATAACAACCTAAGTAACACAATACTTGGACTTCATTATTGTAGAGCATTCAAATTTATTTAACGAAATACTGATTCGTCGACTAGTCTAAGCAGAAGACTTGGCGACTGCTCCAGCTTCGGTGAGCAACGGAACAAGCTTTCCTTGTTTGTGCAGTGCAGTTGTAGCTGCAAAATATTTATTTTATTTATTTATTGAAGGAAGTACGGAAATTCATAAATAAATATATGACGAATTCGAAATACATACCATCACAGCCACCAATGTGCTTCCCACTGATGAACACATTCGGCACAGTGCGTTGACCGGTCAACTGAGCCAGAGCAGATTGTAGTTCAGCTCCATCACCTTCATATTTATGAAAATAGATGCCAATTATAGATTATGTAATCCTTCATTTCACAAACTAGTAGTGTATTTTTCGAAGGAAATACAAGAAGACGATTTTTTGAAAGACTGAATATCAGAAAGTGAGTCAAAATACGAATCCTTCGTCACACACCAATAAGATACAGTCGTACGACAACAATAGCTATGGTAGAGAAATTTGCAATGCGAATTAAGTTAGGACAATTCGATGCTACATACGGTAAAGCACATCGGGTAGTTAACCATTTCTATACACACGAAAACACACACACACACACCCATCTTGGTGTGTATGATTTTGCCTGGTGTAAGCATAGATTTCCCCATTGTACTGAAACTCTTTAAGTTAAAATTAGATATGAATCTTTGAAAATCTGCGGAGCAGATTTCCCCAATTTCATGTGTAATTAATTTGTGGATCCCAACAAACTGTCATTCCAAAGATAAAACTAAGTACTGAGTTTTTGAATGAGTGGGGCTTAATTCATGGATCTGGACGCAATTTCGTTCCAAATTCAAAATGCTACAAACGATGCAGAAAACGTGGTAAAAAGTTGCCGACGGAAAATCCTTTCTAATTTTCAATTGGAAATGACAAAACTCACAGAAAAATATACGCTAACGAGAGAGAGAGAGAGAGAGAGAGAGAGAGAGAGAGAGAGAGAGAGAGAGAGAGAGAGAGAGAGAGAGAGAGAGCAAACCCTCGGTATCCAATTCAATGGCCTTGAAGGAGGCGCCGAGCTCTGTCAACAATTTCTTCACACTCACGCAGAACGGACAGTAGGTTTTGCTGCCACCACCAAACAACACATAAGAAAAAGCATATTTTAATTCGTAAAATCAAACAATATTCAACATAAATTCATCATCTAATTTTACTTCAAAGGAATCACCGGCAATAATAGTATCCGATCAACTATCGCCTAGGGTAAAATTTCAGCTCCAATTTCACACCTCTACTACCACACACACACACATACACATACACACACACACGGTGAGAGAGAAAGAGAGAGAGGACCTGAAAACGACGACGGAGTTTGTAGAAACGATTTCCTTTGCCTTGGGGAGCGCCATTGAAATCAATTATTGAACTCGGAATTGAAATGGGAAAAAATCACAACTAGCTACGAACAACTGTGGTAGAACTCGGTGTGTATTTATAAGTGGAATATTCGGCAGGATCTAAAGTCAATGGCGTGAAAAGGAAGCTCACCGGCCCATTTGATATAAAAGGAAAGCCCGGCCCACTATTCATTAATAAATACAAATTTCAACCCGGACCCCCACTAAAATGCCAATTTGCATTTGCTTCGTCAAAAGGTAATTGTATTATTATAGGACCCCAAAACACAAATTTATTACTTATTGGTCCCTAAACTATGAATTTATTCGGTGCTATAAGTAGTAAAATTCACTCTGTAAAAACTTTTTACCCAAAAATGACAGCGCGATGCATCTGATCCCAACCTCAATTCTAAAACCCCGACACTGTTAAACCCTAAACCCCAGCGTCTCTATCTCTCTCTCCCCATGGCACCGGTGGTCGGTAAAGCCAATCCTTTCCTTGCAAGCATGCTATGGCGCCGGATGAAACTCCGATCAATCGTCGGCGGTCGCTTGTTCCACTCACCCGCACAATCACCGGCCGGCGACCCCGAAGCTGCTACAATTGCCGGAAAGAAATTTCTGGAGACGTTCACCGAAGAGTTCGAAATCGGATCGCGAAAAATGTCACTGGAAACTGGTAAAATAGCGCGATTTGCCAATGGCTCGGTGGTTTTAGCCATGGAAGAGACAAAAGTGCTGTCCACAGTTACCTCAGCTAAGAGTGATGGCAGTCGGGATTTCTTGCCCCTCACTGTACGTTTTTTTTTTTTTTTGTAAATTTATATGACAATGCATTAATTTCCGTATTTATTTTATGTTGGTGTCATCTGCTCAGTTGATTATGGTAGCTCTGGGCGTTTATTATTCATTTTGGAATACAAATTTATTGGAATAGTGTTTTTTTATGTTTAGAACGTCTGGTGTTGAATTTCGGAGTCTCAATCTGAGCAAGTTTGCTGTTGAAATACGAGTTTGGATTTTATCTGAACATTTTGAGGGTTCTGTTATGTGTATACAAGTTTGTAATGAGTTAAATCTGAGAATAGGAAACAGGGACATAAAACTTCCATTTCCGATTTCCTTCAAATGATAATTATGCCCGTCAATTTTGTGTGTGCATTTGTTATCTTGCTCAATTGAATTCAGTTGTGAGGCATCACTGCTATTCACTTTCCCTATTAGTTTTCTTAGTGCTTGTTTTTTCATGTGAACGTAGAAACTTCAGCCGAGGAAATATTTTTTTCCTCTAACAACTGTCATTAATAGGCTTATTTAGTGTTCGAACGTCAAACTTATCTCTCTTCATATAGAGTTGTTAAATATGAAATCACCTTTTCTTGCGACTCATTTCAGTTCGTGCCTGTAATTATTTTTTGTTGTTTCTTGTATAATGAATGGCGTAATTTTGGGTTGTTGCAAGGTTGACTATCAAGAGAAACAATTTGCTCAGGGCGTGATACCAAACACATTTATGAGGAGGGAGGGTGCTCCAAAAGAGCGTGAACTCTTATGTGGTCGTATCATTGATCGGCCCATAAGACCTCTTTTTCCTGCTGGATTTTACCATGATGTCCAGGTATGATTGTACTGCACGATTTTTAAATAATTATGTAAAAATCTAGTAAGTTGTTTCTGAGCTTAGTGCTTATTTCTAGGTCATGGCAAGTGTCCTATCATCTGATGGGAAGCAAGATCCGGATGTTCTAGCAGCCAATGCCACATCAGCTGCGCTAATGTTATCTGATATTCCATGGGGTGGTCCCATTGGAGTAGTACGTATAGGCAGGATTTGTGGTCAATTTATTGTGAATCCTAGCATGGATGAGGTATTTCAAATGCTAATTTATGTTAATGAAAACACTTTTTTTTAATGACGTGCTTATAGTTCTGATTGATTTTTTGCAGTTGAGTTTGAGTGACCTTAACCTCGTTTATGCATGCACAAATGACAAGACTTTGATGATAGACGTGCATGCACGTGAGGTATCCGAAAAGGACCTAGAAGCTGCACTAAGATTGGCACACCCAGAAGTAAGTTTTTGCTATATATGTTCATTTCATTAATACATCAATTACTTTAGAATGCTAATCTTTGATTCTTTGATTCTCTAGGCAGTTAAATATATTGAGCCTCAAATAAGGCTCGCAGCCAAAGCTGGTAAGAAAAAGAAGGAATATACACTGTCTATGGTATCTAAGGAAACCTATGAGAAAGTCAGGAATTTGGCTGAATCTCCCATTAAAGATGTGTTTACAGACCCAACATATGGCAAGGTATATACCATACGAAATTCTGGTATCTCTGTATCATTTCTGTAACTTGTCATGCTATTGCATAAATTTAATGTCATATGACTCTTTATTCGTTGGGATGTAATACGTTTTCTGTGTGTGTGTGCAGTTTGAAAGAGGAGAAGCATTAGATAATATTACCAAGGATATTAAAAAAATATTGGAGGAAGAAAGTGATGAAGAAGGCCTCAAGTTTTTACCCAAAACAGTAGACACTGTACGGAAAAAGGTACCCATATATATTCTGTATCAAGATGCAAATATCTCTCCTGACCAATTTACTTATAGAAGCGAGGAACTATATACCTAAAAATTCACATTTTTGTGTAACTGTTTAAAAGATTCAAGTATTCGGCGCTACCAAAAAAAATATGATTGCTCAAAATATATTGCAAAAACTCGTGGAATAGAAGTTATTAACACTTTCAAAGATGAGAATGTAATTCTTTTTCAGTAATAGATTTTTCTCTCTATTTTGTTTCACCATGTCAAGATAGTGACTATTTTAATTTTCTGCCCATGTCAGGTTGTACGAGGAAGGATAATAGGGGAAGGACTCAGAGTAGATGGGAGGCGTCTAGATGAGGTCAGACCTGTGCACTGTGAAGCTGGAAATTTGCCTGTACTACACGGATCATCACTCTTTTCTCGTGGAGATACGCAGGTCAGAAGATACGTGATATGACCAATATTTTACACTCCTTTAGAGTCTTTTTTTCTTACTGTTTAGGGGTATTGTAATTGTTGTTTATAGGTTCTTTGTACGGTAACCCTTGGAGCACCTGGAGAAGCACAGCGTCTAGATTCACTGGTTGGTCCTTCATCGAAGAGATTCATGCTGCACTATAGTTTTCCACCATTTTCAATCAATGAAGTTGGTAAAAAAGTTGGCCTCAATAGACGAGAAGTTGGGCATGGTAAGCTACTTACATTTCTGTATTTTTTTTTCGCACATGCTTGTCTATGCTAAAAAATATCACCATTTATTTGGAAAAACAGAAGAACAACTTGAAAAAAAAAAAATCTCTCTTTTAATTTTCTTTTTGTATTCCCCTGATGACTGGAATGAAACGTAATCAGCTTTCGTTCTAGTCTCCTATTTTTCAAATGCTAATCAATGGCTGACTTTTTGATCACGTTTATAGGTACCCTTGCTGAGAAAGCTCTAGTTGCCGTATTACCTCCTGAAGAAGATTTTCCCTATACTGTTCGTGTGAATTCAGAAGTCATGGCATCTGATGGATCGACATCGATGGCATCGGTTTGTGCAGGTTATTACTGGGCATATCCTGCAGATATATATATATATATGTATATATATATATATATATATATATATATATATATATATATATATATATATATATATATATATTGTGTTTATTTTGAATAATGATTTTATTGACAATGAACATAAGGTGCATTATTTTTATTTTTGTAGGGAGCATGGCTTTGATGGATGCTGGGATTCCTTTGAGAGAGCACGTAGCAGGTTTGTCGGTGGGACTTGTTAGCGAAACCGACCCGTCAACTGGTGAAATCACGGACTACAGAATAATAACCGATATCCTGGTAAGGAACACTCCAATTACAATTTGAGTTTTATTACAGTGACTCCTTTCTTGAAACTTCCCGAAGTAGATCTCTTCAAAACAACATTCAAGTCCACGAGCATTCTTTATTGTGATGTGAGCTATCATAAGTTTGCAATACTGATTACATATCAATTCCCATTTGAGATTAACACCATCTAAGCAAAAGCCTAAAAGACCATGACTTTGGCTAGAGTTTCCACATGACTTTCTTCAAATACGATCAATTATCCATAAAAATGGTTGAAGAGCAGCACAACCGCAATTTGTTCTTAGGCTGGTAGATAGGCAGTTTTGGTGATTATGAATCATACGCGTTTTATTTTTGGTTTCTGATTATAGATTTACTTTGAATTTCAATGTTCTATTTCATTTTGTTTATTTTAATAGTTCTTTTTTTTTTTTAGGGTTTGGAAGATCATCTAGGGGATATGGACTTCAAAATTGCTGGAACTCGAAACGGAGTTACAGCAATTCAGTTGGATATAAAGCCTGCAGGTATCCCTTTAGATATTATATGCGAGTCTTTAGAACCTGCATATAAAGGCCGCCTTCAAATCCTTGATCACATGGAGCGAGAGATAAATGTACCACGCACCCAGGATGGTAGAAACTCTCCACGGATATGTAAGTGTGTCACTCATGTGTCTTTTTTTCTTCTTATTTTCCCACCTTTACCGATGTGAACATCATTTTATGGTTGTTTGTAAGCCATTTACTGATACGACCAAATGATGCAGTGAACTTGAAGTACAGCAATGATGCCATCCGCCGCTTAATTGGTCCTTTGGGTGCATTGAAGAGAAAAATTGAAGAAGAAACAGGTTTTTATTGCTCTTTTTTGTTATGTAATTTTTGTATTCTTGCTAATACACACTGAAGAAATTGGTCTCATGTGAAAATCTTAGATAAAGCGAGCGTTCTGACACCTTATTTATGTTACAGGTGGAAGGATCTCGGTGAATGATGGTTCTCTTACAATAGTGGCTAAAAATCAATCAGTACTGGATAAAGTGCTGGAAAAGGTGATTGTTTTCTGCTCTTTCAGTGTATTTGGTTCATGCAAACTGTTGTTTAACTGTTATTAGAATTGAGGAAGACTAATTTGTTACTGCCAACTTTAATCCATTTTGACAAGAGTTTCGAAACTTTAATAGTTATAATACGAAAATTGTTATTTTCAGATTGATTTCATAGTGGGTCGTGAGATTGAAAAGGGGGGTGTGTATAAAGGCGTTGTATCTTCAATCAAGGAATACGGTGCCTTTGTGGAGTTCAATGGGGGCCAACAAGGCCTCCTCCACATTTCCGAGTTATCCCACGAACCGGTTTGTATATTTTATTTTTATTACAATATTCTTGTAGTAGAGTTTTATCATAGTTTGTGATTTCTTACAAGATATTTTGATTTCGACCAGGTCTCCCGAGTCTCTGATGTACTGTCAGTCGGGCAAGTAGTAAATTTAATGTGCATTGGGTTAGATGTACGTGGCAATATTAATTTATCTCTCAAAGCCACTTTGCCTGGAGGAGGATCAAAAACATATTCCGCTATAAAGGAACAAACACCCATGAAGTCGAAGCCTGTTAACAATGTACAAGAAAAGCAGGAAAAGGAGAAGAAGGATGATAAGTCTACTAGTGGTAGTGTGGATGGCTTATCACCGATTGTGATTAGAAGTGCTGCTGAGTGTGATGAAGAAGAAAAATCTGCTGCTCTACGTAAAATTCCTAAAGGTAGTGCTTAGTTGATAGTCATGACCTTAATCTGTGATTAGTAAATAATAGTTGATTTTTTTGGTATTTGCCAAAGAATATTCGAGTCTGAACAAAAACATGTGAATTTGCAGCTAAGTCTTGTATAGATGCGAAGACATTGAAAATTGGAATGGAATTGACTGGTAAAGTTCATCAGATTCGTGCGCACGGGCTTGTTCTTGATTTGGGTGGTGATCTTCGTGGAATGTACCGGTTTGAGGTAAATCACACCTCCCCATTATTCTAATGATTTATTTATTTATTTGATTTTATTTTTATTTTTGCCATTGATTGCTGATTAGCACAATTTTGATTTAATTTCTGCGATGCAGAATGGTTCGAAACGAGACTTTGAGGTTGGTGATGAAATGCGTGTAAAGTGCTGTAGTTTCTCGACCAAAGGGGTACCCGTCATGTCTTTGGTACAACAGTAGAAAGAAAGCCTTGGCTTAAACGCCGTATTGGAACCAGTACAATTTTTTTGTTGGGAACTCAAAATTTTGACATGAAAGACACATGGTAAGGAGATGAAAATTGACGGATGAGCACAATGAGATTCGTGAATATAGATAAACGATCAACGATCAACGATTTTTGAGCGGTTAGGTAGAATATTCGTCTATGTGGAAGTGTAGTGTAACTTATGGCTCCTGATTTTATGTATATTGTTTGCTTGCTTCATTTTTGAAGTGCAGGAGTTGTTGAATTATGGCAGATGGGTAATTTTATTTTTATTTGTTTATATTTTTTTCTGTGTTCTTCTAGTTCTCACTGATATTCATAAAAACTCAACTACTAAATTTGTACATATTGGAGTCTTCCACTTATTTATTTGATCTGATAAGCACTTTAGAGTTGACGAAATTGTTACCACGTTGACCAACTACAGCCGTTTGTTTTGAAAAAAATACTTCAACTGTGCTGTCTCTTGTAAGAGTGGTCATTTTCAGTGATCCACAGAAAGGATCACAGCCCCTCAATTATGAATTTAAAAAATTTCAATAATTCAATAAAAAAAAAAATAATTAAGATTATTAAACCAAAGAAGCTTCTTAAAGTAAGATCTTATTTTGTATTTTATCTTCTGAAATTATTTAGAAATTTGTTCATAGGATTGATTTAATCTTCCTTTTCTAAATTGTCTTCATGACAAATCAAAATTCGTATTCTAGTCTTTGTATATATATTATATAGTGTAAATTACGGCAATTACCTTAGGTAAGGCAAGTTACGAAAAAATTCTTCATACTTGGGTAATTACAACCATATTATACTATGAATCTTCTTACACGTTCATCTTACGGTGTCAAATTTAATGAAATCTTTTAGATTATATGGGATATTCTCCAATTTGTACCTGTTTTACTTCCCACATTTTGAAACAAGATAATCATATAATGTGTCTCTTGACTTATAAATATCAGATCGTGCTGCATCAAAAGCTTTGTTTTTTGAATTTAACGTGTAAAAAGATTCGTAATTAAGGAGGAGTTGTAATTCCCAAAACATAAGGGGTTTTTTTCTCTCCTTATTCTCCCCTCCGAGTGTGACCATAATTTATCCTATAGTATAGCATACCATACACATACATACATGTATGTATATGTAACTTATATTATAGATATGTACCAGTGATGATTATTGTTGGGAGTATTAGTATTAAATAGATTGAGAAGAGTGAGAACACTGACTTGTGTTTGTCCCTACAACTACCAAATTCTGTTGAAAACTCTTTTCTCCTTTTTTTTTTCTAAACAAAGAAAAGAATTAACAACTAGTGAAGAACAACTCCTCCTTTCCTCCATTTACATTATTAATTACTATTCAATCATCAAATCCATAAATCCAATAAACTTTTTTCACATGCATTTATCATCTTCAAATTTGCTCAATCCACCATGGATCACACCTTTCATCTTCTTCATCACAGCCCTAATATTATTCCCACTTTCTCTCTCCGATCCGAGAATTTCGGAAGCCGGCCTCTTCTGCGGCCAATCACGGCCGCCGCCGAACTCAAGCTACATCCCTCTATTCGTCAACGCGATGGAGGTTCTCTCCCAGCAGGTCACCGCCAACGATTGGGGTCACTACGCCGTCAATTCGACTAACATCTCCGTCTACAATCTAGCCCAGTGCTACGGCGATCTGTCTCACAACGACTGCCTCCTCTGCTACGCCGCCAGCCGCACGCGCCTCCCGCGGTGCCTCCCCGCCGTCTCCGGACGCATTTTCCTCGACGGCTGCTTCCTCCGCTACGACAGCTACGCCTTCTTCAACGAAAGCTCCGACGCCGTTCTGGACACCGTGAACTGCAATAGCTCGGTCGGGGTGGGCGGCGGGGTCGTCGATTTGGAGTTCGGGAAGAACGTCGGGGAGCTGATCGATAACGTCACGGCGAGTGCGGTCGCGAGTGGGGCGTACGCGGTGCAGGGGAGTAAGGGCGTGTTTGGATTGGCCGAGTGTTGGAATACTGTGAGCAGAGAGGGGTGTAGGGCGTGTTTGGCTAAGGCGAACAGAGAAATTAGGGCGTGTTTGCCTAACAAGGAAGGTAGAGCTTTGAATACTGGCTGCTATTTGAGATACTCCACTGAGAAATTCTTCTCCAATCAGTCTCATGATTCAAACCACAATTCTGGTCAGTTTTTTTTTTTCTTTTCTTTTCTAATTTAATTATATTTTTCCTTTTTGTTTCAAGATTTAATTATCTTCTTTGTTTAATTAATTAAATTTAATGGATGCAGCTTTTGTTACTAATTAATTAATAATAATTTGTCATGATCATGGCTTGTTAGATACGTGTATCTTTATTGAATTAAACATTTATTATACATGTATGGTGGTAGCTATTCAAGTTTGGTTTTCTTGACTTTTTGGTAGTTGAAACTTTTGATTTTTATTTATTTTAAAGTTTAATAATTTTTGTTTATTCTGATTTTTCAGGGGTGTCAAGAACAGGGGCAACTTTGGCAATCGTTTTGTCTGTGGTAGCTTTCTGTATGCTCAGTTTCTTTGCTGGTTATGCAGCCTATGGAAGATGGAGAAAACGAAGACAAGGTACTTTAACGGGGGCCATGGCCCCCCGCTGCTTCTCGAAAAGCTAGCATTTTATGTAGAGATTTTTTATTTTGTTTCGAGTAAAAAAAGCTTCTCGCATTACTAATGTTGTATCCATGCAATGCAGCACGTGATAATCTTGGCCAAATATCGTACTCCTACAACAAATCAAACTTAAATTTCAAATACGAAACTTTGGAGAAGGCGACGAATTACTTCGACGATTCAAGAAAAGTAGGGCAAGGAGGAGCAGGTTCTGTGTACAGAGGAACGCTGTCAAACGGTAAAACAGTAGCTGTAAAAAGATTATTCTTCAGCACAAGACAATGGGTGGATGAATTCTTCAATGAAGTGAATCTCATTAGTGGAATTGACCACAATAACCTTGTCAAGCTTCTTGGCTGCAGCATTGAAGGCCCTGAAAGCCTTCTTGTTTATGAATTCATACCCAACAAAAGCCTCGAACAATACCTCTTCGGTCAGTCTTATTATCTTTTTACTTATTTCTCTTTCTTTTCGGCCTCATAAATGTTCCAAAGTCGGGTTTTTTTTAATGTTTATTTTGTTCTTATTCTTACAGATAAGAACAAGGTTAAAATATTGAGCTGGAAAGAACGGCAGAATATAATCGTTGGAATAGCTGAAGGGCTCGATTTTCTTCATACAGGGTGTAACATGAGAATAATCCACAGGGATATCAAGAGCAGTAATGTTCTGCTTGACGAGAATCTTGATCCGAAGATAGCCGATTTCGGTCTTGCCAGATGTTTTGCAGCTGATCAAACTCATCTCAGCACAGGAATTGCAGGCACATTGTAAGGATATATACATATATGTTTATACATATATATATATTCAATTATAGAAATGTACTAATACATGATCTTGTTTGATGGTGCAGAGGATACATGGCACCGGAATACCTAGTAAAAGGACAGCTCACCGAAAAGGCTGATGTTTATAGCTTCGGTGTGCTGGTTCTTGAAATTGTCACAGGCAGGAAGAGCAATGCCTTTGTGGAAGATTCTGGATCTCTTCTACAAACAGTAAGTATTCATTTTTCCCCCTTAATTGGACATTTTAATTTTTTAAATCTTACCATTTTCTGAATTTTTAAGGTTTGGAAGCTCTTCAAGAGGGACAAATTGACAGAATCAGTTGATCCGTGTCTGAAAGGAGATTTTCCAGCAACAGAAACAACGAAAGTACTAAGAATCGGGCTTTTATGCGCACAGGCATCCGTAGCTCTTAGACCGTCAATGGCCGAAGTTGTTCGAATGCTAAGAGACGAAAACTATGAAATCCCGGAACCAAGACAGCCCCCGTTTATTAACACAACTGCCCTTTCGGGCAGCTCTGCCAGGTCATCATACAGCATTAACAGTTCAACAACATCGAATGCTATAATAAAACAAGGAGCAACATCCTCCTATCCTTCCACCGAAACAGAGTCTTTCAGTATTCAGAGCTCCGATGGACATTCCAGAAGTGAAGAGCTCAGGACAAATAGTTGAAAATTGAACTTCATACATATATATACATACACATGTATACTTACATACTATTTTATGTATCCTGCTTGTCAAAATGAAGAAACCTTGTACCTAGATTTTTGTCAAAGAGTGCAATAGTCATTGAGTAGGTAATGTGGGCCCCATTACCTTTATTATGAAGAGAAATACATTCTTTTTCCATGAATTTTTGCCAACAGCTCATTCTTTTTAATTTAATTCTCAATGCTCATCATCTAATACTACTTCAATAAAGTATGCCACCCCTTGGAATTATGACAGGGGATAAGCCATAATTGATGGAGGATCCACATACATTAATTGAAAGAAACTTGTAGCTGAATTTGCATGTGATCTTGATAAAATCAAAAGAAACAAAACACGTGGCAACACAATCGCGATATAAAATACTATCGGGACCGCTATAGTGTAGTGCAGAACAAGCATATAATACGAGAGCCGAAGATTCAAACTTTTTACGATCGTATTGCAGAATTTAAGCTCTCGTCGACATACAAGTTTTTTCACGTATTATTTAGAACACGGGGCAACGATTATTTTCACATTCTTAAACTAAAAGGTGCATATATTTAGAGACTACTCATCTTCTCTAACGACAGTGATTTCACCTTTGTCGAGAAGATCGTAAAACTCCTTAGTTCTTCTCTGGTTGTTCCAATGGTGCCTTTTCCAGAAGCCTCCGGCGACGAGGCCAAGACCGATTCCGATTAGTATCTCCTTCACAACACTTGGCCCCTTGTAAACTACATGTACACCACCCATCTTATCCTACATATATATACATATACATACATCAAATACAAACAATAATCATTAATTAATTAATTGAAAAATGTAACAAGCAAATAAAATAAATCATCATAAACAGAGGCCTGAATAATTTGATGGAACTAACGAATTACAATAATCGAGCACTCCAATCACCTAATTAACGAAAAAAATAACTCGATAATCACTCTCGCCGTAGAGATAATTAAAACATTAAAATTCTTTTAACACCAAAAAAAATTCAAAAAAAATAAAAAATCGGCCGGTTGAGAAAATGAAAACTAAATTCGAAATTATACAGGAAAATTTTGTAGTAACGAAGGCAAAAAGAAAAGATCATACCTTTCGATCGCAGAGTTTTTGAGCTAGTAATCAGATTTGGGAGATGAACCCCAAAGCAAATGTATCACCGAAAATACGAAGAGTCGGTCGGGAAATATTCCATGCGCACACGTGTATCTTAACAATGGTACTCCATCACTGTGGAACGAATCCTCCGGTGTGTTTGACCGATCTCCGGTCAAACATTTAATTTCGGCTTTTTGATTCGGGCCACAATTTGGGTTAGCTCGGGTCATAATAGTAATTGTTTGGTTCGGGCCTCGCTTGATTTAGGCCCATCATACAAATGTTTAAATCGTGCTTTTGAAACAGCGCTTTTAATATAATACAAGACAAACGCCTCAAGTTGAAGTGTAAACAAAGAAAGCGACACAGCAGAAATATCTTTGCATTGCAGCCAAGTCCACTATTTAAAATACAGTCTTTTCTTTACTCCAAGAATCTAGTACCAATAAATAGCACACCAATAATTAATTTAATTAATTAATTACTGGAATTATTATTATTAGTTAGAGAAGAAGAAGAAGAAGAAAAATGGTGGCATCTTTTCCATCTCATCTGCAAATTATTAATCCACACTTCAATTTCAACAAGTCCATGCTGTCGAGGTAAGATCATATGCAGTACTAATTTCCCAATTTATTTATTTTTTGACTGAAAAAACAAAATTATATGGTCGGAATTGAGCAGAAGGCAGAATTCAGTTTCGGTCCGATGTAGTAAGAAGAATTTATTAGGAGGAGAAAGCAAAAATAACTACTACGAATTGCTCGGAGTTTCTACGGATGCGAGTCCACAAGAAATCAAGGATGCTTATCGAAAACTGCAGAAGATATACCATCCCGATATTGCAGGCGAAAAGGTAATCAAATCATCATCGTAATCTTTTTAATCTCGAATTAATTTATGTTAATATATAACATGCAAGTAATCTTTTTGAAGGGTCACGAGAGTACTTTGATGTTGAACAAAGTGTACGAGGTTTTGATGAAAGATGATCTGCGAAAAGAGTACGATTCGTCGATTGGAAGAATTAGTGTTGGGGTGTTTGGGAAAGAAGTCGAAGCCTTTGGCAGCACTTGGAACGGGCCGTCTAGACCTCATGCTCTATTCGTCGATGAAAATGCTTGCATAGGTAATGAGTAATCAGAGTATTTAACACTTCTCGAACCATGCTTACATAAATATACGTATGTATAGGTTGCAGACAATGTGTGGAGCAGGCAGGGAACACATTCACGATGGACGAAGCGTTTGGAACTGCGCGTGTCAAAGTTCAATACGGCGACGATGATGAAAAAATAGAGGTGATTTTCCGATATATTATTTCAAGGTTTTTTTAAGGAACAATTAAACGATGTTTTGTATCAAACGAAACAGATATCGGTTGATTCGTGTCCAGTAAACTGCATACATTGGGTAGATAAAGAAGACTTGGCTGTACTCGAGCACCTAATCAAACCTCAACCTAAGGTGGGCTATGGCATATACGGACAAGGTTGGGAAAGACCTGCAAATGTGTTCATGGCTGCTAAATCCTTCAAAAAAGAATCGATCCCGAAACAAGAAAACCAACGAAACTACGGTAGTTGTATCTTTTATATATGTGCTGCTTCTGTTTTAATTTAAAAATGTTGTTTTATGTTGAAATAAAAGATATGAAAAATTGCAGCAAAATCGGCAGAGGAAGAAACTCCTGCTCAGGCGAAGGCACGTGAAAATGCGTACCGGGAACTGAAGAAGGGAAGCTTTGACAGCATTTGGAGCTGGATGAAGAATGTAACTGGCCAATGAGCAAAGAAGTGCAGATGATTTAAGTTTTTATACAGTTAAATATGTATATAATCGATCTTCAGATGCAGTTCCTGTACGAGATATTAGAAACCGTATATAAGTAGAAAGCTTTTACTACGTTCGTTTCAATCAAATGGATGTTTTACAATTCGTTGGAATTTAATTTCACGATGCCTCGGGAAATTTGGAGAAAACAAAACAACAGTTGTCTATGATTTTCTCTTTGACTAGGAAAAGGAATATCGTAAAGAAGAAAATTTGATCTGTCGGAGTACATGAAAAATACAGACCAAAAAGCAAAAAACTACACATTTTTTATTGGGTTGAGTTGAAATATCGACTTAATTAAGATACCTTCATTTTCGGATTGCTCAAATATCTGAGCTGAAATATTGTAGCGCTAATTATAGAGCTGGCATTTTCCGGTTCCAGAACATACCGAGCACTCATCTACTTCGCCAGCAACGTGGCTCAAGCAATAATTAATTCTGTCGTTCACCACATCCTGTAGCATCATTCGTTAAATTGTTAGCAGCCTCGTAAATCAATGTACAACTCACTTGATTATTCAAGAGTAAATTCCAAAAAGCTTTAATTTTTATGAAATTTTATTCAGCAACGCATGGTTATTTTTCTGGAGAAATAACACGAAAAGGGATATCTGATATTTTATCCACCACCCAAAATCGCTTTAGTTTTACTTACGGGGAAAAACAATAAAGCTAGAAAGTAACGCACAAATGGTCTGATAAACACGTACCACGAGCTTTTCATGCAGACCGAGTGGGGCAGTAACAACATACGACACCCCTGGATGGTCCTTTGCAGCTTCTGCTGTTAGAGACGGAATGTCCTATCAAATAACAACTCACATTCAGTTTCAATTTGACCTTCCAGATTCTGCCTAAATCGGGAGTACAACAAGAAAATTTCGCATATGATGTTTCACCTGGTGCCAATGTCTACACGGGAAACAAGAAAAACGGGCTAACTATAACGCGTTTTGCACCTTGTTGAACACATGAATTGAAAGCATCTTTGATAGATGGCTCAGCTAGTTCCTAGTTAAATAGAAAAACTAGGAGGAATCAACTTCAATATCCAGATTCTTATTTACAATTATTTATTATTATTATTTAAATCAACGGGACAATAACCGCTTTGATTACAAAGCCATCAATTTAAAATAAGAGATACATTTGATCATACGTGTGATTGAATACCATATGAGCAGGCTCCACGATAGGATATTTGGTTTTCTCTCTGAACATGGCCACAAACTCATCTGAAACAAATCGTTATATACGAATTTGTAAGAACAAATTATCGAGGCGTATATCACATTAAGCTAGTTACAGCAATTACGTAAATCGGTTAAACCATATATAATCGCCATTTCTGTATCTGAACTGTCTTTAATTGCAGAAAGTGTCAATTACTATTCAATACAAAAATTAATTCACTGCCTGTATAATATCATGAGTTAACAATGGTGGATGAATCTCAAATAACAAAAAAAAAATAAAAAAATCATTTCACCAATTTTTCACAGTTCATGAATGCTAATTAGAAAATCAATCATAATAATTATATTTAAAAAAATAAAATTAAACTTACTTAGCATAAGATTGGACTCCTTGCGGCGGGAGCCATGGTCGACGATGATGACGCCATCACCTACGTCAACCCCATTTTGCACTTTCCTGAAGCCACCCCCATTTGCGGAGGCCAGACACAATCTCGAAGGTGAATATTTACTTTTCGAGGGGTCTCGATGCAATTTCACAAATTGATGAATTGCAAAATTAGGGCTTCTCGCAGTTCCTATTCTAGTTGGAAGGTTTGACTCAGAAACAGAGTGAAAATACCTGCTCAAACTCAGTGAAGACGATGCCTCCATTTTTTGCTTTCTCCACCTCTTCAATTCTAAAATACTCGTCACTGTAATCCATCCATCTTTTTAGCTTATATTATATATATAATCTTTAAACTGTATTTAAAAAATGGGAAAAATACAGTTTTGGTCCCTCAAGTTTTCACTAATTTCACATTTGGTCCCCATTTTCACAAAAAAAACATTTGAACCATTTCTGTCAATTTTCCGTCAGTAATGACGGAATGAAGCATGTGCCCATCACCGCCTTAGCTGATGAAGTAGCGGTAAATTGACGAAAATGACCAAAATTGTTAAACTATTGAAACATAAGGCACCAAATATGTTTTTTGTGAACATTGAGGACCAAATGTGTAATCAGTACAAACTTGAGGGGTGGAAACTGTAATTTCCCTTAAAAAATATATTATCTTTAAATTATAGTGGGCCGTAGTATTAATACATTGGGTCTCTAGATAATCCAATTTCAATATGTTTAATGGGCCAAAGGCCCATATTTAGAAGCCCGATAGAACCCAATAGCCGAATTAGTGTAGGCCTAATTCTACAACGATTAACTCCAATTAAATATTTAAACATAATTAAGCAAATTCTTTAAAATTAATTATTTTCCAAATTTTGTCGGACTAACATGCTGACAAAAAATTATTACCTATAGTATGAATGGTATCTCCGACAGAAAAAAAATATATTATATATAATTTTCGGACATTGACATTCTTCTTAATTCTTATTACAAAATTTGTCATTTTGTACATAAATTTTAAGTCAACGATCAATTACTAATTAGTATTGCATAAAAAAAATGTAGACAAAAACTCAACTAGTGAAGTTAGGGTACTTCTGCACATGATCCTATGTACTTAACTAATTAACCCGACTAATCAAAGTCAACAAATTAAATTTGCATTTTGCAATACTAATAACATTAAAAGTTAGGTGCATAGTGCATATACATACATTTATTTCATAATTCAGAACAAACAAAATGAGGTGTTATGTGAGCACTTAAAAACAAATGATTTGGTAACATCACCAAACTATGTGACTAATCATTGATGCAACTCCTCACCCTCTCTTTCACCATAACCAATTTAATAGCAACTAACATAAATATCCTCCTGTAAAAAAATATTCAGTAATTGGAGCAAGGGAGCATGTGTCAATTGATTCAAATTCGAATCATCACACTAGGTCGAGTTTATCACATATGATTAGTTTACCGTGGTTTACATCTCTCGTATAGTTTGCAAGCTACTATACGAGAATATATATTTAGACAGTACACCTATATGGTAGACTGCTGCGGGTTCTTTCATTATCAAAGAAAAGAAAATGGTAACATAAATAGCTATTTTTACATTCCAAAACTAAAAGAGATTCTATTTGAAAGGATCTTTATTGTTAGTTGTAGCATTGATGCTTGTCATTTATATAACTTACCGAGAGTGTAATTCACCCGATGTAGTATACGAAGAAAACAATTTTGTTAGTTAGTAACAGAAAAATATTCTCATTTATTGTTCATTATTATTTTATTTTATTTTTTTGGTATACAAGTTAAACTCAATAAACATATCTACTAATTCAAGATAAAAACATCTTTTCAGTCCATGATATTTGGGATAATAACTAAATCTGGTTTAAGCGAGACAGTAATTAACAGAGTAATTAGTAATGATAATTAAGGTAGTTGTTACTGTAAATGAAGTGTGAGGAGAGAGAGAGAGAGAGAGAGAGAGAGAGAGAGAGATCTCCTGCAAAACACGCAAAGGAAGCTGCTGAGTGTACTAGAAAAAGTGGGAGCTGAACTCAGTGCTCTCTCCTACTTCGCACTCATAGATGCACAATCTCCAAGCCAACTTTTCTTCTCTCTCTCTCTCTCTCTCTCTCTCTCTCTCTCTCTCCTGGTAGTTGTCACGGAATTCTCGAGAGATCACTGAACCGGAGCTTCCGATTTTTTTTTTGGCAGTCTTATTTTAGCTCGTGAATCCGTTTGCCACTCTGCTAATCCGTGAAAATTTCACGGAATTCTAGATTTTATGCTGAATTTTGAACCCTCAATCTGGTGGTTTTTTGGATCTGTTTGTTTTATCTGCGAGTAATTTAAATACAAACTAAATTGGATTTGTGCAGATAGTAGACGAGCCGAAAAATGTAGTCTAGAATGTGGGAGTGATTGATTTTACTGCTAATGCAGTGAAATTTCTGTAAAAAATTGAGAGTTTTCGACTACTTCAAAAAAAGCCCTAAATTTAGAAGGGATGAAGCGGAGGTCGAGTTTGCAGAAATTTCATCACAGATGGAGGAGGAAATTCTTTGCTTTGCTTTTATTTCTGTTTTGTGTAGCAACATTTCTGTTGATGGAAGCGGAGCACAGTAGAATCAAACTGCTGACGTTCATATCTCCGCCTTTACGAAAACCGAAAATCGCTTTCCTTTTCATTGCTCGGAATCGAATTCCACTTGACATGGTTTGGGATGTGTTTTTTCAGGTAAATTGTTTGGTTTCTCTTTACTATTTTGGTGGTTTGTTTCCTTTGTTAGAACTGATCTTAATACATTTATTGCCTTAACTGTTTGCTTTTCTTTGTGTGTTTATTATAGGGTTTTGCCCGATAGAGACATAGAAATTAATTAATTTCCTCTATAGATTAGGAAAAAATATCATATACTTCTGTCTCAAAAACAGGTTTTATATTTGTATTGCTGGCAACTGGTTTTTTCGTTTGGGGAATATTTATTTCAATGTTGTTTTACTTATTGTAGCAACTTCTACGGTGATATGATCTAAATGGAATCTGCTTGTGTTAAATGTTTGCAAAATTTTGACGAAAGTTTGTATGCAGAGTTCTTTCAGCCTTGTTAGTTGGGCAGATTGTTATATGAATTTGATGTGTTAGTCATCTAAATGTGATTATATTGCATTCTCTTTTCTTGCTTGATTCTGCGAAATATACTTATGCTTCTTAGAGATCTCCCATTTTACTTATGTTGTTTTGCAGGGTGATGCAGAGAACAGATTTTCTATCTACGTTCATTCGAGGCCTGGGTTCTTGTTGAACACCGCAACAACAAGATCCACATTCTTCTTAAATCGTCAAATTAATGATAGCATACAGGTTTAAATTTGTTTTAAGGATTAAATTTTCTTACTAAACAATTTTCCTTAACTTCCTGTCTGATGCACTCACCCCATTAAACCTTGCTTGTACGATATTCTTGTCTTGGTTATGTTAAAAATTCAGATGATAATGAAGCGCTATAGCCTATATATTCTCTTGTATTTTTCAGTTTTTCCTTTGCATTTCAAGTGATGTTTAGCAAATGATGTTTTCTTAGGTAGAGTGGGGAGAAGCAAGCATGATCCAGGCAGAGCGTATTTTGCTTCAACATGCACTTATGGATCCTTTTAATGAGCGGTTTCTTTTCCTCTCAGACAGGTAATATTAAATATTCTATAATATGGCTTTCGCCTCTCTTTAATTTATAATAGATTTTAATCTTGGAACCCTGCATTTTTCCAGTCATAACTTTGTGTTTTTTATTTATTTCTCGTTTTTTCTTGTTACAGCTGCATACCTTTGTATAATTTCAGCTACACGTATGACTATATAATGTCTACCTCAACTAGCTTCGTGGACAGGTATGAAGATGCAACTCATTCTTTATGATGTAAAGCAGTTTTTTCTTTCTATAGAATTCATAGTTATTTGTCTTACGTTTTCTTTTTTTCCTTTTTTCCTTTTTTCCCCCTATATTTGTTCAATCGTGGTGCCAGCTTTGCTGATTCAAAAGAAAGTCGTTACAACCCGAGAATGCATCCAGTGATTCATGTTGACAACTGGAGGAAAGGATCTCAGGTAACTTATAATTTTGTTTGGGGTTATATTTTCCAACAGTTACACTAGTTTGATAGATACCTCCAATAATATAAGGAATATGAAAATGAAAATCGAAGAACTAACAAATAACAAAGAAGATTGTTTTACTAGCTTGTTATCTCTGTCTTTTCATTCTTGCAGTGGGTTATACTGACCAGAAAACATGCTGCGATTGTGGTTGAAGATGAAACTATATTTCCTACATTTCAGTTGCATTGCAAGGCAAGTGTCTTTATCTTTCCAATTTTCTTCATTTTGTCGACTAGAGTTAAATGTACTCGCAGTAAATATTTCAAATCTGCTATATAGTGCCGTAAAATTCAATTACGAACCAGTGCTTACTTACTTTTATCTATGTCGTAGATGTTCGTTCAAACATGCATGCATTCACATGAAGATAGACTATATGTGCATGTCTTAATTTGTTCTTCCTATAATGTGTTGCATATATTTTTCGATTACTACTCACATCATTTTACTAACCTGTTCTTTATCCTCTCCGGAAACAGAGAAAGTCTTTACCTGAATTTTGGCGGGATCGTCCATTAGTAAGTGCCCCCCACTCTGTTTTTTTTTTTTTTTTTTTTTTTTAAAAGTTATTTATATATTTATTTATTATCTTGCTCATGATCAGCCTGCTGATGGATCCAAGGAACATAACTGCATACCAGACGAACATTATGTTCAGACGTTGCTTTCTGTACGTTGATTCTTTTTCAGTCAACCTAAGGAAGCAAATATTCCTCTGATTTATTTACTCTTCTATTCAGCAAAAAGGCCTAAATGAAGAAATTACTCGAAGGTCACTGACTCACAGTTCTTGGGATATCTCTTCTTCGAGAGATAATGAGAGACGAGGATGGCATCCAGCCACTTACAAATTCGGTGATGCCACTCCGATGCTTATCCAATCCATCAAGGTAGGTCGATTTTTCGTCGCTCCCTATTTTCCAGATTTCTGCATTTTTATTTCGAATAAAATCGGAAATTCTTTGATAAATTCTCCAGGGTATAGATAACATATATTTCGAGACGGAATACAGAAGAGAATGGTGCACCAGCAAGGGAAAACCGTCTCAATGTTTCCTTTTCGCCAGGAAATTTACACGACCTGCTGCTCTACGGCTTCTTAATATGGTGAGTCCATTCTCTACTTTCTCTCTGCTTCTTTAAGGTACACATTACACAACATATATCGATCATAACATGAATGAATAGAATTTTGCAACGAAAACTTATATTCCGATAAATGAAATGCACTTTTTCTCAACTTCAGTCTGCTTTGGGAGTTTCTGGCGAAGCAACGGGGGGCCTGATATTGTGAATAAACTAGAAAGTCATTACACTAGTAAGATGAATGTTTGCATTAATGTTGTTATTGTTGTGTAATAAAGGTGATCATAGTATTAATAATGTGTTACTTATTTACTTTGAGATGTGGATATTAATATAATTAGTTTATTTGCTCCCTTAATAATTAGAAAATGAGGGGTTACTTATATATATCGAGTCGAGGCTTCGTTCGGTTACATATATCGGATTACATTTAGTGATGATGATATTCCTAAGTATTACTTGAAAGTCAAAACTAGTAACCAAACAATACCTTGAGTAATTACCTCATTCTTACCAACTTCAACTACTCCAAAGTCGAAATCGAGGAAATTTTCGACTTAGGAATTCAAGATCGTATGTAGTATTTAAGGAAGACCCTATTCAAATTATTCTTAAACACGTGATTGCACCTGTGAGCACTCCATTGGCATATCTCTTTTATTAGTATAAACATCAAAATGCAGTACTAATAGGGGTACATGGTCAACAAACCAAGTCACGCCGAACTTATATATTTGTTTGTTCAAATTTTTACCGAACTTTCAAGATTGTGCTTGACCTTGGTAATAAGCAAAAGAATCGAGCTCCAACAAGTTTTAATTGAATCGAATACGAATTAATCGAGCTTGAGCTAGACGCTTGATTTTTTTATTTTTTTTCTAATCTAGCTTCAGTTCGAGCTGAATTTCATAATTTATCGAACACAAATTTATGGTTAAAAGTTGTTTGCTGAGGTCCAACGGTCACTGGACTTGGACTCGTGGCAGTTATAAAATTCGTTAAAGTCTTACACCCAAATCTCTGATTTCATTTACTTGTCTATTAAGTCTTCCTCGTGGTACTGTGTCTAGCCTCCACGTGGCAACCTCCCTTTTTCTTGTGGTCGGTGGCCTGTGGGGCCCCATTGACTGAGCCACCGCCCCGAATCGCCGATCTAAAAGCCCACGCGCTTTTTGTGGATAAAACGGAAAAAACAGAAAAACGGACCCTTTGTTGGAATTAATTAGCAGTGGATAATCCAAAATAATTCGGTTAATTGCTTTTACCTAATTAATCATTTGTTTTTATCTTTTATTTTGAAATAAAATATTCTGTATATATTTTGTATTGGTAAAGAATATAATGATGGATCACTTTATTCGTGTTCCATTTGGATTTAGTGGAAATGATAAGGGTATAAAGTCTTTTAAGGTTGGGTAGGCTGATGCTCTGCATGCATGGCCTTATGGGCAGAATAATTAAGCCAAAAGGGAAATAATATATTTTTTTCTCAAAGAAACCCTAATAAATATATATTTTATTGCAAATAAAATAAATATATAGTACTTAGAAAATGAGTCAACAATATTAGTGCAGGATGGATATTTGATGATCAATTAAGAAATCTTCTCGAGGAAAATGACATTTTGGATAATATTAATTAATATAATTCTCCCACGTACTCACTCAAAAATTAATTCTCATTTTCTTTTTCCGCAAAAACCAACCGCCCATCTCTCCTTCCTTTGAACCTTCCAACAATCTTAACATAAGAGAATATATCATTTAAAAAAAAAATTAAATTAAGGATACATAAAATAAAATAAAATAATTAGAATTTAGAATCTTAATCAAACAAGTGAAAAAAATATTAATTCATAATAATAAATAAAATAATAATCTACCGTAACATTACTGTTCAACCGTTGCCTATATAAATTCATTACCATTTTCCATCATCAGATCAATGCATCAAAACCAATTCAAGAAAAAACAAGATCACACATTTACAAGAATTTAATTATCTTCATATATAAATAGATTCCTTCATCATCTATATAAACCCCCGTTTGGCCTCTCCTTCTCCACCAAATATAATTAAGTTAACAAGTTTTTCTCCCATAGCTTATTTTCTTTCTTTGAATGGCTCCAAATTTGAGCAAAGGTGCCTCAAACGCCGCATTTCTTGTCGATGGATTCACCACCTCGATCGTTAACCTGGATGATGAATCGAACTTCACCGTCAACGACCACGTTTTCCTCTCCGAAGTTCCACCCAACATCACCGCTACCCCATCACCCTACGGCCCCACCGGAGAGAAGGTGGTGCCACCATCCTCCTCCGCCTCTCTGGGATGCTTCGTTGGGTTCGACACCGAAGTACCGTCCAGCCACCACGTGGTCCCAATCGGGAAGCTCAAGAACATCAAGTTCATGTCCATTTTCAGGTTCAAAGTATGGTGGACCACCCACTGGATCGGGTCAAACGGTTCGGATCTCGAGCGCGAAACCCAAATCGTCATGCTCGACAAATCCAACGATAGCGGAAGACCCTACATCGTCCTACTCCCACTCATCGAGGGCCCGTTCCGGGCCTCCCTCCAACCCGGAACAGACGACTTCATCGACATATGCGTCGAGAGCGGGTCAACAAAAGTCAACGCATCCTCATTCCGGGCCTCGCTCTACATCCAAGCCGGAAATGACCCTTTTACCCTCGTCAAGGACGCCATCAAGGTGGCTCGCCGCCACCTCGGCACATTCAAGCTTCTAGAGGAGAAAACCCCTCCGGGCATCGTCGACAAGTTCGGGTGGTGCACGTGGGACGCATTCTACCTGACCGTCCACCCCCACGGGGTCATGGAGGGGGTGAAAGGTCTGGTGGACGGGGGTTGCCCACCGGGGCTGGTCTTGATCGACGACGGGTGGCAGTCGATCTGCCACGACGAAGATCCGATCACCTCCGAGGGGATGAACCGGACGTCCGCAGGGGAGCAGATGCCCTGCAGGCTCATCCAGTTCCAGGAGAACTACAAGTTCAGGGAGTATGAGAGCCCGAACCAAACGGGGCCCGGCCCGAAATCGGGGATGGGGGCCTTTGTTCGGGATCTCAAGGAGAATTTCAAGAGTGTGGATTATGTGTATGTTTGGCATGCTCTTTGTGGGTATTGGGGTGGACTTAGGCCCAATGTTAAGGGCCTGCCTGAGGCTAAGGTGATTGCCCCCAAATTGACACCTGGACTTGAGACAACTATGGAAGATTTGGCCGTTGACAAGATTGTCAACAATGGTGTTGGCCTGGTCCCACCTGAATTCGTTGACCAAATGTATGAAGGTTTACACTCACATCTTGAATCTGTCGGGATTGATGGTGTCAAAGTTGATGTCATCCATGTAAGTTTTCTTTTTGGTTAAATTACGAAAAAACCCCTAAACTTAGATTAAATTACAAAAACCACCTTCACCTATTTGCTGTAATTAATTAATTATTATGTTTGAACACACATGCATACAGTTATTGGAGATGGTGTGTGAGGATTATGGAGGGAGAGTGGAGTTAGCAAAAGCTTACTACAAGGCATTGTCTTCCTCAGTGAAGAACCATTTCAAAGGGAATGGTGTAATTGCCAGCATGGAGCACTGCAACGATTTCATGTTCCTCGGAACCGATGCTATTTCCCTCGGCCGCGTCGGTAATTAATTATTTCTCTTAATTAAACACGTTTATTGATTAATGTCTTAATTAATTACAATTACCGAGAGAAATTAATTTAATTTGCGCATGCAGGAGATGACTTCTGGTGCACTGATCCATCCGGCGATCCAAATGGCACGTTCTGGTTGCAGGGTTGCCACATGGTGCACTGCGCCTACAACAGCTTATGGATGGGTAATTTCATCCACCCTGATTGGGATATGTTCCAGTCAACGCATCCTTGCGCGGAGTTCCACGCAGCCTCACGCGCCATCTCCGGTGGGCCCATTTACGTCAGCGACTCCGTCGGAAAGCATAATTTCCAGCTGTTGAAGAGCCTGGTTCTTCCCGATGGTTCGATCCTCCGCTGCGACTACTACGCGCTCCCCACGCGCGACTGCCTCTTCGAGGACCCGCTCCACAACGGCGACACCATGCTCAAAATTTGGAACCTAAATAAGGTCATTTAATTCCGCAATTTTTTTTTCATCAGAATTAAAATTCAATTGTGCCCTAGAAAAAAAAATAAAATTTACCGATTTGTTTGATGTATATTTCAGTTCACCGGAGTGGTGGGGGCGTTCAACTGCCAAGGCGGCGGATGGAGCCGCGAAGAGAGGCGGAACAAGTGCGCCGCCGAGCACTCCCACCGCGTCTCCTCCGTGGCGGGCCCCGCCGACGTAGAGTGGAAGCACGGAACAAATCCAATCTCCGTCGAAGGAGTCGGAAAATTCGCCATGTACTTTTTCCGAGAGAAGAAGGTGGTGATCTCTAATCCGTCGGACACAATCGCCGTATCTCTGGATCCGTTCAATTTCGAGCTCATCACCGTATCTCCGGTGAAGTTCCTGGCCGGATCTTCCGTGCAGTTCGCTCCAATTGGTCTGGTGAACATGCTGAATACAGGTGGCGCGATTCAGTCGTTGGTGTATGACGATGGTGCGGCTACAGTTGAAACTGGAGTGAAAGGAACCGGAGAGATGAGGGTGTTTGCTTCTGCAAAACCGGTGGTGTGTAAAGTGAATGGCAAAAGTGTGAATTTTGTGTATGAAGATGACATGGTTATTACTCAAGTGCCATGGCCGAACACTTCTTCTGGAATTTCTGTCGTTGACTACGTGTTTTGACTTTTCATTACTACTTCCTCAATTTAATATATAAATTGGGGTTTTATATTATTATTATTATTATTATTATTATTATTATTATTATTATTATTAAATGTATTTCCAAGTAATGAAATATGAATAAGCTTTTATATCTCCCAATTTGAAATTTTGGCTTGTTTATTATGTTCTACTTATTCGGTTACTTGTATTGAATTTATTTGAATTAAATGAAATGAAATTAATTATTTACTAGTTAATTAATTATTTAATTTTGAATTAGATGGGATTGAATTATTTTCTCTAGCGAGTAAATAATTATTTAACTAGTAATTACGATGTTATTTCAATTTTCAATAGAGCAATAAATAAATATTTTAGATTCACAACAATAAATCCATTAAGGATTTGAAAGAAGATTTTTTATTTACTGGGCCAACCCGCCGAGTTAGGCTTAAGCACAAAATAATCTAAAATTGGGCTAAGCCCACACATATACAAAGAGTAGTATCCACAACTTCTCTTCAGTTCGATTCGCTTCAATTCCATCCAATTTCAACTACCACATAGCGACTTTAGTTCAAAAGATAAGGATCGCGAACCGAATGGGAAATCCTCACTCTTCACCAAGAAGTAAGCGAGAGGACTCCGCCTTCAGCCTACAGTATCGTTCTTCGTCGTAATTTTCTCTGAAAAATTCACAATCCAAAAGCAAGCATCTTCCAATTTTCCTTATAAATAAATACATAGATATTATATATACATACAGTACTTCGCCTCTGTGTATATTCGATTGATCGAGTACTCAGTCAGATGAATAACAATACGACGTCGCAGTATATGGACAAGCAGATCATGGATCTCTCCAATTCTCAGAGCGCCGCCGCTGCTACTGACAACAATGGCGGCGGCAACAGTGACTTCATCGATTTCATGAATCGTCCGCCGGAGAAGAAAGACGACATCGTTCCGAGCTACGAATTCATGCCGATTCGACCCGCTGTCGGATCGTCGTCTCCGAAGGCTGCACGTCCGTCTAATTTTGACTCCGGCGACGACGATGCTCCCCTCAGAACGTGGAATTCCTTAGATTCCAGACCCGGTGCCTCTCCAATCAGAGTATTTCGCTAAACCTCTTGTTATTTTTTTTTATTTTTTTTTTGCTGAATAAATTTGAGCTCAATAATTGTTTATTATGTGATTTCTGGTTGGATGAATGATTGTAGTGGTTCTATAACGAATAGCTACGGGTGGTTTGATTATTTTCAATATGCTTGGTGTGTATGATAATTCCAATTTTTTTTGGGTAAATCAGATTAGTTTATTTTGTTAAGGTATAGGGGTTAAGATTTTTGTGTTTCTTCTTGGATGGGGACGATGAAATAATTATTAGGATATTGAATTTTGGTATCTGTATAGATTTATATATATTGTCTTATGCGATTTTTTTTGTCTTGTGTTCTTCGTTTTATTTTCCTAGAATTACAATTCTATTGATGCTGATGAGCCTGCCAAGTTTGTTTTGGGGAACAATCACAAGCCTAGCAATGCGTCTTTGGATGCGTCTTTGGTTTCCGAGATTGATAAGACGATGAAGAAGTATATGGACAATTTGACACATGCTGTTGATAACATGAGTGCAAGATTATCTCAGTTGGAAACAAGGACTCGCAACCTCGAACATTCCATTGATGATCTTAAGGTTTCTGTTGGTAATAACCATGGCATCACTGACGGAAAAATGAGACTGTTGGAGAATATCCTTAACGAGGTTTGTGCCTCGTACTCCTATTGTATCTTCTCTTTCTAAATTTTGTGTATTTTGATCAATTTTAGCCCCTTTGTTTATTACATATTCAAACTGCTTAATTAATCTCCGTCTCGTGTTTGCCTGGTTATCGTAATAATGTTTGCAGGTGCAAGCTGGTGTAGAGCTTATAAGGGATAAACAAGAAGTAGTAGAAGCTCAAGTACAGATTGCTAAAATGCTCAACCCGAAAGTTGAACAAGTTGAAAGCAAGAACACTGCACATATGGATTCTACTCAGACAGGAGTTCCTACTCACCAGCAGTACTCTACTGTTTCTCCGGCACAACCACCGCCACCCAACGCCCCTCCACCACCACCTCCACAGCATAACTTACAGCCTCAAGTTCAGTTTCCCAATCAGTTCCCTCAAAACCAACCACCTTCTATTCCTCAGCGAGAGTCTTATTTCCCATCACCCGGTCAAACCCCCGAAAACCCGAATCAGCAATACCAACTACCTCCACCACCACCCCCACTACAGCTGCAGCAGCACCACCCTGGCGCACCACCGTCACAGCTACAATACTCTCAGCAGCCACCACCTCCTCAGCCGCAGTACTCTCAGCCGCCACCACCACCTTCTCAACCGCACCCCTCGTTCCCACCTGCTAACCCCTCTCTACCTCAACAACCAATCGGTAATCATCTTCCAGAAGAATCAATGTATGCACCCCCACAGACTTACCCATCGGGAATTCGCCCCCCACCCCCCTCTCAACAATACTATAGCCCCACCAACGTGTATGAGCCTCCATCAAACAAACCTGCATTAGGATATTCTAGTTCTTTTGGTCCATCATCTGGTCATGGTGATCCATATCCTTACAGCAGCTCTCCATCAAAGTATGGTGGTAATAACTCGCCTGTGAAAGCACAGCATATGGGCCAGAGTGGTGGAAGTGGTTATCCACAGCTACCTACAGCTAGAGTATTACCTCAAGCACTGCCGGCAGCCGCCGCAGTAGGTGGTGGTGGTGGTGGTGGTTCTGGGTCTGGTTCAGGTGGTTCTGGGAATAGGGTACCTATTGATGATGTAGTCGACAGAGTAACAAACATGGGATTTCCGAGGGACCAAGTCAGGGCGACGGTGAAAAAGTTGACAGAAAATGGACAAGCGGTTGATCTGAATATAGTCCTCGACAAGTTGATGAATGATGGAGATGGACGAAATTGGTTTGGTCGGTAAATCGAGCCTTTTCTGCTTCGTGGTTTGTAGAGATTTAAATTACCCGTTTTTGTGTTAACTCTGCGTGGACAAAGATAATTTCTCGTGTTTTGATTGTCCTGTAATTGGGTTTTACATTTTTTCTAGAGATATTTATGAAACCTTGTTCTTGAGTTTGATCATGATTTGCCAATGTGCTTTGTGTTTGTATTTGTCTGTGTTTATATTTCCTTTCTTTTCATCCTCACTCCCCAGTGTGTAAGTATCCAGTGTAAGTTCTTGTGATTATATATACATTTGTCTGTAAAATCGTAAATCAATACATTTCGGGTATTGTTATATTGGTGTAAACTATGTATAAAATTATCGATCTATAAAACAATATTTAGTTATCAATATTAATGTTTTATTAAGAGTCAACCGTTGACTTAATATTGTTGGTCTTTCTTTTATGAAAAAAGTCCCAATTATAAAATTAAAAGAATATCACTAATAATTTTAGGACTTGGAAGTAAATTTCTATTCATTCATCTCCTCAACTAGGATGGATGCCTTTATTTCGTCCTCAAATTTATCAAAACCCAAATTCAGGGGGTCAATCTACAATATTACAAAGATAGAAACACCAAACTGCAATTCTTCCCGAAAGACCCTGATATATTTTTTTTTCATTTTATTCTATGCTACACCCGATAAAATTTACTGAGTTATTTTCTACTATACATATGTACATGTAATTTTATATAAATGAAAAGTGAAAAATTACTTAATGTATTTCATCAAACGTAAGCCCAATACTCTTCACAATAGAACAAGGGTACACTTCTCATATTTCATGAAAGTATGGGGTCTCAATATTAATTTATATTTTCCCTATCCAACCCTCCAAATGTAAAACCCCCTTTCAGCTTTTCTTCTCTACATTTCAAATACACAAAACAGACAAATATTCATAAACAACACAGCTGAACACCAGATAGGCACACCAGATATATACAAAGAAGGAGAGCAATCGGGAATAATTTCTTTTTTGCGTCTGCTATTAATTGAATCCCCAATAGCTGGGATACTTATAAACTCGACGCATGCTTGCGGATTGAAGAAACAAGGAATCAAAACCCTAGAAAGAAAAATCCCATTCTATCAGGTTAGCGTCGACCCCCTTTTCAATTGATTTTGATTTATGAACAACGATAAATTCATTTGAGTTTTTATCATGCTATTAATTAGGCTTTATGAATTGTATGATTGATTTCTGTACATTGTTTCGGAAGAATCTCTGTTTTTTTTTTTTTTTCACAATTCATGTTTCTCGCGATTTTGACATGTATGGTTTCGAGAATGTGGAGCATTTAAGTGACAGATGTAATTGAAATACATTTTTTGTTTTCTGCTTTTCCCTTAATGAAAGTTAGCGCCTCACTGAATTTCTAGATGAGTGTGCTTGTGATTGGGATGATTGATTGTACATGCTTCTTCGTTGTGTTTTGATTATATATATAGGGAACTGATACATATGACTTAGGTATTCCTGCCTTACTTACTCGTCAGCTTGCGCACAGTTTGGTTGTTTTTCACAGCTCTGGTTCTGTAATAAGAATGTCTACGTCTTATTCCTATCTAGGATTCTAGCTAAGGGTTTATTTTTAAGTGTCCAATGCCAGTGATCAAATTAGTTGCTTGGTAGGTGCTTTAAGTGCATTTTAGCTCATTTGGACTTACCGTATGACAGTTATAAGATAATGACTTCCACGTGTGAGATTTGATGAAAATATCGAGATTCTGAAATTGAATGCAGATTACATAAACAGACCGGTGGCAAAAAATGATATGGAAAGCTATTTTCAACTAATAGTGACATGTATGATTATTTGCTTGAAGCCCGTATTCTGCTTGGCTTGAATAATTTCAGTAGTTTATTGATACTTATCCTAGTTAAGGATTAACATACCTCTTTGAATCTGCGAGGGTTTTGAGAGTAGAGAAGTTTGCATCTGCTGTGAGTTCTTATTGTTGACTTCAAATATTTATTGAGAACTGTATCGCTTCCATATGCTAATTGATCCGTTTTAGGATTTATTGGTATATTGGAGAATAAAAAGTACTTTAGAAAGTGTTGCTTCTACATAGAACCCGTTTTCACTTTCTTTCATTTTCTGATACCTATTTTTTGTTAGCTCACCCTTTCTTATTACAAGTGCTTAAAGAGAGCTTTAGTTGTTTGCTTTAATTTGGATAAATGGGTGTAAATAATCTATCATTTTTTTTCTATAAACTAGGAATCTCATATGTCTCTGTGGTTGGGTTATGAATATTAGTAGTATTTCTGTTCTATGTAGGCGCAACTGCATAAATAAACCAACAAAAAACAAATTAGAAGCTTAGTGCTCCTGCTCTCGCATTCCGTCCACGTGAACTTGGGAAAGAATCAAAGTATTGACTGAATTATGGCACTATATACTTTCTTTTCATGTTATGAATATTGAATGAGAAACACCATTTCTTTGGCAGATTAACAGGTGAAATAATTTCAAATTGTCTGAATTACTTGCAGTGATTGTATGTCAAAAATTACCAAAAAATTGGAAGTTCTGCTTTGTTATTATTTTTTTCAGATGCCTTGGCCCTGGCAGTTTTCTTTTTATTTATCGACTAAAACCTTTGTTATGGTTTTTGCCTCGTCCAGTACATATCTTGGATACATTCTGCAAGTTAATTTACCCCATCACTGGATAGGATATAGCTTTCAGCACGGCACAACAAATTTGATCTCTCCTATTCCTTACAAGCATTCCATGGAGCTGAAGGTCTCTCCTGAGAAACCAGGGTTTTCATCTTCCGATTTGGCCAGTGATCCTGAGGACAAAGCAATCAGTGAAGGTGAAGATGAGGATGATGATCGTAATCACAAGCATCGCAGACGTGAGGCACTTTCTCAATCTCTGGGGGCTGATCAAGGTTTGACAAGACCATATAGAAAAAGGAATAGGCCCTTTGAAAATGGGTACCCTTACAAAGAAGTAGACCCTCAATCAGGTGAAACCTGGAACAGTTATAATAATGCTTCAGACAGAGACTTCCCCTCAAGGTTTGAGAAGAGACATTCAAACCAGGCCTCATTTTCCATGCCCCATAATGAATTTAACCCAAGACTCGGGGGAAACCAAACATTATCAGGTCAAATTGGCCCTGTTAGGGGTCGAGGAAGGGAACCTTTTCCATGGGGGATTCATGATTCCAGGCTTGGCTTGGTTGATGTTTCATCTCACATTGTTCAGCATGGACCTCTCCCTCCTGCTCTGTTTGCTGGCAGGGGCTTGCCAAGTATTTCTAATGCACAGACATCTTGGAATGCATTTGGACTGGTTCCAGGCTTACCTAATGGCAGGCTTGACTCACTTCACCCACTAGGTTTGCAAGGGGCACTCAGACCAGCTATTAATCCGCCAATGAACATTGGTATTCAGCGGCAACGGTGTCGAGACTTTGAGGAACGTGGTTTTTGCTTAAGGGGGGATATGTGTCCAATGGAACATGGTGTCAATCGTATTGTTATTGAAGATGTACAGGTGTGTGAACTGTACAGATGAGAAATTCTTATTATGTTACTTTCACTTGGTGTTACAGAATGCTTTTGGAGTTATCTAACTGAACTACTACTCGACGTAGATGTTTCACATTTTTTACCTCGGAAAAATTAACATGCATGCAAATGTACTGGAGATAGTATATTTTTATGACAAATTAAATTTGTATGTTTTATCTGCAGATGGGTGATCTATAATGACGCTTTGCGGATAATAGCCTATAAAACATATAACCCCTTTAAGCCTAAGTTCATTGTTGAAATGAAATTTCTCGATCACGAAACTTTATGCTGTCTTAGTTTTTTTTCCTTATCGTTGAAGGATAAGACTAGAAATATCGCTGAGTTAAAAATTTACGAGGAACTTTGTATTAATAGATTTGGAATTCTTTCATGCTAGTAACCATGCCCTTCTATGTTTGTGGATCTTATGTATCATCAACTTAGGCAACAAATAATGAAGTCTCTTTTAGCAATAAGACTTTGTTCTTTCTTGTAGTTGAATATATTAATACTTGCAAACAGTACCGTGGTTGTGTAGTGACAGCAATTTATTCATACTTCCCTGTTGAGATGGTTATTGGCTGGAACTACTTGATTAACAGCTATTCTGAAAATTGCAGAGCCTTTCACAGTTCAATCTCCCTGTTTCACTTTCTGGCTCACAGCTTCTGGGGACATCTTCTGGACAAGGTGCTTTACCTGTAAATAGCAAAGCTTTTCATGCAAAAAGTAGCAGGCTTGGAATGACTGAAGATGGTTTTGGCCTGGCTGGTGGTGTTGTTGGAGGTTCTATGGTGGGGGCATCTGACGTGTATGATCCAGATCAACCTTTATGGGGAAATAGTGGTCCCGAAACTTCAGCAGCAGTCCGAGCACTTAATCAATCAAATGCGCATGACACAGAGTCATTTTTGGAAATGGACCTCTCTGATCAGCAGAACATGGCACCTATTGAAGGATTTAATGATGAGCGTTCACTCCGAAATGCCACCAATATTGGATCTCAAAGTTCATCTGTTTGGGGAAGGATAGGTAGTTCAAAGCGTAGTTTAGGAGTAAAGGAAAAAAATGATACAGTTGGAACATCCTCTTCTTATCTTGACCGGAACAGCAAAAGTGAGAAAGAACTAAGTGCTGGTCTTTCGGATGTTCCTCATCAAGGGAAGTGGACAAATGTTGATGGAAACGGTCTATTAGTTAAGAACCATAGTGATCCTGTTCACAGTATTCGTAAACAAACTCCTCAGGCACTTCGTACTCTATGTGTCAGCAGCATTCCTGTGAAAGACAACAAAAGGGAAGCTCTTCTTTCGCACTTTCAGAAATTTGGTCAGGTCATTGACATTCATATTCCTGCAAACAGTGAAAGGGCGTTTGTTCAATTTTCAAGAAGGGAAGAGGCGGAAGCAGCAAAGAAGGCACCAGATGCAGTTATGGGCAATCGATTTATTAAGCTTTGGTGGGCAAATCGAGACAATATTCCTGATGATGGGATGAGTGGCACCGCTAATGTGCCAATTACTCGCCGTGGAACGGCAAATAATCCTGCTATTTCTCATCCATTTGTTCTTGATAAAGGAAAGGGAAGTCCTCATCCTGCAAGTGGCAAAGATGGCAACGGCCATCCGTCTGTTTCTCAGCAGTCGGTTTATGATCATTCCAAGCTTGTGGTTGCTAATGGTCCTAAAGCCCCCCCACTACAACAGAAGAAATTGGAGAATTTAGAGCTTTTGAAGGAAGAACTTCGTAAGAAGCAGGAAATGCTTGACCAGAAACGAAATGAGTTCCGGCGCCAGTTAGACAAACTTGAAAAACAAGTAATTCTCAAAATTTCTTCATTTGGATTATGCTAGAAAAATATTTCTTGAGCGATTATTCTTTTGATCCTCAGGGTTAAATCTGCACATATTATATCTCCTTTTAAACACCCGAACCAGTGGGGTCTGTGGGATAAAGGGAAAGTGATATGAACATTATATTTCATATTAATTCTGCACTATCAGTTGATTTAAACACCTGACACCTGCTTATATAGAGGTTTGGTATGGATTTGTATGCTAGTTACTAACTGAAACAGTGGGGTCTGTGGGATAAATGGGAAGTGATTTGAACATTATATGTGCCATTTTGCCCCATTCTTTAGCTTTCTTCACTATTTTAAATTAAAGTAGAAGTAAAAAAATAACATAAACTCAGCTTCATTCAAGTTTTAGCGACCCTTAAGTTTTCATCCTTTTGCAGGCTGTAGGCCCCAACGATGTGACGGCATCAGATCTGACCCCAAAAAAGCTTAAAGGTGAAACACCATCTAATCATGCGAAAGCTGAAACTCCCAAGTCATTACCAAGAGATAACATGAAGAATGCGAATGCCATTTCTACTGAACATACATCCAATTCAAATCCAACCATGAAGGTCCAGGAACCTTCGAAACCTTCATTGCATCCACCGACATCTGTAGGGCCACCACCTCTTACAGTAAACAGATTCAAACTGGACAACCGGCCCACAGCATTCAGAATCATTCCTCCATTACCAGCTGGCCTTGAAAACGTAAGTTTCTTATTTATTTTGTCTTTCCACATACCTTGTCATTTTCTCCTCGTATGACATTTTTCTGTATTAACCCAGTCTGTTGTAATGGCTATTTTACGTGCATGCACCTATATTTGCCTCTTATGCCATAAATGCCTTGCATATTATTTATCCTTCATTAATTTTGATGGATGTGTGGGGAAAAAGTGTAGGATTTTTCGAGACCTATTCTTGATGTGTTTGTTGGTGCTTTAGAATTTTACGAACTTGGGAAATTGGATATTATGTCTTCAGTTAGTTTTGCATGAATCCGGCTTTACTCTTTATAATGATAATTATTTAATATTAACAAAATTGAGTGTATGTTTACTAGGTTGCTGCTTTGGAGGAGCACTTCTCTACTTACGGTGATATTTCTTCGGTGGAACTTGAAGAGTCAGAACTTCAAGGGACTAGCAATGCTTCAGCATCCTCCGATACTTCTTCAGCTCGTGTTTGCTTTACAACAAGACGGTTTGCTGAAAAGGCATTCTTGCATGGTAAATCATGGCAAGGTCACAAATTGCAGTTTATGTGGCTCACGTCTAATAACGAAGGTGCTCGGCCAGTAAATGTTTCAGTTGCTTCTAAAATATCATCAAATGCTACTACTAACGTTAAGCCTGTCGGAGAAGATGCAACCATCGCTAAAAATCAGAAAAAATCTTCCTTAGAAACAGGGGAACCTGTAGAAGCTGATGCAGATTCTGAATCTATTTCGACCGAAAAGCAGCTTTCTTGAAGTTCTTGTCCCTGATGCTGCTTCTAGCTGTACAGTGAGGTAAAAGTGATGTCAGATTAAAATATAATTCATATGTTTTGTTAGATGGTGCTAAATTCTAGCTACGATAACATTTTTTCTCATTTTTGAGATGTGTGGGGAGATATCTATAACTTTCGACTGTTAGCCATAGTGAGTGCAACATGTAATTCATTGTGTTTCGATATAGATATTTTTAGTATAGTTACACTTCCAACTTTTTTTTATTTGTTCTTTTTTGTTTTAAAGGATGTACCTTGGAACATTTGGGCTTCTCCATGCCCTTTTTTACTGTGATATTTTTTAAATAACTTCTATTTGTTAATTGCGAGTTAAAATGACATAATTGCCCCATAATAACCAGTTGACTGAATTGCAGAAACTACTCAGTTCTATGTGATTTCCCTAATTGATTAAAAAAGACTCCATAATTTTTTTAAAAACTAAATCAATTGTAGGATATTTATAGGCAATATGAAATAGGACTACTTCAAAATTATGCAATCAACTGCATAGAAAGTTTTTTTTTTATAATATAAAACGTTTAGAGAAAATAAAAGGAATATAACCCCTTCTCTTACTCTAATCATTTTTCTGCATATTTCCTGCATTAGTTGGCTTTTTAAAATCCAAGTGACAATGGCTATAAATAAGTTAAAATTACATCCTATTCTTTTTTTTTTTGATCTACACTAAACACAACAAAATAACCCCCCTTGTACGGAATCACGAGACAGCCATATTAGCAAGTCTCAGCTGTTTATCCGCAGGCAAATATTCCTTCAACGACACACAGGTCTGATGCATCACTCGAAATAACAAGTTCGCCATTTCTTTCTCAGTGCTGTCAATAGGTTGTGAGCCAGGTATGTAATCACCACCTTCTACATCTCTGGCCCAATCATGAATCCGGACCGTCGATTTCCAAAAGTACGATGCTACAGATTCTGCAGCTACCCCCCACCCACTGCCCTCAAGGAGAGATGATAGAGTGACAGGCAGGTCACTCAACACACTTAACTTATCTGCCACCAAAAATGGCATGTATTTGCAGCAGCTGCCAGATAACAGGCCTAGAAACCGCAGAGTCTTCATAAAGAATGAGACAATAAAGTATCAGTGACTATTTATTTCCAAAGATTTGGATAAAAAATAATAAAAAATTGGAACTTTTTGGTCCATACATACCGTTGAAGGGTAACTTGTCACACACAAGATTTCCGCTGTGTCAACAAGCCATTGTCTTCTAGTGCTCTCATCACTGTGTTGCAAAGTTACGGTGACTTCTACCAGAATGTTCCAGACAACTGCATGTTTAGATATTTGAGTACTCTCTGTTAGTAGGGCTCAAAGAAATTTCAGTGTAATCACTTTGAAATTCTGGCAAACTAACCTTCTGAATTGATGTTCAAAATATAGGCTTTCAATTTGGCAAGTTCCAACACTGGAATTGAGCCGATTCGAACCAGTGCAGTTTTAGCGAAAACCTTTTTCAGAGTATTGAAGATTTGGTTGTTCTCTTCTTTGAATTGAACATCTAAAAACTGTTCATCAAAAGAGAAGAAATTATTCCACATTTCTCGTCAAATGTGAGCGTAGGGTGGACACATAATACAAATGATGGCAAGCATTTATGTAATTTGAGTGCTTGAGTGTGCAAAACCAAGTGTGGAATCATTCGAGGGAAAGTGAAATCATACCGACAAAAGATCTGATAGTAGCCAGCTTTGTCGAGCCTTTCCAAGACATCTAATTGCTTCAGTCCATTCCAATTGGGGAATCTTCTGATATGACTCTACAATAACACCTGACCGAGACCAAGGCAACATTGTAAACAGAATTTCCATACAATGTTCAAAGTTATATGCATAATCTTGTGTCTCGAGGGCAGCAAATTCATTTAAACACATCTGCAGACCCTTCCAGCATGAAACCCGCAACATTATTTTCTGTTCATCATCGTATTGATCAGAAGAAACAGACCAATGTAAGAATTCGGCCACATCATCAAAAACCTTGGCAATTCTTAAATTGGAGAATGTCTTCATCAGGTCCGTCAGGTGCAAGAGTGCTAGTGATTGCAGGTTTGATTCGAGCGTCTTGAACCTTGACAGGTCATATAGTTCGTCAAGGTAGCCAAGAAGTGAATCAGATTGCTTGGCATGAGATAACAAGAATAGAAAGCATTCCTCCCTTAGAGTTCCTTTTCTGAAGGCTATTATATCTTTCGAAGGCATTTCAGCCACTTGACTACCATATTTCATGCATTTTCTGATGATTGCTCCCCAGTCCAATGAGGGTAATCTTGGAGCATGTGATAGGCATCGCAGAGCAAAAGCAACTGTTGCAATTTTTATACTGCTACCAAGCTGCAATCATTGAATTTGAAATCAAGATTTCGGCATCGCAAGGAAAAAGATACAATTCTGATATTTAGTCTGCTACAAACTGCACCTTATTGAAGTCGAGAAAGGAAGGCAAAGCGAGAAAGAAAAAAAAAAACTTTATATAGCTGTAGAAGAATGATTTGGTATTTAGCTACAGGGGAAATAAAATGATTTTCTACAATACACAACAATGATGAAAGGTAGATATACATATACATATACCGATATACATATTACTTTCTAGTTTGATCATATCAAGACAATGAAATAACTTGCAAGGATGCTACAAAAAACCCGACTCCTTAAAGAAACAATATCACCAATAACTTCAAATAATCAAAATTCAGCGAAGGATACCTCAGAATAATTCATCTGCATAAGCCACACAGAAAGTTTCATGACAATGCTGTCTTCGGAAAATTCCTGAGCGACAGACTTCGGGTCAGGGATACCAGAGTCATGTACAGCACTCTCCTCATTAGCAGATTCTCTAGAGAAAACAAAATGCCTGAGAAAAGAAACTGCCCATGATGCATATTGTTGTGATTGAGGATCCTCAGAGTTTTGTGCAACAAGAAATATCTCTTGAATAAGTGATGTGGACTCAGCCTCCAGAACATTATTCGAAAGTAGAGGACCCAAGACTTGAGATGGATCCTGCCAGGACAAAACAGCCCAATAAATAAATAAAATCACAAGTAAAACTTGGAGTTTTTCCTTTCTTTGTATGGATTTCAGTAGATTCCACACCCATTTTTCCATTTCAAATTTGCTCACGTTTCTAGATATCAATCGTACGTTTTAATAACTAGTCAGTTAGCTTACATTGTGAACAAGAATTTCCTTTTGATATTTAGTTGATAAAATTCAAAAAACCATTTTCTAACAGGAAATAGGATGGCTTTTTCTTCTTAAAGATAAAGCAAACACCAAAGAGTGAGTTGGGAATTACAACCTTTTGATCAGATGTGGTGGTCAATGAGGATAAAGGGAAGAGTTGACTCAGCATCCCTGCACCAGCCCCCATCGCATTTACAACACCAAGCATTCCTCCTAGATGAATAAATGGCGGGTGAGGACTCGAGTAAGTTCTTCTGAATAATGCTAGCAAAGATTTAGCATGTTCGACTTCTAAAGAGTGCAACCCCACATTCAAGTTAATACAGAGGAGGCTGCCCGCCCCAGCACAAGATGCCATCAACAAGCTCTGGTGAAAGGTGTCAAATGGTTCAACAGACAACAGCTCAGAGATGAGGTTCACAAAGCCACTGATAAGATGGTCCAACTCAATATCATTAATCAGTTCTACCCTATGGCAGAAATATACTACAGATGGTAAGGCAAGGCATGCTCCTAAAGACGACATCTGTAAACATGTTTCACCTACAGCGAACTTTGAGAAGGAGATATTTGCACTAGGAATCCATGAAATGATTAGTGATTTTATATAAAGAACGGCATCGTAAGCCCCAGCCCTGTATATTGCTCCGAGAGAATTCCCTAAGCCAATTATAGGTCCACTGATACCCCACACATCATCCTCGTCAAGAAGTTCAACATCGGCTAAGGAGTAATTATCTGTTCCTGAAGGAAAATACGATTCTACCTTCTCCCGGATATCAGCTGAACATCCGCCGAACTGATATATCATCTGAACTAAGGTCTTGATGATTTTACTCAACAGTTCGGTTTCCTGTATCTTATATGTTTCTTTTCCTGATCGAGTACTAACCCCAGAATCAAATCTAGTTTGAAGATCTTGACATGAATAACCTAACCCAAGCCCACAAGCTCCTTTCACGAGGGTGCTCTTGCTAATAGATGCGACCTGTAGAAGACCAAACCAAGCATAGTTGTAACACATAACAAGTCAACACTGTAGATTTTCATATGTTCCAACAGAATAATACACACTATGTAGATTAATTCACGTACCTACAGTTTGTAAGTAATCATTCATTGAGACTATTTACATCATAGATAATGAGACAGAATAATTTAAATTTTAAACAAAATAGTATGCACTATGTATTTCTCTAAGTCAATCACATACCTCAAGGAGTGCATTTATAATTTTAAACTTGAGCTCATGATCAGTCACATGTAGACAACATGAGATCAACCCAAGAGACATTGCTGCTGACCACTGGCGATGTTCATGCTCATACTGATATAACCATTTTAGCAAAAACTCCGAAGCCATCGACTTGACTGCATGTGCAGATCCATGTAGTACCTACATTAAGAAATATCATGGATTAAAAAATATAAGAGGAAAAAAAGGATTTAACTTCAGTTCTAATTTAAAATTGCGTCCCCATTTTGAATAGATTATTCAAATTGAATGATGGGAGTTTGTTCTAACAATAGTCTCTTACTTAACCTTAAACAATATGAAGGTAATGTTTCACTCTTTGTAAGTAGAATTGCATTTTGCTATTATACAAATTTGAGTTGTTCTTCAAGTTTTACTCAAACCTGTCATATCAACTCTTTTCTTCCTTCCCTAGATATTACATACTATAATTTGTTTTTCTAATTTTAATAGACTCCAGAACTCATTTAAGTATGTTGTTTGGATATTGATGGCATTAGGCCTATAAGAAAGCAAACCTTATGCGGAAAGATAAGTTATTTCGTTGGAACAAAAGAGCAGCCAAAGTATAGATAGATCTTAACTATGGGGTCATGTCCATACTCTAGAAACTAGCTCCAACTATTAAGATAAACGGAATATGATTAAACATTCCCCAATAAATGGTAGAAAGCATTAAATGCTTATAGCTAATTACCAGACAAAAAGCTCCCAGTGCTAGAGCGATGTTCTCAGCAGATCGAGGAATTGCGGCTTCTGCTAACCTTGTTAGAGTCTGCGAGATTATATACAACTCAACAGAAAACAAGACAACAGAAGCGTATCACAGACATAAAAGAACATTAAGTATGATGAACCTTCAAAATATCTTTAGAAGCCTTCAAAGTTTTGTCTGGCACGATGTGATTCGGATTTGCCTCTAGCACCATGATGCAAGACCTCAACCATCTTTGCATGAAAGGTTTCCATGACTGCAAAGAGAGAATGGCAAGCAAAATATTTCTTGACAGCTGAAGAGAGCCAGATATCTCCACAGCTGCATCCTCATATTTAGCGAGTACATTTTGTAATCCCTGCGCATTAATATTCAGAACTCCACAATCCCGGAAAAAAAAAAAGATTTTGACAAAATGCAGAGACATAGTTATCTCACTTTTAACAGTCCTTCATTCTTCACATGTTTATGAGCAGGAAGGCAGAGTAAAGCTGCACCTGGTAATTCTTTAATCCTGTGGTTACTTCCTGCAAAGGAAATGCTTGTAAGCAAGATTCAATTAAATTCTTTGATGATAGCTACACAGTAAATAATGTACTTATCATGGTACTACCAGCTTTATCAAAATCTTTATGATGTTTATGAACTGAGGTTCTCATTTAGCTTAGTCACCTAACGTTATATATAATACAAAACAAAACCATATTATCTAACTCAGGAATTTAAGAAAAAACTTGTTCCAATGAAGTGCATAAAAAAGTGTCAGGCTGTGATTGGGAAGAGGAATTAGACATGGAAATATTTCTGAAAAGTTATTAGCAACCACTATCCTGCGTCAAAATATTTCACTTGAAATTTATACTGTCAAAACAATAACTGTGAAAAAGATTAATATGCCATATCTCCAGTGATTACTAATACCAAAGACTCCTAGGAAAACTGGTTCGTACCTGAACCAAAAATAACCTCAGGGACAACATCCAACAACTTAACAATCTTGTTTCTAGATCCAAAGATCTTTTTCTGCTTTACAAATCTTCGTCTTGTACTGCACAAAAAATAATCAAGGATCATCATCAATATGAGATTTTTCACTAGTTAATTTTATAGTAACATGCAGATAACCAAAAAAAAAAAAACTTACATGTGATCATAATTCATGAGTCTGACTTCAAATTCTTCCACTGCTGTCAGCAAATCAAGGTTAGTCTCAGTAATGATAAAATCCATGTTCCTGATATTGAAATCTGGTATGCTCCTCTGAACATGCAGCACCTGAGAAATATTTCCAAGTGAGAAAGAATTGAAAAAAAAGAAGAAAAAAAATCAAATAAAGCAAATGAATTGCCAGATAAGGTAGTCATGATGCAGCATAAAAGTTATATAGAGTTAACAAGCAAAAAACAAATTCACAGCACCTACCTCATATTGCAATAGACTTGTGAATGCAGCTTCTCGAGCTCTTGTCCACAAAGAACTCAGACTTCTTTCTCTGTGGGTTCCGATATCCCACAATATTTTTAAAAGATTTTCAGCTGCTTCAGGATATGCTTCAGCATCCATTGCCCCCCATCTCAAAAGAAGAGACAGCCTAGCGAACGAAAAAGCCATAAAACATCAGAGGATTTTAGGTAAGAGAGAAAAAGTGCATATATTATTAAAGAAAGTATTCAACCAGGAATCATCCAACAGTGTCATAGTTCAATCGCAATTTGTAATTACTTTTGAATCAACTACATTTTAAAGTTAAAGATCCTGTAAAAGTAGAAAAGGGAGTGACAGAAGAAGTAGCAATCAGTCATTTACCCATAAGCAACAATGGGATTCTGAAAGTAGTTCTCCATATGCTTTGCAATCACAGCCCAGGCAGTGTAAAAATCTGGACCAAGAGGCAATGTCATTTGGACGAAAAAAACATCATTATTGAAAAAACACAAAACTGGTCAAATCTTATACAGTAAAAGAAGAAATGGAAAAGAAAAGAAAAAACATGTATCTCAATAGTAATTATATAGCTTAGTGATTGAGTGGCATTTACTTTTTGTGAGGCACAAAAACTTTGACTCCAGTTAATATTTCTTTTGATAAATAACTCAAAGTAAAGTACTGAAAGCATCAAAAGTTGGATTACCAATAACATCAGCTTCACAAAGATGTGCAAGGCTCTGCAATCCAAGAGACTGAACCAAAGGATCGTGATTTTCAATGCAAGCCTAACATTCAGAACAGAATAATTAGAAATATTCAACTGCAAGCATATAAAATTCTAGACAAATAAGTACAGCATACCGCAACAGACAAAATAATGTCCACCCCTCTATCAGCATTTCTTTTGCAAATATCATGAATAGAAGCTGCTATACTGATGCAGATTCCTCTTTCGGCATTGTACTGTACTAAACCATTTGGATTCAACATTCCCTGAAATCGAAAAAATAAAAAATACTTGTCTCAATTAACTGCTTGATTGGAAGGATTGGAAGTCCATAAGAGGTTAATGAGCAATATAAGTAACTCAACAACCATGAATACATAACATAACAATCTCTTGCCTGTAAACTCCCAAAGACACGGTCATTGATCTCCCAGGTCTTACAAATCAAGCGTATAGCAGTAGCTTTTATGACACTGATGAATTACCAAATAAAATGAAAGCAGGTTATCATTCACGAAAGCAGCAGAACTGGAATACTATAAAAACCCTTGTTTCTGTAAATAATTTCCAACTCTCTAAACAACAAAAACAAACAGACAATCTTATTGATCCCAAAAGAGTATCAAAGAACTGAAACCTTGGCCCTGATTTTTCAACTTTTTTTTACATTGTTCTAAGTAGCTTACGAACAACTGACATAGAATCTGGCACACTGTTACCTAATGACCAAAAAAACTGAATATTTAAATCTCATATTGTGTTTGTATGTATATGAAATTATGAATCCATTTTGATTCTTCTTTCATTAATTTGGTTCCAAATTACAGCCCACAGGACTTACCCAATTTACCCTGTTTTACAACAAGTTTATCAATTCAGCACTAGCCATATTTTACTAGCTTCCTAACGATGGAAGTCTACATTATATTTTCAGCCTAAACCATTAACATGCTTTGCCTAATGTTGCAACACGGACAAATATTAAGTTTACAATAATCCATGACTACCAAGAAATAACTGAAATTTTGAAGCTTGAAGAGTCACCACGTACAGTCACCCTGACATGTACCAAATATCATGAGACGTAAGTAACTAGATATTGTAATTTACAACAATACATATGTACATGAACAATGACAGATGACATACGGATTCACATCCTTCTGAAGCATTGGCAAGAGAATCTGAAGAATCAGTGGTATCATTGCAGGATGCGAAGCCACTGATGGAAGCAAACCCAAAAGCTTGAGCTGCATGAAAGAAAAATATAGGAACTCTACTCATGCTATGCATGACCGCTCAAAAAAACATAAAAAAGCAAATGAACCCAAAAAAAAATAGTACATGTTGCATGAATTTAGGTCACGGGTAATATCTAACACTCACAAGAATATCATGAGAGTCATTAAGTTTTTCTGAACTGGAGCATATATGATTGTAGAATAGAATTATAAGCAACACAGGAACACCAAGCTTAGGTTCAATATTACAGCCAATAGCCAACAGATCGATGGCAGAGTTTCCCGTTTGATGCAAGAGGGTGACACTTGCAACTGCACAAAGTACCGGAGGCATTTCTACAAGGTAAACAAGGTTAGAGGTTAAATAACAAAAATGACTTAACAGAACAAGATTATGTAACTAAATTTACCTCACCTTCGAAATAACTAAATCACCAATCCTCCCCTGTTTCACAATTAAAAAACATTCCCTCTAAATTTGCCACGTAATACCAAACTTCTCCAGCCATAAAAGACTTCTAGATGGAAATGATGACTTATGCAAAAGAGTATAATGAACTTCCTACTTTGCTCCTTATCAAACTATCATTATATTTTGCTTACCAGAATACCATTGGTAAGTTATGAATTTCAAAAATGTATGAAAGTGTTTTAAAAATTCAAGTGTTGGTTATAAAAAGAATTAGTACCTTAAGGCAAAAAGAAGTCGGCGGTTATTTTTTGTCGTCACAAATGTATGTTAGACTAACAATAAACATTGAATTTGTCAAAGAAAATGAATAGGTCATGTACTTTCTAGTGTTGTAGGATTGAAATATTAAGAAGACAATGCCTTCAAAAAAATTTAGACTCCATTTAAATAATATAACAAATAGAATTCATCTTTCTTTCCTTTTATTATAGTGCATTGACTCCCCATTGATCTGTATAGCAAGAGCCTTTCCACTATGTTTTTGTTATGAAAAGCATTATAATTCAACTATTTCAGAATGAAGGTAACTGTAATCAAGGACAGGAGGCGATTACCTGTTAGAAATATTTCTTCAGACTTAGTGATGGTAGAAGTGGATTTTTGCTTTCCAAAAATTCTACAATAATACTTCCTTACGGAGGAAGTCCATGTTTTTAGTCCATGATGATCTTCATTGGCAAAGGATTCCCCTTCACAAAAAAGATTCACGTAGAATGAACCATGCAATGACGATTGATCCTGCAAAATAATATTATTCAAGGAAAAGAAGTACTATTTATTTTAACCATCAAAGAGATGCTGCCAGAAATAACTGTTTTAGGGTTAAACTCCCAGTTCTTAGAAAATGAGCAAATACTTTAAGCTATAACGGCTGTAATAAAGAAGAGCGCAAGAAACTCTTGTTTTGGAAGTTCGCATAATGCACAGCAACAGAATATATGCCATCGCGCTTAGTTTAACCCAAACAATAAGATACGAAAACATCAAGGCTAACGCTGTCAAGATCCTGATTGGAGCAATAAATTTATACATCAATATAATTAGTCAGATGAAAAAAAAGACTTGCAATGTGATCAATTTAGCGAAGGCATTCCCCACACGAAGATCATTTCTAATATATATAGAAATCCATGTTTTTAGAATTCAAAGATTTCTTAAAATGAACTATATATTGGTTTTCTCGACAGGTCTGTTAGCCAAATAGAAAGCAGAGAAAAACACTTTTTCATGGAAGGGAACTGAGCTGTACCTGAAACCACATATGTCTTAGAAACCTAAAAATGATGTGTCCAGGAGTAGAGATTGACAGGTGACTCTCGTCTACCACTTGTTTTGTAGAGATTGACAGATGATTCCCTTCTGCCACTTGTTTTTCTTTTGGTGCAATCAGTAAATTAGTAGCAATCTTTCCCAATATAGAAAGTAAATCAGTGGTAGTTTGTTTAATAGATCTGGATGGAGAGGAAACAAGTGCAAGAACCGGAAAAATGAACAGAAGCTCTTCGGTCAATATACTTGAAGAGGCACCGGTGTGGTTTTCTGCATAACCAGGCAAATTCATGTTTTGAGCAAAAACACGATGTACCAAGCAATTGTCACAGAAGCATGCAAGTATGACAATTTTTTATATAATATACTTAAGAACAAACACTCTTTCCAGAAGATGGGCATTCGTCCAACCTATTGAAATGAGATTGTAATCCATCCTATATCTACCAAAGAGCATAAATCGTGATGCGGCAGTAGTTGGTAAGATGCATGTTATTGTAGAATATAATCTAATAAGTATAAATAAATTGGGGTACCTAGGTCTACAATCATCAATCATGGAGCCATCATCTTTGTCATTTTAATTTTTAAGTATACTTATTACACAACTACTGAATCCAAAAACAACAGAAGTATAACAACAGAAGATAACTATACCATTTTCACCTTTCCATCTCAAGAGAAACAAGACCAGTTTCAGTATAGAATATTGTTCGTGTTCAAGCTCTGACTGAGTCAGAATTGGAACCAACGATAACATCACCGACGAATGGCCAGTGCAATAACTGAGGCCAAGATCTTTCTGGACAGCCAATAAGTTTCTTGCCGCATCTACGATTTTCTCAACCCCACCTGCGCAACTGCGGAAATCCCTAAATTGCGATAGCATTTCCTCCAGCAGTGCCAAACCACACAATTGAGCTTCATGGACAAGCTGATAACATTGGAGAATAAAGTTTAGACGCCAAGTCGAATGAGTAAAAGCGAAGCATAATTAGTCCCAAAAGGATATAGCAAGGCTAGAGAATAGGTGTCGAAACAAATGTGAGGATTGTGATGAGTAACATACCGATCCCATTCCAACTAACTGCCTCAAAACCACCTGATACGCATCCACCAAGCACTCAAATACATAATAAACATTTATAACCTCCTGCAGAAAAGGGATGCAAGAAAACTCATCACTCTCAAGGATAATCTGATCTAGTTCCTAAAAGATATTTTAGTGCATCACTCAAAATAAGAATCAAAGAGATGTGGCAACATTTTGTGCAACATTTAGACTTACTTCAGCATCCTTACATGGGAAATATTTGAGATGCCCCATCAGAAACTTAAATACGGGAATGGCTTCCTGGGGAAACGAGCAGCAGAATGCCGCCATTGTGGACACTAAGTTCCTCACAAATGCAGAACTGGAAATGGAATTCGAAATAGGAACTTTTATAATGGAAAATTTCAAGAAAGGGCCCAAGAATTCACAGACTGACTCCATTCCAAGATGTTTACACTTTGTGATGAATACGATCACTTGTTTCACAAGCACCGATTGAACTTCAGTCCCACAGGAAAGTACCTATCATGGCAATACACATGCAATCACACTTACAGATGCTATCCAGTAGACTAAAACAAGTATACAACTCCATATTATGATATGAATAATTGCTCATAGATTCAGAAATAAAAGGGGTTAGACTTAGATAGAGCTCGACTGCAATCAACGAAGTGCTGAAATACTGATTCAGCTACAATTCATACAATTCGACACTAGGTCAAAGTTATATCACTCACCTTGACGAATGGATGATTCTCTGGCAATTGAAAACGGAACGAAGATTGATTTTCTTCGAAACCAAGTGTGGTGAGCAGTCCAATGGCTTTGATGAATAAACATGTGAATTGAGGATTGGAGGAGTCCTCGAGTGCGGACTGTAACTCCAGTAACCCAGTGGTGATATCCAATTTCGAATCCTTGACGAGGCGGCATAGTTCCCGGGCAGACTGGTCGGCAACGGCGAGGGAATTAGACCGGAGACAGCGGCTGATGACGTCACGACCGGCATCGGACGGCGGCGAGGAACGGAACTTGTGGATGATTGAGATCACGGCGAGTTTCTGGAGTGAGGGTTGGGGGAGACGGGTTTTATCTAAGAGCGGAGTGTAGGAATCCATTTTTTCGGAGAAGAGGGAAAGTTGTTCATCAACTGAAGTAGGTGGTCTTTCCTTTTCATACAAAATTTAAAACTCCCGGGCCTGGGTAAGTTATGGGCTTTAATTATGGCCCGAAATCTGAATCTCGGCTTATAGGTGGGCCCATATTTCTAATTATGAATTTTGGGCTAATTACATTCTTAGCCCAAGTACATCATATATATCATAGTAATCTATATAGGCCTCATATAGGCCTCGTTTGCTTTCTACTATTAGAAAGATTGACTAAATAGTAGGAGTTACTAAGATGTTTGGTTTGTAAGATTCAAATTATTCTAGCCCGCTACTAAAATGAAAGCCCGCAATTAAGTGCTACTATTTCATTTAATTAGTAACACCTCTCCCCCCTGTGATTAATTTTGTAGGGGGTGACTAAAACGGAAAAATACGATTTTATCCTTGACATAATAACATAATTTTGTGAAGTTAGAGACTTTATGGGCAATTCACATACAATACCAGAATTTAACAAATTTAATACAAGATGTAATCTAATAAATCAAACATGTTATTGACTAAGTAATTAATTATTCAGTAGGGAATTAATCCAATCCAATCTAATCCAATCTAATCCAATCCTGAAAGCAAAGGAGGCCATAATATAGTATTAGCACTAGTATGAACATATCAATATTAGTATTAGCATTTTATTATTATATTAATATTATTATACAAGTTTCACTTTTCCTTTTTATTTATTTATTACTAGGAATTTAACTCCTGCTATGCACATGATAGAAATAAAATTATTGCAAACTATAAATGAATTTAAATTATGAAAATAAGGTTTTAAAATTAGAATAATTTAAATTTAAAGTACATCGATAGTAATAGGTAAAAAAAATGCTCCGTCTAAAGATGTTTGGTCTTCAAATAAAAATTAGAATAAACGCTTCTTGTTCTTGTTATTATTCCACGAAAAGAAACATATGGGCACGACATTATAATCAGTCCATGGGAACTGCCATTGCACCAGCACCTGCCCTTTCGCCACTCTCTCATATTTTCCCTTCAACACATTACTGTTGTGTTCTTCACTTTCTTGGAGTCGAGTGTAGCTTCCTTGCATAGAATCCTGAAAAAAAAATATTACTCAATAAAAGCAATAATAAAAAATGTCTCAAACATCTAAAGAAAGACAAATTAAACATCACTTGATAAAGAAAAAAAAATTCTTACTCATAGGCAGCAAATACATTGGAAGCTTCAGCATGAGCAACATTAATTAATAAGAAGGTAAAATTTATAGTCGAGCAACGGTCTCGAAAAGCTCATCCACTGTTGCAAAAACAAATAAACACACTCTGTGAATATCACCAGGTGCCTCTCAGAGACAACAATCAAAACAACTAACTTGCGTCAATAATCAAACCGTTTTTTATTTCGACATTAGTTTCAAACTCAAAATAGTTTCATTGAACAACAAAAGAAAGTGAGTAAATTAAAAAAAAATAGAATTACAATATAGTGAGAATTTAGAGAAAATCCAATGATTATTTCAATGAATTGTATAAAATTACTCACTATATTGACCGACTCGGACCCGATTACCGCTTATTAATTATTTTAATTTATTTATCCATTAATTATTTTTTTTCTTAAATATATATATATATATATATACATATAAATATAATTTTACGGGCCAACCCGAAACCGCCCCGGAACCGGATTGAACAGGCCGGCCGACCCGGCCCGCCGAACCGTGCATATTACGGGCCGATTCCGGTTCCGGAAAATAATGAACCGTGAACCGGTATGAACCGGCCCGAACCGTGAACCGGTATGAACAAGGGTGCAACACAACTTCGAGATAACAACCACCAACTCCGAAAAAAACAATACAACTACGCGATTTGAACCAAAAAACATAGAAATTACCTTACACCATTTCCTACAGACCACGGTATTTTCTGAAGAATGTTATACAATAGGACCAACTCCCTAGCCAATTCCAGAATCACTTGCCACATTCCTAGTAATGTTCCTTCATCCCCATGTTTGAGCCAAAACTTTCCCCACAGACGGGGCATTTTGGCAGTATTACCTCGACTATAACCCATCACCACCTGGAGCATCAAAGGTTAAATACTCATCAAACAGCGAGAAAATAATACAGTAAAAACGAAGAAAGAAAAGAAGAATAAAAAAAACTTACGGACAAAAGTCACAGCTTCCATGTCATCGTAGGCCTTGGAAAAGGCCTCTCGATGGAAATGGGAATGGAAGCGAAGTGAATGCAAAGACGAGAAAACAAAATACCAAAAAAATTGGCCTAATAAATCGTATAATTAGAGAATATTAAACAGAAATTTACACATTGCAAAATCCTTACCAGATGTGACGGCAGAGGAAAGGGGATTGAGACCGGTGGTGGCTGGAAGAGAAAGACGGTGGGTCTTCGGATTTGGCGTTGCGGAGAGGTGGCGGATCGCCGGAGTTGGTGCGGCTGAGAGGTAGCGGATCACTGGAGTTGGCGCGGCTGAGAGGTTGCAGCTGTTTATCGCCGATTGCGGTAGCAGCGGGGCGGCGGCCGACCATACGGAGTAACCAGCTCATATTCATGGTTGGCTTTGGTTTCTCTCTGATCTCCCCATTTTCTTTAATATTTGCAGGGTCTCTAGCTACCTAGATAACATGCGCTTAGACACTTTGATGCGTCACTCCTTTTATATTCCAATAATACCCTTAGGCCTTGTTTGGTTGTGATATTTGGTATTCTCAATAAATTGCATATCCATTTATTTTATCTTGTCTTCTAGTATATTTTATTAGATCTTTTGAGTTTCATTAAATCATTTAATATTATATTGGTTAATCTACTATTGGAAATAAAAGAAGGCCTTAGTAAATGAATTATGAAAATGAATTTGTATGCATTTTCTTCAAAAAATTGTTTATTCTTTTCGTTTTATTTTATTTTTCCGACCCGTTGACGAATCGGCCCAAACCGTTGACCGGTGAACCGGCCCGTCGTCCCCGGGACGAGCCCGATTTTATGAATTGGTGAACCGTGAACTGCCGGGCCGACCCGGCGGTTCACCCAGATTTAAAAAAACAAAAATCAAACAAATTCAAAAAAAAAGCAAATAACGGCCGGTGAACCGGCCCAGTGAACCGGCCCGATGAACCGACCGTTATTTGCTATTTTTTGAATTTCCCCCCCCCCATTTTTTCTTATAAATACCCTCACACCTCATTTTTTCCTATAAAATTAAGTTAAAGTCCTTTTATTTATTTTCTTATGTTTTTTTCCTATTTAAAAGTAATTATTTTAATTTATTTATCCATTAAGTATTTTTTTTAAAGATATATATATATATATATATATATATAAATATAATTTTCCGGGCCGATCCACAACCGGCCCGAATAGGCCCGGAACCGGATTGAACCGGCGGGCCGACCCGGCCCATCGAACCGTGTATATTACGGGCCGATTCCGGTTCCGCAAAAAATGAATTGTGAACCGGTATGAACCGGCCCGGAACCGGTTCATGGCCGTGTGTACTTGTGGATGTAATTTATTATACATATATTTGTTGTAATAGGATTTACCGTACAAAAATCACAATTATGAAAAGTTAGATGATTACATGTTCTTCGTGAATAAATATTTATAGTAATGTACTAATATATAGTAGCTCTAGCATAATAATAATATAGAGTTATTAGAACAATAGGGTCTTTCTAGGGTATAACCACATGTGGTCTAAACTTATATGAGATATGCATTAATCACCATTAATTTTCTAAGATTAAATCTAGACCCTAGGAAATAAGATGGCTTATGTTCTAAAAAAAGAGTACTTTACCCTAATACCCTTCGATTATTTTTTTCATTAAATTACTATAAAATAGATTAACATTGAATTGTCTAATTTACCCCCTACTATATTTTTAATTAAATAATGGGTAAATTACAAACACCCCCTGAGGTATGGTCAAATTACAAAAATACCCCTCTTGTTTGGATAATTACATATACCCCCTCAACTCCTCAAATTTAGTGGAATCTTCGAGATTATATGGAATATTATCACGTTTGTACCCATTTTATCCCATTCAAACTCTACATTGTGAAGCAAGATGGTCATAATATGTGATTTTTAGCTTGTATATATCAGTTTGTGGTGCATGGAAAACTGTATTTTTACACAAAACGAGTACAAACTAGAGCACATTCCACGGAATCTAGATGATTGTGTTGAATTTGGCACCATAAGGGTGGAGGTGTAAGAAAAAATCATAGTTGAGGGGGTATATGTAATTATCCAAACAAGATGGGTTTTTTTGTAATTTGACCATACTTCAGGGGGATGTTTGTAATTTACCCTTAAATAATTAATTTAAATTCATTGTGACCGAGTTTTATTTGATAAATAGAAAAAAATCCATTCATTAGGGATAAAACTTGTGACATCTTAACACATTCAATACTCCTAACCATCAAAACACATTAACTTATTATGATATATTTAACCATAATTGTATGTACCGGTAAAACACAATATAAAATAATAATTAATAAATGTAAGTATTTAAATAATGTTAAATAAAATATTAGTTGCGACATTCATTATTATTAAATGATATTAAATAAATTATTAACAAATTTAATATAATAAAGTTTGAAAAAAATATAAAGAAATGCAATTCAATAGGTCAAATATCTATCATTAATTATATAATATTAGAAATATTAATAAACTCCACCGTTTACTTACTTTAAAATAAGGGATTTTTGTGCATAAGTCATCAACCAAACATCTTTATTATTCTAGGTTTAGGGGTTATATCTTTTTCACCAATAAGTCATTCCTTTAATATTTATTATAAATAAACGAAACATTCATATATATGTCAATATCACCCCCAACATTTTATACCCAATTCTTATATGTAACCCTAATTTAATCAATTTTGTCCACAAAAATTAAATTTTGACTTGTTTTTGGAGTATACTTTAATGAGTAAATTGCAGATACCACCCCTGTGAAATTCTTAATTGTCAAATACCCCCTGTCAAAAAACAATTCACTTATACCTCCCTGTGTAATACTTTTCGAAGCACACAACACCCCATTGATAGTTTAATTGTTGACCAAGGGCGAAATGACAAAAATGCCCTAGGGTCTTTTTGCAAATAATAAACATAAAGTGTTTAACAAATTTTTAATAATTTTATTATTTTAAACAAATAAATATATAATACTCATAAGAATTATTAAAGGAAAAAAAGAAGAAGACGACATCGTCTTCTTCACAGCACACCAATCTACCCCCACCCACCCAACTCACAGCTTCATCCACCATTTCTTCCAGCCCTCCGTCCGCTCCGCCCATCACCATCAATTCACCCCTCTTGCACCACCACCATCGTGTTTTTAAGATCCACCGCCCACAATCGCGAGTAAGACATCGTCGTTCCTGGAGAAATTGGACATCAGTGGGGTACAATCGTGTTGGAATGCGGTAAAAAAATTGCTTCAAATGGTAGGCGAAGAACTCTCCGTGAAGGTGGAACTCTCCGGCAGTCTCCAGCGTTGATTCTTTTTAGTGTTTTTTTTTTTTTTTTTTTTTTTTTTTTTTTTTTTTTTTTTTACGTCCGCCGCTAAACGTTGACCGTAATTGTGCTGTCACTGACAGTAAATTAACGTAGTTATACTGTCAATGACAGTTAATTAACGTAATTGTACTGTCTTTGACAATACATTTATGTAATTGTTCTGCCGTTAACAGTAAATTAACGTAATATTATTATTTTTTATTTTTTGTTATTTGTTTTATTTTATTTGATTTGTTGACAAGTCAACGTAATTATATTATTATCGTTGACAGTAAAATAACTGTAAACACAATAATATTATTGTCAACAACATCAATATTAATATTTTTTTTGTGTTTTTTGTTTTGTTTGAGTTATTCACGGAGTAACGTAATAATATTACTGTATATTATTGTAATATTATTGTGGTTGACGGTAATATTACTGTTGTTATAGTAATATTACTGTCAATATATCACAGTAATATTAGTTCTTTGGGGCATGCTAAATCCCGCACTAAAATTTACTAAATTTCACACATAAATTAAAAAAAAAAGTATCTCTACTTATACCCTCTCTAACTTTTTATTATGATGTTTTTTTCCAAGTCACTCAAAATTTATTAATCTTTCACGTGAATAATCATAAAAAGTGAGTTTAGATTTATTTAATATTTTTCAATTTTATTATGCCTTTTTAATTATTTAAATTCATATCAATTCGATTTTTTTTCTCAAATTCCAACTTTATTTAGTTTGAACACATGAAGATTTTTTTCAAATTCGAACTTGGAATGATATGGACGTTTTTAGTATGTGATTTTGTGAGAAAAAAAATAGAGAAAAAGAAGAAGGGTGGGGAAGGAAAAGATGAGATTTTAGAGCGACTAAATTTTTCAATTGTGTGTATGATTTGGTAAAATTGGTGCGGGATTTAGCATATTAGTAATTCTTTTGGCTTTTTATTATGTTTACATTTGTTAAACGGTCAACATAGTAATATTACTCTATTACACAATAATAATGAGTTTTGTTGTGTTAATTATATTATTGTGCTACAGATTAATATAACAATATTACTGTGTTAAACTGTAGTTTAGTTAATTTTACTGTGTTTAACAGTAATATAGTTAATATAGCTGTCAATCACAACAATATTGTTGTTTAAACGAAAAAAAAGTTACAGAAATAAAAAAAAAATCGAAAAAGTCAATGTCGGAGACCGTGGTAAAAATCCGGAAGAAAAATAAATAAATAAATAAAAAATTGAAAAGTCAACGCAAGAGTGCGGCGGAAAAAAAAAAGTTTTTGAAAAAAAAAATGTTTTGGTCAAAATTGAATAATCTGTGAAATTTGGGGTCAAATTGAGGTTAAATTAAGTTAATGATGAAATTTGAGCATATTAAAGTATATATGAGGGGTTATTTCCGTCCTTTACAAAAATCTGGACTATATGTGGACTTATTGGTAAAAGAGATTTTTGTCTGGATCTCTTTATGACCCATTGATGGAATTATTTTTAATCACCCCTTAAAATAAAATTATATACTACAAATACTATATTATGAATTTCTTTTAATATTTAATTTAAATAAATAGTAAGATTTGAATCGATTGAGCTCAAATCCTTTCAATTAGTAAACATTATTGAAATATTTGAATCGATTGCTTAACTATCGATATAACGCGTTACATAATTGATTTAACTATTTATAAGTAATGTCTTATATCTTTTTAACTCAATTTTATCATAAAAAGTATCTTTTAATTCAATTTTATCATAAAAATAAAATTTAATTCCTAACACGTGTAAGAACCTAATCGTAAATCGTAATATTTTATCAAAGCATAATATTTGAACAATTAAGCTCAAGTCCTTTTAATTCGTAAACACTATTCAAATATTTGAATCGATTAAGCGCGCTCAACTATTGAGAAAAACATCTTAATCAAATTAACTATTATTAATTAATGTGTAATACATTTTTATTTCAATTTTATCATAAAAATTTAATTCCTAAATTACGTAAGAATCAAATCATAAAATTAATTAAAGCGTATAATTTGAATCAATTAAGCACAAGTCCTTTTAATTTGTAAATATTATTCAAAAATTTAAATCGATCAAGTTCAACCACTGGAACGTATTAATCGAGAGTTAACTATTTACAATTGAAGTCTACTGTTCTTTCAATTCATTTTAACCAAAAAAAGAATTAATTCAAAAAATCGTAAGAATCAAATTATAAATCGTATATTGAATCTAACCATGAACCAATTAAATCTTACGATTTTTACGAATTAGATCTATAAACTCTCTTAAGGTGGACTCACTAAAAATTTTAGTACGCTGTGTACTCAATTACTACTTATGTAAAACAACCATTGATTTGATTATTAGCAGAAAATGAAACACAATCAATACACATTAAAATTTCCAAATGTTACACGTACAGATATTCACCGATGCACCAACACAAGACACACTCGAACACTATCAAGTATTAAATAAAAAAAAACACATATTCAAAATAGAAATTAAGATTCAGCCACCACGCGCATATGATGCACGCGCGCGCACGCATCTTCTAAGCTGTGCGGCCAGTAGTAGTAGTGACACCTTCCTGGGCGGTACTCTTGATAGTTTCGCCGACTTGCTTTGTCTTCTCGCCGACGTACACAGTACCTTCCTGCACGCGCTGCTTCGCGTACTCCAGCGGCTCTTGCCCTGTTGCCTGCCTGAACGAGTTCAACACCCACGTCAGAGACGACAGCCCCGTCAGCCCGAACGCCCCCGACGTTAAGAACGCCGTCACTGCTCCGGCGACTAGGATGGCGGCGGGGACCAAAACGGGGCTGAATATCACGAATAGAGGGGCGGCGACCGCCAGTCCGATGAAGCTTCCGACGAGTGCGAGGGCAGCTAGTCCGAGGAGGGTGCCTGTTACTGGGAGGAGGGTGACTACCGCGAGGACTTGGCCGGTGGAGGGGCCTTTTTGAGGGAGGAGAGATTTGACTCCGCCGCCGACATCGTGGCGGTGCTGCTGGTGGACGTTGGGATGGACTTGGACTTGGTGAGGCTGTGGACGACCGCGATCTGCCATGGAAACGGTGGCGCGTGGTTTATGAGGCTGAGTGAGAGTGGTGGAGAGAGTAGAATAATTTTGGGATGGTGGTGGATGGGGTGGAGTTATAAAAAGGAGAGGGAGAAATGCTACGTGTTGGAGTGCATGTGTGAGATATTGCATGAGATACAAGTTTCACTTTCCTTTTGCCACATTTTCTCTATCTTTATTTTATTTTTATTTTTATTTTGTTTATTTATTTATTTTTTTAATTTATTGATTTTTTATTTCTCTTGATGGGCTGTACGTGTGAGTTTGGGCCAACTATGGTGACGTTTTCGTACGTCATTCTTATGGGATGTTTGGGACGATTTTGGGCCTTATTTTCATTTTTCTTTTGATTTGAGAAAATCTGTTTGGAAAACAATTCAAGAAAATTAAACTCATAGGCTCTGTTTGGTAAGCTTTTGGGCTTCCATTTTCATTTTATTTTGGGGAAAGATGTTTTGGGAGAAGAATTTGAAAATTAAATAAAGTTTGTTTGTGTTTTGGGAGGAGACAATTTGTACTGTAGCAAGTCAAATCATGTCTGAAAGGTGTTGGGAAAAGGTATTTTGGAAGAAGAATTTAAAAGATAAAGTGATTTGATTTTGTATTTTAGTGAAGACAATTTTCACTGTAGCGGTCAAATCATGTTTGTTAGAGAGAGAAATATTTGAATTTGTTTTGGGGAAAGTTTTTGAAAATAGTGTAGAAAAATAATTTTCATTTTGGGGAAAGTGTGAAAAGAATTTGAAAATGCTAACAAACATAACCATAGTGATGCAAACAATCTATGCTATAACACTCAGAATCATGTTAGCATCCTCTAAGGGTTGATCTAACCATTCGAGTAAGCGAGTTTGTGACAACTGATTCAGATTCGAATTATCTTGCCAACAATCGCTACGTGGAATTTGTCACGCATTGTTAATCTAATATAGTTTAAATCTCTCGTATGATTTGAAAGATATTACACTAGAGTGTAGATTTTATTAAAATCAATCACTTTGAAAAAAAATGCAAAAAATAGGTTTTAAGTTTGTACTTGGCTAGTCATAGGCTGGGGAATTAGTGGCCGGTTGGGTGGGCCCATGAATGACTGATTGGACCTATTATTTGAAAATAGCGGAGCTTTTCTAATGGCCCAAATAAATTACATTTTTTTCTCTTGTCAATTTGTAATTATGCATAATAGACTTCGATTAATTGTTCGAATATATGTCAAAAAATACTTTTGCTTAATTCCTATCATTTCACATGTTATACTTCCAAATTAACTCACTTAAAAAAAAAAAAGTACCAAATTAACTCTTAAGTGACAATTGAAGGGTTTATTGTTATTTTTTTTATAATTATTAATACCACGCGTGTATTACTTTATACTTTATAGCCAAAGAAGAGACAAGAAAAAAATGTATTTTGATGTTGAACTTGAAAGTGATTGCAAATAATTTAATTTGATTTGAAGTTGTAAAAGACTATGCAACGATTTAAAAATCAAACTAATACTTCAATTATTCAATTTCAAATTGTAATAAACCGATCTCATAATCGCTACTGAAACACAATTAATTTCAGTATTTCACATATGGCATTAATTAATACATCCTAGACTACTAGAAAACCTAAGATTTACACACATGCATATATATATGAACTGAATTGACATATTATACATAATACATATATATATATATTATATATAGAGACTGGTATAGTTACACACATTTAGCTGGTGCTATCTATCTCTCCTGGAAGGAGGAGCAGCACCACCACCACCACTCCAATAATAGGGTAGAAACAAACCCGAATTCGGGTCAAAATAACCCGACCCATCAGGATCAATTCTCCAATCATTATTGCTATTTGTCCTGCTGGCGGCGTAACGGATGATGTCAGCATTAGTGGCGTCGAGCTCCTTCTGAAGGTTAAAGACTTGTCTCTGAAGAACTGAAATGGCTCCAACGCAGCCGTAGACCGGGTCGTTGAGCCGAGCCTCGGCTTCGTAAGCCAGAGAGTTGACCGCGTCTTCTCTCTGGTGAGGTGGGATCTCGTTCAGCAGCTTACCAACGTTGCTTGCTCCGAAGATTTTGTGCACGTGGACGAATTTCGTCGGCTGCTCTGCGGGGAAGTAGGGTGCGAAAGTACAGCCTGGCAAGCATTTTCTCCTTAGGAACTTGCAGGCTGCGCATGGCGCCGGGTTGCTCGAAGAAGAAGAAGCCATATTGATATTGTATGTATATATTCTGTCGACTTACAACAACACAGCACACGTGGCACCCAAACTAAAGTAATTGAACAGCAAAAGATCGATTAATAACTTAAATCACTAGTAATTAGGCTAATCGTGATTAACATGCATGGACTAAGGATTGATATTCCACAAGATTGGGGATTAATTAATTAAAAAAACAAGGGTTTCTTTTTAATTGATCTGGAAGAAAATTAAACATCAGCTAAATTACTAGTGATTAACTGATTATTTATACCTGATATCGATCGCCATGGATTTATTTATGAGTTTTTTTCCTGGAAAACCATATAAATCAGCAGATATCAGATAGTACTTATTCTGCTGTACGTATTCTGAAAGTTAGTATTATAATTATCATATATATATATGGATGGGGAGATCAGAGAGAGAGAGAGAGAGAGAGAGAGAGAGAGAGAGAGAGAGAGAGAGGAATTTACAATGATATTTGTTTTTATTTATTATATAAATCACTATGTATCATGAATGAATTTTAAGATTGTGTGACATTAAAACTTGTGTTAGTATATATAGATCCAAAAAGATATGATGGTGAATGAAAATTTGATTACACGTATGATAATGATCCGACGCAATTGTGGACTATATATATGAATTATGTAATTTTATATACGTGGAAATCAATATTCAATTAATTAATCAGCCCTCTCATTAGTGATACATAGATACATGTATATAGCATGGATACATGTATTGAACTTACCCATATCGCATGGAGCAAGATAACTCGTCGTCAGCAGAAACGCTACTCGTAAGTAGAACTAAATTATTCGCCTATGATTAGTATACTACTCACATGCAATGTGAAATGATTTAATTCCTTTAACAAAATCCATCAATCAAATATAGTACATAAACAGATCAAATCTTTTAACTAACTACTTCAATAATACAAAAAAAAAAAAAAATGGTTGATATTAAATACTAATCTCATCCCTGCATCAAAAAATTTGTTTGCTAACATATTATACATACACATAAATACAAATCTAACTATACATCACAATAATTTATATATTTATCATGAAACCGGAAAGTAGTCACGAATCGTCTTCCTTTTCGACGAGGAAGGAGGGTTTAGAACAGAAGAAGGGCTTTTCATTTGAGCTTCTGGAGTTGCCGCATCTAAATCTTCTGTCACTTCGAAACTCAACGAACACTTTTTCTTCTGAGATTGTGGTGTACTTACTTCTACAACTTTCATCGGAGGGGGCGAGGAGTCCACGTGGCATACTGTTTGTACATCCTCGTCGCAGAACAGTTTTTTCCTTTCGATTCTTGGAAGTGCCCTCACTCTTTTTCGCATTGATGATGGAGATCGCGTGTTCGTATAACAACTGCTTTGTATGTTCCACAATCTAACCTATAATAGATCATTAAAAAAAAAAGTAGTGAATATATAGCATTGACGAAATGTAATAATGTATTTCAATCGGAAGATTTTGAGTAGAATGCATACGGTGAAATCATCCGAGCAAGTAGCAACTTTCCCCGTTTCTGATGGACACCTAGAGCGAAAATAAATTACGGTCAACTTGGTTACAATTTCGTTAAAAAAATGGCGAAGAATTGTAGAATTAATATTTTTTTATTTGAAGCCGTACCAATCCACTGCTGTGACTTCTCCATCGTGGCTTTTTAGAGTGATGGGATCCAGCTGAGGTTTGTTGACCTGTTTTGACAAAATCAAGTCGACGTAAATATTAATGTGAAAAAAGAAAAGAAAAAGGGGAGTGTGGAAAGAAGTAAAACCTGCCATATGTAGGCATTTCCATCACTAGAACCACTGAGTATGTGAGCTGCATCGGGACTAATTGCTGACTGTAGTTGTAGCTAAATATTAGATTTTTGAGCAATCGAAGCTAATAATAGTCGACATTTTTAAGAACTTGTGTGTTTACCTTGACGAAAAATGAGTCTGTTCGGCCTCCAGAGAAAGTTTCGATCGGCCCTTTTTCAAGCTGAAGCACGTTGTATAGGTATATTCTGAAACAAAAAGGAACGATGATAATCAAGGCCTTCGAGTATAGGGTACGATGAAAAAAAATTAATAAGAAAATTTACCTGTGATCCATGCACGAGGCTGTAATAAAGACTCCATTAAGATCTTGAGACAAGCTAGATATGCCATGTAATCTCGTTTCCTATGAAAAAAGGATAAATTTGGCTGTTGTCAATCTTTCAGAAATTACGGATAAATTTGAACAAAGAACACCTTAAATTACAAAACTAAATGATATATTTTACAACAATTGTACTTCATGTAATTTAACATGCTATTAGATCGAATGATTTTTTATTGCTCATCAAGACCAGAAAATGTACGAAATATTCGTAAACTGAGAAAATGCAAATGATGAAAGGTACGAAAGTTAGGAGTAAGACTAACCTCGGTCGAAGATTGAGAATTAGGACATGCTTGAGTAACTGGAGCTTTAAGGTGCCTTGTATCCCAGAACTTGATAACACTGAGTTTTTAAGGAAAATCGGAAAAATAAAAAATTAATATCTTTGGACAATATAATAATCAACAAGACGAATTAAATATCTGTACTATATAGCAATATGGAGTTTGGAACACACCTGTCAACTGCTCCAGCAGTAGCAACAGAGATTTCATCTTTGAGGTAAAGCACAGATGTGATGCTCATTGATTCAGCCTATAAAAAAACACATAATTTCACATTTTCAATAAATAATGAATATGTGATGAGCTAATAAAATAATGTAAAAAAATAATAATAAATGAAGTAAATAGCCAACCTTTCCACGGCGCCTACAACGTCTTCGACCAGGAGAAGTATGGGCCTCATGTATTAAAGAAACAGGCCTGAAATAGCAGACGAAAGGTTTGAGCTTAAATAATCAGACTTATCACATAAAGAATTCTGGTTTCTATTAATGACTGATTTATTCATTTAAATAACGATAAATAAATAACTTACGAGACACACAACTTCTGGTAGGCATTCTTGGTGCACCTCGTGTCCCATAGAGCAAACGATCCATCTCGTGAACCAGACACAACGAGCTCTGTGTATCGAAGAGTAATTTGTATAAGCAAACAAAAATACTAGGGAATAACAGAATGAGAAGGACGATAAATCAATTTGAAAACATAAATAAATGTGACATTTAAACTCGTGAATTTATTTACCCTGATTAGTAGGGTGGCAACTGAGGGATTTGATGCTTCCGTTGTGACCCATTAATGCTCTTACGCATTTCTGCTGTTGCGTATCCCATACCTTAATCTGCAAAAAAAGTAGGATTGGTGCGTGATCGGACAAAAATCGGATAAGTTCTATATTAAGCTTATCTAGTCTCCATCTAAATTGAATTTCCCGTTGCAATCGTCATATATTTCATTATTATTTAAATAAAATAGATGCGAATGACACGAGATATTAAGAAACAAAGAGACTTACACTTTGATCTCCTGAAGCAGTTAATAAATACGCATCATCCTGGATAAGATCAAATTCAGTCGGTTGTCAATTCACTAAGCAAATTTCTTAGTTAAAGCAAAAGCACAAACATAACTGAAAACAAAAACTATGCAATTGGCCAAATCTGCAATTTATTTTCTAAACGGGGGGAAGAATAAGCTCTCGTAAATTGAGCCTTACAAGGAGCTCGAGAGCGTTAAATTTGTTTGACCAACGATCTTAGTCAAAATACTTTTCAACGGTTACTAAATACATCGAAGGAGATTGATTACTAAATTAACTATAAAAATGCAATAGACAATTGTATATAAAAACTAGAGAGATGACAGATAAACACCTTGATCCAGCAGAGGTCAAATATGGCATTTTCATGAGCTACCCACTCAAAGAGCTTAGCCTTTTCTGCAAGAGAATTAAAAAAAATATTCAATTTAGAAATTTAAAAATACCATGACGAAAAACCGAAAGACCTAAGAACGCCAATATTTGAATTTACCTGCATTTTCTTGGTATGAAGAGTAATCCAGATATTTCTTCCTCGTATCGAACAAAGTAATATAACCCCCTTCGTCGGTGAGAGCAAGTATATGGGCATTTTTATTAGTCTACATTTTACCCAAAAAAAAAAAAAAACACATCAACACAAAATAAAAAATATATATTTAGTTGATCAGATAGTAAACCCTAAACTAACCTTGCAGAAAGACAGAGCCATGGGAGGTGAAGGTTCGCCTCTGTGCTCAACTGCTACAGCTCCAATTGGATCGAAACCTTGCGAATCGTTGCCCGTATACGGGCGTTTTCTCACTGAGAAAATACCAGTTAATTATTTATAACCATATTTATTCATACACTGCAAAAAATTACAATTTCACGCACCAAAAAAAAAGGGGATCTAAGGATACCTCTGAATCCATTGATTTCTCTTGATTTAATGTCTTGGAAGAACGATCGATGCTTGATGGACTCCATTTTCTCTGTTTTATCTGCTGTTTGTCGATCTGTTTTGGGTGAAGGGAAAAAAATAGTACAGGGGGTGGGTGGGGGCGGAGGAGATGAAGATGAACAAACAATATGAGGGTTTAATTTTGGCGCGAGGAAAGCGAGTGACTGGTAAAAGCGGGAAAGTTTGAATCTTTTGGTTTTGGCGGTAGCTTGTCTTACCCTGTGGTAGTGGCGAACAAATGGCCCGCCCGCGGCCAATGAAAAACGGCCCATCTCTCCCGCAGGCTCAGCCCACCAGGACCACTTATTTCACGGGCCGGCCCGCTCCGGCCCACGGAGGGAAACCATGAGTCCAGCCCTGCCCCTTAGCCCATTTAGCTTATATTTACGGGCCCGACGGGCCAAGGCCGAAAAAAATAAAATAAAATATAATTTATAGAATGAGTTTATAAATTATAATCTTATTTTAAAATTATTATATAAGTAGCATACATATTTATTAAAGTATTTTTTGATATTTTATTAGCAGAAAATTTAAAAAAAAAAACTCATAAATGTAGAAACTTAAAGAAGGAAAGTTGAAGGTAGAAACTCGTATTTATTAAAGTTGAAAGTTGCAAAATAAGTGGAATATATAATAATCAATTTAATAATGTAGTATTATTCATATCTTATCTTATAACTTATATATAAAAGAAAGAAACCCTGGGCAATCCTAAAAAATCCTAGTGTATTTATGTAATAATTTATTTTTAATATTTTTTCTCTACTAATTTTTGACATAGGTTTTAACAATTATCAATCTCCGATTTTTCATCAAATATATCTCAAATCTTAAGGGATAAAGATAGAAATACGATTTTTTAAATATTAATTATATTTGGATTATAAATCATAATATGTCAGATTTAAAAAAACCAATGTTATATAAAATATGAATAATACTGCATTATTAAATTTTACTATGTAAGTGTACGATATTTCTTATTATGTATTAAATTGATTATTTTTTTCATTTAAATAATATCCCGTGCATCGCACGGGGAAAAATGCTAGTTTTATATAACATTAGTTTGTTTAAACTTTACATATTAAGATTTATAATCCAAATATATAGATTTAGATTTAATATCTCTTAATATTTGAGATATATTGATGAAAAATATGAGATTGATAATTATTGAAAATTAGTAGAGAAAAAATATTAGAAATAAATAATTAAAATAAATATCATTAGAGTTTTTTAGGGTTGCCTAGCGTTTCTTTCATATATATATATATATAAAGCTCGCGAGCCGATTCATGAGTTCATGGACAACTAAAGATGAACTCAAGCTGAAACTCGAGCTTTTTTCGAGCCAGCTCATCGAGCTTATGAGCCGGTTCAGCTCATTTACACCCCTACTCGTTGGCTTCCAATTGAACTTGGCTTGTTGTCATCGTTGGTCCGCGATATGATGTCCCAAAATCGTTGCTCTAGTACCACTTGTTATGAATCGAAAAGGATTCATAATTCTTGAATTCGATTGCACATAAATTGTCGATCGATTACAAGAAAAATAGATGGAAAAACGAGAGAACTAAGCTACGAGAAGTCGAGAACTACAACTAAAACTAAGCTAATCTGATTTTTTGCTTAACCCATTACAATGGCCCAAGCCCAATTACTCACCCTATTTATTAGTTCCAAGCCCAGTAGCTAAGAAATGGCTCCCTTAAACAACGATTATGTAAATGAATACAGAATATACGTTTTCTGTAAAACGACGCCGCATCAAGTCCCCGCGGTTGGAGGAGGAGGAGACGAACAACTAAAGCAAACGAGCTGCCGCAATCAAATCAAGTTCAAATGGAATCTGAACTGTGAATTTACTGGACCAATTCCTGCAGCAAGAGGCAGGCGGCATGTTTGTTCAGGAATTTTGCCAGAGTTGAGTAAGCAACCCCTAATTGAAATGGTAATTGTTAAACCAGGTGCCGATGATGCATATGCTTTCGTTCATAAACCGTTGATTCTTCTATCAGTACTTGCGTGCACTCACAGTCATGAATCCACCTGGTAAATGCTTTTATCTTATATATATCTTCGTTTTCATTCCTTGTAGTAAATGCTATGGTTATTGCAGAAAAGTAGATTGTATGGCACAAGAAAACAACATATATTACACTCTCAATATTAGTTTACAAACTATAGATACTGCATATTATATATCAATTCTCTAATATCAGAACTGATATATACAAACCATTTACACAAGCAAGCACAAATTTGAATGATTATAATATTTGATTTGCAAACCCTTGAAAAACAAACCAAAAAATAGTAGGAAAACTCACTGAGCAGTTTTTTATCGAAATTTATCACCCTTATTTTGGAGATGGTGGTTTTGGATGGGAGGATTTTCCAGTAATGGCTTTCCTTACCTTGGCAATTGAATGCTTCACTTTCGATCCAACGCCCGACAGTATGTTGTGTGATTTCTTGTGTGGAGTTTTCAGGTCTGCATCTCCCATATCCACCATGACCGGAGCTTCAGAACCCAAGTCTGGTCTTCTTTGCTCACTCGATTCCTCTTCATCATCTTTCTCCTCGTCGGATTTCGCATCTTCACACACGGCCTCATCTGCTTGCACATCTTCAGAACGGCTTGCCATTTCCGAGGTCTTTTTTGTGGGAGTATGAAGAAGGTCCATCAGTGAAGGCTTATCCATCTCTTTTGATTCTGCTGTTTTCTGGCTAGTTCCTTCCTTATGTCCACTGTTTGCTTCTTCGGGCTCGCATTTAGAAGGTTCCAGAACTACATGTTTATCATTTGAAGGTGGAGGAATCACCTCTAGCTCTGCTACATCACTGCGCAGCGGGAGATCCTTTTCGTCTGTTTCAATGTCTGAACATTTGACATGTGGTAAGACGGGAAGAGAGTCAATTTGCCTTTCAGTTTCTTCTTTTTTATCACTTTGAGCTGTATCCTCCGTTGAACTTTGAAGTGCTGAGACCTTTTCTATTATTTTGTCTTCTTCACAAGCTTTCAATACAGCCTTAGAAGAAGTACTTCCCGGTTGCTGTTCTTCTATTTCTTGATCGAGAGTTTCTGGCACGAGGACTTTTTGAATTTCTTCTGTTTTTTGCTCTTCACTTGAAACCTTGGCCTCAATGTTTTCACATGGGTATACCTCCACTGGACTCTCCTTATCCGATAGTTCAACAGAACCCTCATTCAATTCCTGCACATTCTCACTTATGTCCCTGGCTTTTTGAAGATCCGGTGGACCATCTTTCTGTGCCATTTTTAGTTCCGCTTCACTGACATTTGATGCTTGGTGCAAATCGTCAACTTCCTTCAGTTGATCCTTAGTCTCCGGTGAGGTTTCTACCGTGTATTCCTGCATGATTTCTGATGTGGGAATAGTGGCAGGTTCTACTAGTGTTGAAGTCTCTTTGATCTGTTTGCAGTCATCACTCACTTCTTCCACTTGTCGACTATCCACTCCTTCATCTTTTATGACCTGTTCGATTAGTTCAGTGTTTCCGCTGGCAGAGGATATTTGTGTTTCTGTGCTTTTATTTGGATATTTCTCCTCAAAATACTCATTTTTGGTTGTGGAGCTTTCATTGTGCACTGGAATATCTTGGGCACCATCACCGTTTAAAACTTCGTCAAGTTCTGCAGCTTGAACAAAGGTATTTCTATCTTCATCTTCAGTTGGTTTTGTCCAAGTACCAGCTCCTTCTGCTTCTTCCTTGCCTTTTCCTGCTGTAAAGTTTTCCTGTGGAAGAGATAGATATATTCTTCAAAAAAGTATATTTTAAATACATCAGTTCATCACTTCATTTTGAGGTATTAGATTTTTACCTCATCCTCTGCTTGTTCTTCTGGAGTGCAAATTTCATATTTTTGGTCCTGTTTCTCACTTTCTTTTCCTTGTGTACATTCAGGGAGTGGCAGGCTTTCATGCTTGGTATTTGCATCTTCAGTTTTACCTTCAAATTCCTCAATGGTTTCATGGACTGTCTTTGTAGGAGGAGCTTCACATATTATATTTTCATCAAGTTCTTTTGGCAGTTCGACTGCAGTTTCGTCTATCACCGAGGTATTTGAATTTTGATTTATTAACACTTCATCTTTCGCCATTTCTTTGTCAGCAGCTCCTGTTCTTTCTTCTTCATTCTCCAGAACAGCGATGTTAGAGCTCTTAACCTACGTAACAGACAAAGCACACATATCTATCAATATTTGACAAGGGAATAGAAGACCCATTCTTCTGTAATATAGGGCTCGAAAAACCGAATTGATTTATGGATAGAATATGACATCATATTATAATATTCCTGTGTTCTGGTAGCTAATTAATTTTGACTATTATATCAGACAAAGCATTGCTTTATTGATTCTGTTGCTTCAATACTTCAACAAGACTAGTATGGTAGTTCCTTAGACTATCTAATATTGCAAGAAGCAATTATATAAACGTCAACGTTTCTCTGAAACATTTTTATTTCTTAGGTGGCAATCTTTATTTCAATTAGTGAACCTTCTATTTTATTTGCCATGCAGGATTATTTTTATATAGACGCCCTACCATACTAAATATCGAGGCCATTAAAATGGTAGAAGTGAAAGTATGAGTGCTGATATTTGTAATCTCCAGAATGCCACACTTATATGACATATAATGCTAAAAAGGTAAACTCATACGTATCTACCTCTTCAGTGTCTATTATAGCTGTAACCTCTTCACCACTCTTTCCCAGCTCTTTTTGGTGGTCAATTGATTCATTTGCATGTAAAATTGTGTCTGGGTGTTCTACAGCCTTGTCATCAGTCTCTTCAGAAACTTCTGACACCTGCATGATGAATATGACATTTCAACATATGAAGAGGTTTGTGAACGAAATAAAATGATTTTTTATCTCTTCTTGCTTTACCTCACTCTCTAGGCATCTCTCTGTGATTACCTCTTCCTTGCGAGAACCAAGATGGTAATCTTCCAAGTCTTCATCTCCCTTCAATTGCAATATTATATTCCTTGGTTAGTACTTTAGTGGTAAGTCAACAGATAGAAAACCATATAAAATGATTAAAGACATTCATTAGAAGAAAAATTGAAGTCTCAGTGTTTGTACCTTCTCGCTCGAAATGTCAACTTTCATGCTTTCCTTTTCGCATGGGGTTATTTTTGGCTCGAATATATCCTCTGCCAGAACATTTTCAGACTTTATTTCTGCAGCTGTTTCAGTATTTTCTTCCTCTGTTTTCATCTCCGTTGCTTTTGGAATTATGTCACAGCTTTGAACTTGAGCAATAGATTCAAGCACTTGATTTTTGGACTCGTATTCGCTTTCCTTTTCTTCAGGTGCAACCCCAATTACACTTGACTCTGATTTTTCATCAATTACCATCACGTTACCGATGAATGCATACTCACGATCACCTTTTTCAAGTTCAAGCACTTGATCTTTGGACTCTTGTTCGCTTTTCTTTTCTTCAGGTGCAACCCCAATTTCTTCTGGTACTTCAGACAAAAATCCAGCAACATCCTGGTCTCTTGCCTCTATGACATTCGTAGCAGCAGAACTGAAGTCTGGTATTTTCTGTTCGTGTGCTTCCTCTTCTTCACCTTTGTCTTCATCATTTCTTGTCTCCTTGTCATCAGCAGTTGCTGTTTTTCCTGTCTGGAGCTCTTCTCTGTCTATTGTCAGCTCTCTTTCAGAAGTGAAATGATCTACTTCCGAGGTTTCTGTGAAAGACTTTATAGGGGCGTCATTAGCCATTGGTATTGATACCAACTCTTTGGTTTCTTCTACTGTTTCATCTAATAGTATTTGTCCACATTCTGTTTCTTCTTGCTCTCTTGCATTAGGTTTTTGATCATCCTTTAGGACTTCACTCTCCTTGATGTCTGTTTTTTCTGCTATGTTGTCATCTCGCGCAGGTATCACCTCTTTGGTGACATCAGAATCATTGGTACTTGCAAGACACAATTGGACATCCTTGTCTAATTTTTCCGTGGAGGAATCTTGGCAGGGTGCCGAAACATGGAGGTCCTCATCTTGTTTGTGAGCCTCTTCGGTCTCAGCGTCTTGTTGTATTTCTCGCTGGTTTTCCTGAAAAGAGTTGGTTGTCAAATCTTCATCTGATGCCACAGAGTTGGTAATATTTGCAACATATTTTTTGCTTACCAATATATGTTCTTCCGACACTTCATCTGAACCATTTGTAGAGGGTATCTTTACTGCATCTGAACTCGAGGCATTTTCCTGTTTGGCAGAAATTTGTAAATAAGTTTCACGAAGAGATGCAAACTCAAGTTCAAATAGCTTGAAAGTTTCTTGGCATCAAGTTATTACCTCATGAGCTGCTATGTCAACTGCATTTGTCATATGAAGATCCCTGAGGTAAATTTCTTCTTCATTTAACTCTGTAATTTCTGCTTTGGTCTCAACAGCATCAATCTCTTTGGGTACCTGTAGATTCCATGAAAGGTGAATCTGTGATAGCAATGTTTTGTTGTTTCCCCCTTATTTTTAGGTCTACTAGGTTGTCAATGCTGAAACGTCACATAGCTACAACTATCTGTTAGTTCATATTCAAACAAATTTACATCTCTAGTTGTACTTGTAAATTTAAGTCTATTAAAAAAATTATCCTCTTAAATGTATGTACCTTTTTCATCCTTCAGTCATGTAGTATTTATTTTCATGCTTAACAGTGGTTTTCCTACCTAGTTGACAATAAAGTTAAGAGTATGATTCTCACCTTATCCTTAGAAGTTTCTTCACTCAGATCAGTTGGATCAGTTGTTTCGTCCTCTTTTTCCTCGGCCATGTTTCCTGTAGGATCTGCGATTAGGCTTTGCTCCTCTAGAGAACTAATTTCTCTATCTTCACATGAAGCAGGTGCTTTAATATCCCCGTCTGCAAATTGCATAGACTCGGTTTCTTCTTTTATCAGTGTACCTTCTGCAGTTTTCTCATTTTCAAACAAGTTTGCTTTTATTAAGTTTTCATCCACAAATTTGGCCTGATGCATAATTATGGAGTCATGATCTTCGGCATTTCCCAGAGGAGCTTCTTCCAAAGAAGGGTTTTGTGAGCTTTCTGCTTCGGTTGGTGAGTTATCTTCATCATCTCCATTTGGGACATTTGTTGTAATATCCTAAAATGACAGTAAAAGCTTGTTTTCAGGTTAAAGAAGAAAAATTTATTCTTCATTTTGTGATGTACTAAATAAGCTAACAGTTATAGAGAGAGAATGATTTTTACCTGAGCCTCAAGACAATCCTCCTTTGCATCAGTTACATCAGTAGTTTGTTCATTAATTTCGTCACCCAAGGTTTCTTGTGCTTCTGCAGTTGGAGTTTCCACATCGATAGAACTTGGTGAGTTATCTTCATTCTGTTCCCTTTGAACATCTGTGTCAACATCCCGTACCTCAAGAGTTTGCCCCTCTGTGTAAGTTGCATCAAAGGTTTTCTCCTCTGTCTTATCACATGAGATTTCTTGTAGATCCGCAGTTTGAATTTGCTCATCTATATCGTCCTTCAAAGTACTTTCTGTGGTCTCTCCTGTTTGAGATGTGATTTCAGTTTCCTTTTCCAGATATTCTTTTTGACAGTCCACTTGGATCAGTGAGTTCTTTTCAGTCTCATCGTGTAGAGTAGTTGTTGCAACATTCTGCAGCAAGAATAAAGCACTCGTTAAATTTGTTTAGTTTACAGTAATAAGATTGGTAATATTCATTTTTACATGATATTTCAATATATTGTTTAGCATTGCAATCATTTACCATAAGTAATTTATACAATTCTTACCTTATCCTCAGGAGTTTCAGTTGCATCAACTACTTTGTCCTCTTTCTGGTCATCAATGATTCCTGAAGGACTTGTAGTTGGGCCTTGCTCCTCTAGAGAACATATTTCTCTATCTTGACCCGAAGCTGATGCTTTAATATCTTCATCTGATACCTCCAAAGATCTAATGGAAACTTCCTCCTTTGCCAAACCACCTTCTGTGCTTTCCTCATTTTCAAACAATTCGGCTTTTATTAAGTTCTGATCTGCTAATTCGGGCTCATGTATAGTTGACTCCTCATCATTATCGTTCCCCATAAAAACGACTGCAGGTGCTTTAATATCCTTATTAACTACTTCGAATGAGTCAGCAGCCTTCTCCATCACTGCGTCGTCTTTCAAAGTTGTTTCCTTGGTCTCTCCTGTTTGAGATGTGTCTTCACTTTCCTTTTCCAGATCTTCCTTTTGACAGTCCACTTGGATCGGTGAGTTCTCTTCAGTCTCCTCATGTAGAGTAATAGTTGTTGCAACATTCTGCACCAAGAATAAAACACTCGTTAAATTGATTAACTTACATAAGTATTTTTGGTAATAATTTATTTTTTGCATGATATTTCAATTTATTCTAACAAAGTAATTTATGTAATTCTTACCTTATCCTCAGGGCTCTCAGTTGCATCAATTGTTTTGTCTTCTTTTTGGTCATCAATGATTCCTGAAGGACTTGTAGTTAGGCCTTTCTCCTCTATAGAACTTGTTTTTGTTTCTTGGCCAGAAGTTGATGCTTTAATATCTTCATCTGATACCTCCAGTGATCTAATGGACACTTCCTGCTGTGCCAAATAAACTTCTGTGCTTTTTGCATTTTCAAACAATTCGGCTTCTATTAAGCTCTGATCGGTTACTTTGGACTCATGTATAACTGTTGACTCCTCATAATTGTCGTTCCCCGTAGAAACGAAAGCAGATGCTTTAGTATCCTCCTTAACTACTTCGAATGAGTCAACAACCTTCTCCACCAATGCATCGTCCTTTAAAGTACTTTCTGAGATCTCTACTGTTTGAGATGTGTCTTCACTTTCCTTTTCCAGATCTTCCTTTTGATAGTCCACTTGGATCGGTGAGTTCTCTTCACTCTCCTCATGTAGAGTAGTTGTTGCAGCATTCTGCACCAGGAATAAACACTCGTTAAATTTGTTTTATTTAAAGAAATAAGATTGGTAATATATATCCTAAGTAATTTATACAATTCTTACCTTATCCTCAGGAGTTTCAGTTGCATCAATTGTTTTGTCCTCTTTTTGGTCAGCAATTATTCCTGAAGGACTTGTAGTTAGGCCTTGCTCCTCTATAGAACATGTTTCTCGATCTTGGCCAGAAGCTGTTGCTTTAATATCTTCGTCCGATACCTCCAAGGATCTAATGGACACTTCATCCTTTGTCAAATTACCTTCTGCGCTTTCCTCATTTTCAAGCAATTCAGCTTTTATTAAGTTCTGTTCTGCTAGTTTGGACTCATTAGTGTCCTCATTAACTACTTCAAATGAGTCAACAGCCTTCTCCACCACTGCATCGTCCTTCAAAGTACTTTCTGTGGTTTCCCCTGTTGGAGGTGTGGTTTCACTTTCCTTTTCCGAATGTTCTTTTTGACAGTCCGCTTGGATCGGTGAGTTTTTTTCAGTTTCCTCATGAAGAGTAGTTGCAACATTCTGCACCAAGAATAAAATACTCTTTAAATTTGTTTAATTTACATAAATAAGATCGGTAATAATTTTATTCTTCAGCATTGTGACATTAATTTTACGACGAGCAAATAATTTGTACAATTCTTGCCTTATCCTCGGGAGTTTCAGTTGCATCAATTGTGTTGTCCTCTTCTATAGAACTTATGTCTCCATCTTTGCCAGAAGCTGATGCTTTAATATCTTCATCTGATACCTCCAAGGATCTAATGCACACTTCCTCCTGTGCCAAATTACTTTCTGTGTTTTTCTCATTTTCAAACAATTCGGCTTTTATTAAGCCCTGATCGGCTACTTCGGACTCATGTATAATTGTTGACTCCTCACAATTGTCGTTAGTATCCTCATTAACTACTTCGATTGAGCCAGCAGCCTTCTCCACCTCTGCATCGCCCTTCAAGGTACTTTCTGTGGTCTCTCCTATTTGAGATGTGTTTTCACTTTTTTTTTCCAGATCTTCTTTTTGACAGTCCACTTGGATCAGTGAGTTCTCCTCAGTCTCCTCATGTAGAGTAGTTGTTGCAACATTCTGCAGCAAGAATAAAACACTCATTAAATTTGTTTAATTTACAGAAATAAGATTGGTAATATTAATTTCTTACATGATATTTCAATTTATTCTTCAGCATTGTGACATTATTTTGACGGTTAGAAAGTAATTTATACAATTCTTACCTTATCCTCAGGAGTTTCAGTTGCATCAATTGTTTTGTCCTCTTTTTGGTCATCAATTATTACTGAAGTACTTGTAGTTAGGCCTTGCTCCTCTATTGAACTTGTTTCTCTATCTTGCTCAGAAGCTGATGCTCTAGTATCTTCGTCTGATACCTCCAAGGATCTAGTGGACAATTCCTCCTTTGCCAAATTACCCTCCGTGCTTTCCTCATTTTCAATCAATTCGGCTTTTATTAAGTTCTGATCTGCTAATTTGGCCTCATGTATAATTGCTGATGGCCTTTCTGAGCAGTCTTCTTCAATTGGTGAACTGTCTTCATTTGTTGCAGTATCCTGTACAAAAGAAAAAAAAAAAGAAATCTTGTGAACTTTTTTGGTCTAAAGTAGAAATATTATTCTTTATTCTGTTTTCTATTGTTCATGCAGAACCTATCCATTACGAGTCTGATTGATAGAATGATTTTTCACCTGTGCATCAATAGTATTCCCTTTGGTGTAAGCTGCATCATCCGATTTTTCCTCTGTTTTGTCACATGAGATTTCTTGTGTATCTTCAGTTAGGATTTGCTCCTCAGTGGAACCTGTTTCTGTGCTTTGACCTGAACCAGATTCTCCAATTTCCTCTGTACTTTCTATGGTGTCCATTATTGGAGCTTCTGCCAAGGATGTGCTGTCACTATCCTTTTCCAAATGTTCAACCTGTTCCAAGTTGTAAGCAATCTACTTTAATTAGTGAGTTCACTTCAGTCTGGTCAAAATTAGTTGCAAATTTTCAGCAACAAGATAACAATTCATCGTTCAAAAATATAAAATCAATTTACTAATATGATTCTTGCCATCTCCTCATGACTTTCTTCCTTTGTTTTATACTCTTTAAATGCAATTTCTCTGTCTTGTTCTACGGCAGAGTTTTTAATATCATTAGCTGCTACTTGCAAAGACTCGATAGATACTTCTTCCTTAACCAAGGTAACTTCAGCGTTTTTCTCACTTTCGAACGATTCAGCTTTTATCAAGCTTTCGTCCACAAAATTTGCCTCACGCGTAATTGCTGCCTCGTCGTCATTGGCTTGTCCCGATGAAGTTTCATTCGAAGATGGATATTGTGAGCAGTCTTCTTCGATTGATGATTTATCTACACTATCTGCATCTGGAATACTTGCTTCAATACCCTGTAGCAAGAATTAGAATCTTATAAATTCGATTCAAAACAATAAATACCGTTTTTCATTTCTTTTTCTGTTCAGAACCAGTCATGTATTATTCACCTGTACATGAAGAATTTCCTCTTTCCTCTCAACTGTATCAATAGTTTCTTCCTCTGGTTTGTCACTTGAGATTTCTTGTGGATTTGTAGTTTTTTCACCAAAATCAGATTCCATAATATCCTTGGTTTTTTCTGTCACCAAAGTAATTGCTGAATTGTTTTCTTTTTCCGACAATTCGGCTTCTACTAGATCTTTGTCTTCTTTGGGTTCACTCAAATTTTTGGACTCCGTTTCATTGGTTTCCTCTGTCAAAGATGACTTTTCACTTTCCTTTCCCAAATGCGCCTCGCTTTCCACATGTGGAATTTCTGTTGCAACATTCTGCAGAAAGAATGAAACAATTAACCGTGTTGAGCATAAAGGGAAATGCTTGCTATTTGTTAACTGGAATTTAAAAAAAAATGATGCTTACCTGCACCTCAAGGCACACTGCCTTCGTGTCAGTTGGATCAATTGTTCTTTCACTCGTGATTGCATGAGGAATTGCAGTTAAACTTTGATCCTCAAGAGTATGATTTATTTCTATGTCGTCACTTGAAGCAGGTGCTTCGTGATCCTCCTTCAGCAAAGTACTCTCTGTGCTTTCCTCAGGAGCTTCCTTGGTTGAAGCTTCTTCTAAAGATGGTGTTACTATTTCCTTCTCCAGTTCCCTATCGTTGTCCTGAGTCGAGACATTTATTTCAACACTCTGCTGCAAAAATTAAACATTAAATTATCTACTGAATTTGCGGGAAAGAAAAAAATCATTTTTTTTTAATTAATTAATTTATTTTTAATGTGCTCATTATTTAAGGATGTACCGAATTGAGTGACAATTTTTTTTTCTGATTTGGGTTAAGATTTTTCACCTGCAGCTCTTGAGTTTTCTCGTTGAAGTCTGCTCCATCATTTTTCTCCTCGTGGAACAGTTCTGCTCTGCTTGGATATTCAACCTCAACTTTGACCTCATCGATCGTAGTTATTACATCATCATTGGATGCTTCGTCACTGTCTTTTTCCAAATGGTCCTCATTTTTCACTTTTGTGCTATCATCTTGTACCAATGACTCCCCTTCTGTCTTCTCATCTAAGACACATGTTGGCATATTCTGCAACAGGAACAACCAGTTCACCAACTTTTTCGAGTTTCAAGAAATAATAGTGTTGTTCGTATGTCCTTTCTTTGGAACAATATCTTTGATATTTCATGTATGCGTAATTAAGTTGGTTATATAACAAAGGTAAAATATTATAACATTTCTGATGACCTGTACCTCAAGAATCTCTTCCTTTGTTTCAGCTGCATCAAGTGTTTTATCATCAGTTTTTTCGTCCATGGCTGCTTGTGGTTGTGCTGCTTCAATTTGCTCCTCGGTGTAACTTCTTGTTTCAATCTCTCGATCCAGATCAGATTCTTTAATATCCTCAGAAACTACATTCAAGGAATCTTCCTGCTTAATTATTGATTCATCATCATTGGCTTCTCTTGCCAAAGGTAGCGGCAAAGACATTTCATCACTTTCCTTTTCTAAAGTCTCTTCATCTTTTGTATTTGAGCCATCCACTTTGTTCGAGTTTTCTTCAATTTCTTCGTTTGGAACAACTGCAGAAAAGTCCTGCAACAAGAATAAACTCGTTTGAGTTTAAACATTAAATATGTTTTTCTTTTCAGAATGAAGCTACTTGTTTCTCAAGTATGTGTCAACTAAGATAAGTAGAACGAAGTAGTCTGTACCTCAAGGATTTCCTTCTGTGTGTCAACCTTATCAACTGCTTTTTCATCCATACACTCGCTCTCTGCAGTTACACTTTCCTCTTTGGGAGAACTTGTAACAATTATTGGAAAACTCTGCAGCAAGAATAAAAGTCGATTAAACTATATTGAACTGAAAAAGAAATAGAGATAAATTAAAATGTTGTTTTTTCACCTCAAGAACTTCCTTGTGTTCTTCAACTGCATCAATTGTTTTTTCCTCTGTATCATCACCCACAATTACATGTTGATTTGCAGTTGTGCTATCCTCTTCCGGTGAACTTGTTGCTTTGTTTTCTTGGCTTAAATCAGACGCTTCAGTAACCTCGGGTACTTCATGCAAGAACTCTACAGGCTTCTCTGTGTCCACGTCAGCTTTTGTTGTACCATCTTCACAGAAAGAAGAATCTAAGTTATTCTTTCCCTGAAATTCATCAGCAGAAGTCGTATTTGTTACGGTCTCCACAGATGAACTATTATCTTGACTTGCTTTCTCTGCTCCAATTTCCAAACTATCTGCAAAATTTCTTTCATGGCTTACTACCTCCCCTTTAGACAGTTCAGTCTCCACTATTACATCTTTGTCTGAGACATTTGATTTTCCAGCGGTCTGTTGGATTTCTTCGTAAGAATCGACTGCATCTGCAGCACTTTGTAATGATTGATCATCTAATTCGGGACTTCTTAGAAGCTGAATCACAGTCTCATCTTTCTCAGTCTGATCTGGTTGTTCAGTGGGATCTGACGACGTTTCGTTCACTTCACAATGAACCTGGTCAATTGATGGAGTTGTCAAAAAATCCTCCCCCTCAACTGTACAAGGTTCATTATGTATGTCTGCCGGGTTGGTAGCTTGATCTGCTATATGGAAACCTTGCTCCGTTTTCTGTGATCGAGTTAATACAACTGTTAGCATATGAAGATGCATAGAGAAAAAGCATACAGGTTCAAGTTCAATATTGAAATTTGAATGAGTAGCATTGAATTAGATCAATTAAACAAACGTAAATTATTACAACATTTCTGAGCTGTACCTCAAGAATTTCCTCCTTTGTTTCAGCTACATCAAGTATTTTATCATCAGTTTTTTCGTCCAGGTCTGCCTGTGGTTGTGCTGCTTCAATTTGCTCCTCTGTGTGACTTCTTGTTTCAATTTCTTGATCCGGATCAGATTCTTTAATATCCTCGGAAACTACATTCAAGGAATCTTCCGGCTTCTCTATACTTTCAGTACTCTCATTTTCACACAATTCGGTTTTCCTCAATTCTCCATGCTCAACTCCGGCCTCATGCATAACCATTGGTTCGTCAACATTGGCTTCTCTTGCCAACGGTAGCGGCAAAGACATTTCTTCACTTCCCTTTTCTAAAGTCTCTTCATCTTTTGTATCCGAGCCAACCACTTTGTTTGAGTTTTCTTCAATTTCCTCGTTTTGAACAACTGTGGGAAAATCCTGCAACAAGAATTAAATTGAGTTAAAACATTAAAAATGTTTTTCTTTTCGAAATGATGCTATTTATTTCTCAAGTATGTCCCAACTAAGGTGAGTAGATAAACAAAGTAGTTAAGTTCTTAGTATGGTTTTTATCTATACCTCAAGGATTTCCTTCTGTGTGTCAACCTTATCGATTGTTTCTTCATCGACACACTCGCTCTCTGCAGTTACACTTTCTTCTTTGGAAGAACTTGAAACAATTGTTGGAAAACTCTGTAGCAAAAATAAAAGTCGATTAACTATATTGAATTGAAAAAGAAATAGAGATGAAATAAAAATTCACTTGTTAGTATGACTAGTAATTCTCACATCAAGAACTTCCTTGTGTTCTTCAACTGCAACAATTGTTTTTTCCTCTGGATCATCACTCACAATTACATGTTGATTTGCATTTGTGCTATGCTCTTCCGAAGAACTTGTTGTTTTATTTTCTTGGCTTAAATCAGATGCTTCAATAATCTCGGGGACTTCATGCAAGGACTCTACAGGCTTCTCTATGGCCACGTCTTTCTTTAGCAAAGTAGTAATGTTTTCCTCAGTTTCAAACAGCTGAGCTTTTGTGGGGCCCTCCTTCTCATCTATGACCTTATCAACGAATCTGGACTCGTTGCCATCGGCTGATAAATCTGCCAATTGCAGTTTTTCACTTTCCTTTTCAAATTGCTCATCGTCAACCTGGACCTTTGGTTCTTGACTTGCTTTCTCTGCTGCAATTTCCAAGCTATCTGCAAAATTTATTTCCGGGGGAATCTTATTATGCTCGCATTCTACTTCTTTAGACTCGTCACTGGTGGCGAGATTGCCTGAGATATCCTCTTCTGTTGTTTCCCCATGCGTTGTGTCTTTAGACAGCTCAGTCTCCACTCTTACATCTTTGTCCGAGACATTTGATTTTTCATCCTTGTGTTGGATCATTTCATAAGGATCCACTGCATTTACAGCACTTTGTAATGATTGATCATCTAATTCGGGACTTGTTAGAAGCGAAATCACAGTCTCATCTTTCTCGGTGGCGTCTGACGACATTTTGTTCACTTCACAATGAACCTGATCAATTGAGGGTGTTGGCAAAAAATCCTCCCCCGCAACTGTAGCAGGTTCATTATGTATATCGGCTCGGTTCTTTTCTTCATGGGGAAGTTTATTATGTGATATGTTGGTAGCTTGATCTGCTATATGGAAACCTTGCTCTGCTCTCTGTGATACAGTTAATACAAACTGTAAGCGTATGAAAATGCATCGGAAAGAAGCATGCAGGCTCAATATTGAAAGAGTATTATTGATTAGTTTAATCAAACAAATAGCGATGTATTTGCTAATTCTTAAAAACCTCAGGAATATTCCTCCACCTTCCTTTTTACTCGTATGAGTTTGTGACTTAGATCATCTCAATTTGCAAAAAATTTAAGCAAGCCTATATGAATCCTGCCACGATATATATCTTATAGTTGTACAAACTGAGTGAATAAACTAGTGAAACATGACGTTTCCCGATTGGGCTAGTGCGAGGAGTAAAAGGAATGACTACAAGTTCAAGTCGATTTAATAGTTAATTTTATCCGTATGCTCGAAACTCTGATGTAATAATATGCTCGTCTTTCATGATCCAGTACGTATAATTTTCTTCTTTTTTTTTTTTTTTTTAATTTTTCATTAATAACGATCTTAAAGGTGGGTTAATTTTCTAGTCATCTTGCTTAGCAAGTACTGAAAGTACAGTAGCACAAGAGCTTCTTCACATGATCACATCACACACACAGCATGTATTAGATCTGTCTGATGTTGTAATAAGAAAGTAAATGGATCTCTTGTATGAAGATCTGTTTTCTTAGCTGTGAATATGTTTTCTTATGCATAGTTCAATAGCCAATTATCCGATCATCGGTATAAATAGCGACACCTGGAATATTAATAGTAACAATAATAACGATCTACCTACGTGTTGAGATGTAAAGTTGATAGGACTTACTGTTTCACATACAGGTGCTGGAATATCTGCTTCAGTTGCCATTTCTTGGAATCTGCAAGGAATCTTGCTATGGAAATCTGAGGTTTTTTAGTGGAAGTATTCTTACATGCCCACCTATAAGGAATCTATCTCTTCTTTTCTTCTCATCAAAAGGTATGTATGTATGTAGAGGTTTTTTAAAGTTGTGATTATAAATGGTAGATGTATGCAATAATGCTCTGATTGAAATGTTTGTAAAGTAGGCTAAAGCTGACAAATTTGCCACTTCACTTATGCTATTATTAATCTTTTTTTTTTAATTGGCTTGAGATGGACAACGGTCCTAGTGACTGGATCAATCACATGCACAACTTGCCATGGGTCAAAATACTCTCTTTTTTTTTTTTTCTAAAAAAATCAATTTTTTCAATAGTAGTTTCACATAGCCTGTAATATTTTCTTTACATTCTTGCAAAAAATAGTGTGTGTTTTTTTTTTACATTAATTCAGGAAAATAATAGTATTCGTTAAGATTTGCTAGTCGTCGTAATTATTATGAAAAATTTGCTGTCATATAATGGAGAAGGTTAGTTTATGCCTCGTCAGATCTTAGGTGGATTGTAATTTACACATGGTTAGTCCAGCTAATTTCAGAATAAGCCAAAAAACTTATATTCTACGATGACGATGATGATGCTTAAGTACTTTGTTTTATTATGTAACAACACATCATCGGTTGAACGAATCTTTGCTTTTTATGAATAAATCTACTAATTTCTCAGCTACCTTTTTGTGACTTAACAATGGCTGCTAATATATATACACGTATATATAATGTATTTACGGCTCTTTTAAGGTAAATTGAGTTACGGCTTAATGTTTCGAGTCGAACTTTAACTGCAGGCTGCCATAGTTAAAACCTGAAGCCCCGGAAGAAGCTCAATGGGAAGGGTCAAATCTGTCTTTTGTCCTCCTCGAGTTCTAACCTCAACCAGGTTAGTGAAGCACAAATTACTTGAACCTATTAATTTCACCATTTTAAAGATTTCGATTTGAAAAAGAATTTAAAACTTGAGTTAGATTTTAGATCTATAACTTTTTTTAAAATTTTATTTTAATACAAACTAAATAAATACAATATATTCATTACAATAGACCAATAAATTCTCATTCTAAAATCATGCTTTAGACACACTTATTAACTTCTCGCTAAACATACATACGCATATGTGTGTGTGTGATTGTGTGATGATCAACCGTTAATAACTACCTGATATATTTCACGTGAATATAGCATCAAATCAACGGTTAATAATATACGTATACGAGGAAGAAAAAGAATCACCATGGGGGGGCTGCGCATGCATAAATACAATGACGTTTTATTATATGAACAAAAAATTCAACATATAATAAATATTAAATACACAATGAGATGTTGATTTGAATACATGACCATTTAATATTCTAGTTGCCTTCCTCAACTTGTACCAGTTAGGAACATGTCAATTTTATTCTTTATAGTATACACGTTAATTAAAACCATCCATCTTTATTTAATTTTGCTCTTATGAAAATTTAAATTTAATTTCACAAAAATTCAAATTTAATCCCCAAAAAACAATCTAGATGACCAAATCAAAACCGACCAAAACAAAATTTCATTGTCCTTCTCCACCGCCCCCTTATGTGGATCAATGCAACCCCAACCCTTTTTTGTTCCTTTTAAAAATACTTTTTTTTTTTTAATAAAATGCATTATTGGATGATTCATTCATCAATAAAGTAGTTACTTTTTTCCCCAATATAATTGAAGTATAGAGTTATTTACTACAATCAGGTACTGACTAATTTCCCCAACCAAACGAGCTCGAATTGTTATGTTTTCATCTGACTTTGCCGATTCAAAGAAATTTCTAAGTGGCCAAATGGTAATTTTATGATCATCAATTTTTTTTTCGTAAGCAATTGCGTAAAAGTTATAGAAATATAGATAATTGGTACCACAATTTAGAAATTCCTGTCAGAAATAGACCACTGTTAGGAGTGTCACATTCTTTAGGCCCCGGGCTGGATAAAATCGGTATGATGATCAATCCAATCCCTAATTTCGACACAATAATTTAATCCCTCTTGTTTATTTTTCTAAGGAAAATCCCAATTTAAATTACGATAAAATATTCAATATTAATTGATGTTTGAGTGAGTTATTCACTTATTTGGATATACACTGCCAATTTTTCAAAGGAGAAGAAATTAAATAAAAAACAATAATAGAAAGTAATGCGGGCCCTACTTCGGGGGCCCGAATAGAAAAGAGGGCATGTTGTACAAAGAATCCAGTCACTAAAATGCTTACTCGGTGCACTGTCATATCATTGTACACTGCTTATTATTGATTGGGTAAGGGTGGCGGTGGTGACAGCCGCCCCTCGGGCCCACCACTTGTTATCTGCGGCCCGATTTTTCTAATTAATTAACTTAATCCCATAATTTGATTTTGGGGACAACTTAGTGGAATTGCTGTATATTTGATCACCACACTATCCAGTATAATAATTATTAAAAATTCTAAATAATTATTATGGTGTGCTAATGATGATCTTGGTATAAAAATAAAATTAATTTATATTAAATATTTGTTTTCGTTTTCACATTTGTATGTAGAGATCTTGGTATAATGAAGGGCCCAAAACCAAGCCCACTAGCCCAAAACACAGTTCAAGCCCAGCCCGATGGGCCCACTCGTGGGACTTGCCGCGGCCCGTTCATGAAAATTAGAATATAGGCGGGAAAGAGAGCCGTTGTTCTAAAAACACCCTAAAAAATGGCGCCAAAATCTCAATTCCCAAACTTTTGGCTGCCCGATATTATTCCCGGGCAGCCTCCCATCAAATTCCCATCCTCAAAATACACATAAACACCAATTCCCATACTTAGCTCTCTTTAAACATCTCTTATTCCCTCTCTCTCTCTATACATATTTTCTCTCTCTAGAAAGCACACAAACTCTCTCTTCTCCATTTTTTGCCGCCATTGCTCCTCTGCTCTCTCGTTCAAAGTTTCTACACTCCTACCAAAAGACCCTTTTCTCTTTTGATTTATTCTTCTAATTTTCTACCCCTTTAACACACACACACACACACACACACACAGAGAAAGAAAAAGGGAGCCTTTTTCTTCTTAATTTTTGCTGCGAAGGAATTTAATTTGTTGGGTGGTAGATGGGTTTCTCGAAGAAGCATCAAGCTGAAATGAACAAAGAATCAGAAGCCAAAAAATGGCTTATAGCCGGAATCCCAATTAGGGCTCCTTTAAAACCCATTTCTACAAAACCTTGCACCGACGAAGACGAAGACTCTCGCTCCACAACCCCGACGGCGCGTGAATCACAGATACCCGCAAAATTTTCCTGCCCACCAGCTCCGAGGAAGCGCCGCCCCACTTTGACTTGCCATTTTAATGGCGTGAGAGAGTTCTTCAATCCCCCAGATTTGGAGTCGGTGTTTATATGCCATGCTGCAGCAGGAAGAGCAAATTGATGGAGATTTAATCTTTCTACTGTGGTAATTTGGTTTTAAGGTTAATTAAAAGTTAATTAAGCTTAAGCGCGCCTCTTGTTTTATTTTCTCCTATTATTTTTTTCCTTTTTATTTAATTCCGTCTTAGTTAGTAGTTTGCTGTTAGAGGTTGATGAAATTTTTAGTTAGGCTTTTTAATAATAAAAGTGTAATGTATAAATACAGTAGTTTATTTCTATGAATTTTGTTCTTGCTTAAATCAAAGTCTACATTTCTTTTATTTGTTACTCTTTTATTTATATCTATCTGAATATATATTATCTGAAATTAAATCCAATTTCCACATTTGGTTAAATAAATGGTTTGAATTTATTTGAAATACTTTTTGTGACTAGGTTTGTATACAGATAGGTATGACCTGTAAAACCCTTAATTGTTCTTTCTTTCTGTATAAGCACAATCCAAAAAAAGAAAAAAAAATTAATTAAAATTACAGTTCCTTTGCCACGTGCGTTCTGCGTGCCATAAAAGTGGGTCTTGATCCATAGAGAAAATCTTCCTTAACCTACAGCTACAGAGGAAGGACCATTTTAATTTTAATTTTTTTTCTTTTTTATTAGATTGAAAGAAATTAATAAAAAGAAAATTGGTGTTTGGTGTTTGTGTGGGCCCACCACACCTGAATGCACCCTCGTAATGGTTGCATAATTGAGCGTGTTAAATGAGAATCCTATGTAGGCCTTTTTTTTTTTTAAATTTTTTTTAATTTTTATTATATGACTTCTAGGCCTCTTTGCTACTACTCTTCACACTTGATTGGCCCACATCATACTTGATGATGGAGACCCCTTCCATATATTTATTTATATTACTACGGGGAAAATTAAAATAATCTTTTTTTTAATTGAAATTAGTTTTTCACACTCGAAAAAACTTGAAATTTTATTTAGGGTAATTTGCAATCACCCTGCGATATGGTCAAATTACAATAAAATTCTTCATGTTTGTGTAATTACAACTATCTCCTCAACTAATTTTTTTAATTAAGAATTTATTTAACTACCTCCTCAACTAATTTTTTTAATTAAGAATTTATTTAACTACCTCCTCAACTATAAATTTTCCTACACGTCCACCATTGCGGTGTCAAATTTAGTGGAATCTTCTAGATTTTATGTGGAATATTCTCCAGTTTGTACCCGTTTTATCCATTCGAGCTCCACATTTTAAAGCAAGATGATCATAAGATGTGTTACTTGGCTTGTATATAAATTAGATTGTGGTATATTGTAAACTGCATTTTTGCACAAAACGAGTACAAACTAGAAAACATTCCACGGAATCTAGAAGATTATTTTGAATTTGACACCATAAGCGTGAACGTGTAAGAAGATTTATAGTTAATTAGTAGTTATAAATATCGAAACATGTGTAATTTTTTCGTAATTTGACCGTACCTTGTAATTTACCCTTTCATTTATAATTATAACACTTATTTATTTTGAAAAAAATAGCAATATTATAAAATACCTCTTTATATCGAATTGTTACGAGAAACAAATGAATAAGTAAGTTATATATACGTCCATTATATTAGGACATTAGGTTAAACCACTAGTATGCAAAAGACATAAAAGTTGAGGCACTAGCTTTTAACTTTGCAAGCTATATTACATGGTACGTACTAAGTCAAAACACGTTTAAGGATAAAGCCTCAATTAGGAATCTTTAATTATTGCCACTTGATCTTGGTGGTGGAGTAGGCGCAGGACATAATAATAAATATTTTTATTTTTTTAATTTTTAATTTTAATTTAATAAAAAGGTGATGAGGAGAAGTTAAACTAAGGGTTCAAAAGTATAAACAAATTGTTCTTGGGATCATCTATCACTAATGAATTGCAAAGCCATCCTTTGTAATATATATATTTACCAAAAAACTGATTACATTTATGTCAGATAAACAAATTATCAATTAAACCATATATATATATTATGTAAAGGTCTAAAATAATTAATATTACATTATTTAAAACTTTAATTATTAGATGGTTCTCCTTGGATTGATTCCCTAAGCAGATAGATATATACTGAGGATTGAGTCTCAATTTTTTACACTATTGTTTCCTTCTAGGAAACAACAACTCTGGTAGTATAATTTAATTTATAAAATATCAATTTATTTTGATCAATAATTGTTGCATAATATAATATTCTGCCACAGTTCCATAATATAATATAATGTTGACTGTATCATTTATTCTGGGGTTTCCATTATTGACGATTCCATCCAAAAACATCAATTATATAGGATAGCCAGCCACCTAGTAGTTTTCAAGAACCTTTTGGATTCTACTATTACCAAGAATTATCCTCTTGTGCAAACTCTCTTTAATTAAGAATGATTTATATAAATTTTAATTTATATAATAAGAATTTCATCTCAATAGTAATAAGCTTAGCCGTATGGTAGTTTTTATTTAAGCAGAATCCTATATGCAATCACTAGCGAAGCCAGAATTTTAAGTCCGATGGCCATTGCCTCCAGCTATATATATGCCGGCTCCGCCACTGCATGCGCAATGTTACTAGCTTGTTTTTTAAGAAAAAAACGAATAGATCTGTAGTGTAAAATGTCCCCACTTTTTAGAGTTTAGGTGTTAATTCTTTGAATCAATTCTCTTTGAGATGTTCATATCTTGATAAAAAAAACATGTATAATAATTGGGGTTGTATTATTAATAAGTAGGGATCCAATGCATTAAAGACATGTATATAAAAAATATTTATGTGTGTGTGTGTGTGTTTTTACTAGTTATAGATCAATGATATGTGAGGAGAAAAATAAAATAGAGTGAAAGAAATAGATATATAAAATGAGATAGTATTAAACATGGACACATGGGGCTTGGGAGGAATCCTATGATGGTGAATATTCTAATTTTAGAAATACTATTGTTACTACTAAAAGCCCTAAATCGAATTGCCAATTGCCACAACTTTTTACATTCCCTCCCTTTTTTTTGAATTTTCAATAATCAATTTTTTATTAGGGCAATTTGAGGGGGTCGATGGGCCCATTTGACTTATCTGGTTGGGTCCAAAACGCGGTTTCCAGACCCATGGGCCTTCCTGTGCCGGCCCGAATAAAATTGCTGCCCGCCCGGACTGCCCGGTATATTTTGGCGGGAAATCAATTGTTTTCAGTGAGATGTTGCCCGCGAAAGGCGGTGATCCTCTGCGGCTGGGTCTTAAACTTCAAATTCAATGCGATGCACTGGATCATTGTAACCGTCCATTCAACCAAACACGCTTAACTCACTTTTTTTTAGGGTAAATTACAACCATCCCTGGTTGGGGGTGGTAAACGAGCCGAGCCGACTCGTTAGCTCGACGAGTCGGTTCGTAAAAAGCTCGAACTCGAGGTTTTCGAGCTCGAGTTTTCTGACGAACCAAGCTCGAGCCGGATTTTAGTTGTTCACCAGTTCGCGAGCCCGATTTATTATTATTTTTTATTTTTTTTTATTTTTTATTTAAATAAGGTATAATAATATAAAATATTATAGAAATAAATATAAATATTAAAATAATATATAATTACAATTTAGTTTTTATTTTGTATTTTTTTAAAATAATATTTAATAATAAAATAATAATTAAAAAATATTTAAAAAAAAAAAAGAGATTGGGCTCGAGCTCGAGCTCGACAAAATAGACTCGAGTTCGAGCTCGAGCCAGCCAAAAGAGGTGAGCTCGACTCGTTCACACCCCTACCTGAGGTATAGTCAATTTACAAAAAAATCCCTCTTGTTTGCATAATTACATCTACCCCCTCAGCTATGATTTTTTCATACACCTCCATCCTTATGGTGTCAAATTCAATATAATCATCTAGATTTCGTGAAATGTGTTCTAGTCTGTACTCATTTTGTGTAAAAATACAGTTTTTGATGCACCACAATCTGATATATACAAGCTTAAAAACACATATTATGATCATCTTGCTTCAAAATGTGGAGTTCGAATCGGATAAAACGGATACAAAAGTGATAATAATCCATATAATCTCGAAAATTCAACGAAATTTGAAACCGCAAGGGTGGACGTGTAAAAAGATTTATACTTGAGGGGGTGGTTGTAATTATCCAAACAAGAGGTTTTTTTTTGTAATTTAACCATACCTCAGGGGTGATTGTAATTTACCCCTTCTTTCAAATAATTTTCAGTAACGGTTTTAAATAATTGGTGGGCCCATTCATCATGGAAAGTTCCAACCCAAACCAAACTACGTACTAAAAAACCTTACTAGAAGTCCTGTCGAGGCTCAACAGCTAAACCGCCCTAGATGTAATATAAATATGGAACAGAGTGACCAATTCTCTATAAGAACAACAATAAAAAGAAAAACCTCAATTTATTATTATCAGGAGAGTAGAAAGAATGGCTTCTTCCATACTCCGTTCGATTTATCGATGTACTAGTAGTAGCAGATCCAATTGCCCTAAATTTTCGGGTTCTCCGATCAACACCGTTTCCAATTGTCGACTCTATCCTCTGCGGCGGCGGCGGCGGCGCCGTGGTTGATGCTGCCACCAACCTATGAAGAGAGTGGTAACAGGTTTTTGAAGTATTTAGGAATGGGTGGTAAGGTGTCTGATAATTTCTACAACCTGGCAGATAACAGAGTTATAAGTGTGAGGAAAAGAAGCACTATAGCAATGACCATATTTAACTTACATTTTGAGAGATTGACTGTTTTGGTTGGATCTTCACATGGTTGGCTAGCTTATTACTGGGCGCATTCCAACATGAATCTGTTTCTGTACAATCCACTCTCTCGTCGTCAAATTAAGCTCCCATCCGTCAAAACAATTCCTCTTGCTGAAGAGATTTTGAGAGACTGTTGGGGGAGACCGCAAAAGCTCATCCTTTCATGCTCTCCGGATGAAGAAGACTGCCGTGCGATTTTGTGTTTTGGTCCAAGAGGTAACATGGCATTCTGCTGCCCCAGACAAAGTACTAAGTGGACTCCTTTCGGCTCTCACTTTCACGAAAACGAGAAACTCAACGAGCTTCTTCGGGATGCTTGTATCGTACGGGCTTACGATGATTTCGTCTACTCCACCACGCAAAAGCAATTGTTCTGCATCACCCAATTTGCCGACATTGAAAGTTGGGATCTTGGAGACCCTACGTCTCCAAAATTGAATTGGAAGAAGGCGGGGGATGACTTCAGGATGTGGTACTCGTGCAAGTACCTAGTATTCGCAGAGCATTCGAATCGACTGTTTCTTGTACGACGCCATATAATGACACACATGGGCCCTGACGGTTCCCCTGTCGTGGTAGGTAGTCACTACGAGAGGGGTGGTTTACCGGATACCGTTCCTTACAAGACTACTGGTTTTGATGTTTATGAAATCGATAGAGAGAAAGGAGAGTTCATCAAGTACATGGATCGCACACTTGATGGTATGACGTTCTTCATCGGTTCGACTGGACATGGTTTCGTGATTGAAGAAAGGGATGAAATGATCAAGCCCAATTCCATCTATTTCACCGACCCGGATAGTCACACTCCGGCAAATTGGGATAAATATAAAACGTACGGTGGCCACGATCTAGGCATTTTTAATTACAAAAACAGGACTTTCTCCCCATGCTACTATCCATGTGATATCCAGAAAGTCGAGAGGATTCAGCCAACACCAATATGGTTTACTCCATCCCCATCCCCTGCTTCGAAATTTTAGCAACTTTTTTTTGTTCGTCTTTTGGTTCTTTAGATTCATGCAGGTCTCGTTCCTTTTCTTTTTCGTATTCGTTTTTTTCTTCTTCTTTTGTGTTCTAGTAAGGATCTTCAGTTGATGATTTGTGTACTAGACTCCTAACTTATTCCTACTTTGCTAGTGATGTTTCTTTTGTTTCGGTTTCGAAGGTATTTTCAGGTATGAGGCGCATAATATGTTGTGCACTTTAAGGTGTTGATTTACCAATTGGTGAATTTGTATTGCAAAGTTAGATTTCGAAACTCCGATTCAATCCACATTGCAACTAGAATGGTTCGAAAAAAGAGAAAAAACACTTTTTCAAGGACAAAATGAATTCTTCATAAATCACATCATACAACAGAAGCGGTACTCGTAGTTAATTACACGAACGAACAACTTATATAAGATCATTGTGTTATCTACAATTATTTTTCGAGGGCGGAAAACAAATTTCCTTATTCAAATTTCACAACATATACGCATAAAAAATTATAATCACAGTAAATATAAGGCCATATAAATCAGAAAGGTGTACCTTCACCTCACAACAACTCTCCCACAGTGTTTCAACAGCCACATCATCATCGATCAAGAATCAAGACACAATCTCGATAAATTTACTCGAAGCCCGTTTCACGGCACCTTCAGAAAGCTTACTTTGCTCCACCTCCAACCTCCTCAACGGCGGTGAATTTAGCAAAAACCACTCAACCGCTTCAACTTCAATACGAGAGCAGTACATTATATCAAGAAACTGCAGCTGCTTACAGCTTCTAACCAACGAGCTCAAAGTCGTTTTAGTCAACCTATTACAACCTCTCAATTTCAGCTCAACCAAGTTATTACACGAGGCGAGCATAGACACAAGCTCCTTATCAAGCAACGTATGATTATAAGACAAGTCCAATTTCCTCAACCTCTTCAAAATCTGCCCTAAAGAGGTCAACAAACCGGACTCTCTCTCCACAACGTCGCAGTTAATCAACGAAAGCTCGTCCAAACCATTAGCGATTGTTCTCCCAAGAGATCTTAATCCCTCACCGGTAACAAGACAACAACTTTGCAACCTTAAACACGCCAAACCACTAAAATTCAAATTCTCGGATAAGGCGAGCATGTGAGCGTTATTGAGATCGAGAGGCAACCTCACGTCGAGCCTTTTTAATCTACACTTGCTTCGATTTATGAATTGGAGCAAACCCTCTCTGCTGCCACCATCGTAAATCAATAAAGACTCCATAGAAACACACGTCTCGGCCAATTTCAACAATATCACATCAACTATACTCCTGCAAGTTCTTAACTCGAGTTCTTGAAGATCTTTTAAGGACTTGAGGAACGACGAAAACGACGAGTAGTCTCCGACACTTTCGCAGCTTTTGAACTGCAGTTTCTTGATTTTCTTACAGTTATTCCATAGGAAACTAAGTTCATAATCACCGGGTAAAATTCCACACAGGGAAAGACTCTCTAAACTTAACCCCATGTGATCAAAGATTGAATCTTTGACTTCGGAATTATTATTATGATTAGTTTCTGTGTAGGAGTTTGTGATAAAAATGGAAAGAGATTTCAACGAGGTGAAATAAGGCAGCCAATTGTTGAAAGAAAGGGGTCTGGAAATAGAAATAGCAATAGAAGAGAGATGAATACAGTAACCTGAGAGGGTGTGGAGTGAAGACGGAGTAATTGGGGTTCCCCAGAAGCGGAGGCGGCGGAGGTTGGGGCAGGAAGATGCGGCGGCGATGAGAGGGTCTTCGGCGGCGCCGCCGGCTAGAGAGAGAGAGGAGAGATATGGGTGATGTGTGAGAAAGGTGGAAAAAGAAGTGATGGTGGTTGGGTTGTAGGGAGGTGGGAAGTGGAGGGAGAGAGAGGTGGTGGATGATCGGAGGAGGCGGCGCCACCGCTTACAGACTAGGGAGACGGCGGGGGTTGACGGTGGCGGAAGGCGGTTGAAGATTTCTTGGACAAGCTCGTCGCAGAGAAGCGTGTCCATTTTGGCAAGCTGACTTCTTTTTTTTTTTTTGGGTTTCTCTTTGTTTTCTTCAACTCAATTCATCTTGTATTATTTATGTACAGTAGTTTAGCTGGTGATGATGGTGACTGCAAAAGGCTCTTTATTTACCTACCACACATTATTTATTTATTTATTTATTTTTCCTATCTTATATCCTGCTTCTGAATTCTGATTGATCCATGTTTTTTCTTTCTTTTTTTTTTTTCCTGAAATTTTCTTAAAATCAAAGTTTTGATTTAAAGAAAATAAATAAAAAAACACTAGAAAGTAGTGTTTGCCTGATTCTAATTGTATTACTTTATCACACGTCTATTTTAGGACATCATAAGTTTGGCATGATGTCACAATTAGAATGGGGGACACGTGGATGGCATCCCTCACCTCAAATTTTGATGATTTTCTTTAAGCTTCACTTTGCACCCTTGAACTATTTGTTTGTCTTGCAAACACCCATAAACTTTAAAATATTACAAAAGAGGCCCATGTTGTTTCCAATCCGTTTGTATCTAATTGGATATTATTTGATGCTTTACCCCTCAATTTGCGTTTAATAGAACACTAAGATTAAATAAAGTGGGGAAGGGGTTGAAGTGGCAGTCAACCTGTTTGATAAAATGCCTCTGACAAACAATGAAGCAGAGAAGGTTGGGAATGGTACTAAGGTTATCAATAATAAATAAATAAATTGAAGTTGCTAATATTCTAAAGAGGGGATGGAGTGAACCATATTGGAGCAGGGTGAATGCTGGTTACTTTCTGGATATCACATGGATATTAGCATGGAGAGAAGGTCTTCTTCCCGTAATGAAAGATGCCTATATCGTGACCTTACTCGAGTAATAGTTCAACACTTGTTGAATAACTTGAATTCTTCGAAATGTTTTTCAGCATGAAACAAGTTATTGCCATGGGAGGTATAGGCACATGATTTAAAAGAGAGTTTACCTTGCAAGGATATTAGGAGAGGTTCGAGCTTTCATAGATTCGTGTTCAAGGTGGAGATGCGAGCTTCATAGGACCAATGCGAGATAGGAGAGAACTACAAGTCTCGAAAAATCCCACTTCGAAGTAAGAAAACGAGCTCAGCAGCAAACAAGATCGTCAAGTACTCGCTTTTGTGTACGAGAATAACTCTGGTCTTTAAGACCTTTAACAAAATATTTCCCGGAATTTGAAATTCAAGAGGAAAATGCGAGCTTCAAGAAAGGTGATTGAGAGACTTGCCTCGACGGGCGTTGGGTCGGCGAGATTCGGTTAGAGGGCACCGAGGTGGCAACGTTCGAGTCGGCAAAATCTGGCTCGGATCGGCTGGCTGAGCTGCGAGCAATCAATATGACTTTAAGCATTCGTTTTCGAGAGAATAATGCGAGCTTGGGGAGCTATCAGCCAAAGAATAAATTTCCGGTTTGTAGAAAACCATCTTCTCGCAAATTATGAATCTGAGTAATGCTGAGCTTTACAAAACCCAAGTCGTTCACAAGACATGTTCTAGCTTCTCGAAATTTGAGCTTCAAAATGTGGTTTTTGTTAACTCGTAGAAGTCCAATAGGTATCATGCATGTTGGTTTCATAAATTTACAAAGTGTCGAGCTCATTCAGGATATCTGAGCTATACAAGAGGAATGCGAGCTGTAATACGGGCCCCTAGAGAATCGAAAGAGGAGATAACCCCGAGCTCGAGGAATCGAGAGTCTTGTTTTTAGTACAAAATGACCATATCGTAGCTTGAGCTAGCAAGGTGATCAGGAGATATTTGAGCTTTCGTAAATCCATGCTCGAGTGTGAGCTCAATGCGAACTAGAAGAGAAATACAAGCTTTAGAAAATCCAACTTTGAGAGAAGGAAACGAGCTTTTTAAGCAGCAAGAGCGATCACCTTGTACTCGCTTTCGTGTTCGAGATATAACTCTGGCCTTATGAGTTTTAAGAAATACATTTGATCTTCCAGAAATTTGAGCTGCAAGAGGTGACTTTTGAAAATATTTGAGCTAAAGAAGTCCATTTTTCGGGAAATTCTGCTGAAAATAGTCCAGTCGATCTGGCTCAGGCAAGATCGAGCTCCAAAAAGGCCGAGTTCCCCATGGTCCCGCTTCACGAGACGGGTTCTATTTTACAGAAATAGACCAAATGGAACAGAGTTAAGTAAGTTCATAATCTATAGACTATACTATATATAAAAGTGTGAATGCTAGGTGGTTTCTTCCATTTTATGTATGGACAAAAATGCCCCGTAAAATAATTAAAACTTCAAGGTGAATTAAGTAAAACATGTAATAATTAAATTGTTCATTAATGCATGTTAAATACAATAATTGATAATATCTGATTCATTGAAAATTGTAACCACAACAGCTTAAATCTGTCGGTAATCGTTGGTTGAACCAACACTCGACTGTGAAATTGTATTTTAGAATCATAATCAAACTCTTAACTTGAGTTGGTTAATGGTCTTGTATTTTTTAATTGTAAACCCCGGCCGATTCTGACTCGTGAACCGTTGGTTCACGACAATAATCAAGTCTCCATTTAATTTTTCATTTATGTTTAATTTTTCATTTATATTCATTTGTCCTTTGTACCATATATATATATATATATA